ACTTCCTGTGACGAAGGGTCCCCCTCATTTGCATCAGCCTGCTCTTTTTTATGGCGTGCCAATTTTTGATAGATGATCCGTGAAAATATGGTTTGTCAGAGGGGCGAAACCGCCTATTTGCATATTTGATTAATTTGTTTGGTTTTTTGGGTGGTTTTTTATGGAAAAATAATAAGCATTTTATTGTGTGCTCTGGTTTAGGGGGGTAAGGGATCTACGTACTTTCTATAGCTCATCAAATTGCAAGGACATGGATTAGCGAGGTACAAAATTGATGGGGCATAACACATCTTTTGTTTTCATACAGGGATGGAATGAAGCTACTGTGTAAATGCACCATGTGTTACAAAAAACAAAGAAAAAAAATGCAAATATTTATTAGGAAGTAAATAAATAAAAATTCCAGAAAAGTTTTTTAGAACGCTGTCAGGTGTGATAGTTCGTTTTAAGCTTCAACTCCCAAAAGTTGCCAAACAATGTGTTAACCACTCTTGGTGTTTATTACCATATTTGCTTTGTTTTTCAGACAAACCAGCAAAATATTTGAAAAATATAGAGAAAACTAGCAGAAAAGTCACTGTCTGAACACTGAACATAGGTTTTTTCATCTCATTTTATGGCAGAAGGTTCTTCTAAGTTTCATAAGGATTCTTGGCATTTTTCCTGTAGTTGTTAACAAAAAAGTTAAGCATTTTTATTTAGAAGGATGATAGATAACTTTCCTTCTGATGACAGGTGGTTTCAGCAGTTACTAAAGTTGTCTAATCCTTGAAAACATAAAAATATATCTTAATTTCCCATCGATTTCATATTGTAAAAATGTTATTTTCACTTACATTTAATGTGGCAAATAGATATCAATTTTCCCTTTTTCGAAATATTTTTCTTACCCAGAAAAAAAGTATTTTTTGTAAGTAATTTATTGCAAGGACATCATATAAAATGAGATTAACGAATTTTACTTTTTATTGATAAGAAAAGTAAGATCATCACTATGTAGTTATTCGATTAAGCATCGGCCACATTAGCAGCTTATTCTACGGCCATTTCACATGTAAATCTTCATCATAGTTATTGGTTCTAGTTCTGAATATGTCCCGTCCCTGAGCCGACAAGTTTACCCTTGAGCCTGGCAGGCACTAATCCAATTGCTGTACGGATCATTAAGCACTGATTGCGTTTATGGTGCAGACGGAACCTCGGGCCTAGGTATACAGATGTGAATACTTTCATAGCCAGCGCAAGGACACTTCACTTGCAGTAGTAGCACCATATGCAGATTAACCCACAGCCAATGAAAAAGGATGGGTATGGGTTGGCCTGACATCAATTATGCGGGAAATTCACCGATTTAGATTTAACAGCAAATCGATTTTGTGATAAAAAGCAGAGGAAATTTAAATGCATTTGTGTGATGTTAAATTAAATTCACATCTTTGCCCTAACAGTATCAGACTCAGTCACCAGAGTTCTGTACAGAGAGAAAAATTGTATTTTCATTTATGAAAAATGAAAATGGGTTTAAAGAAAGATTTCTTATTAAGCTTATACTTACCATATAAACCAACTAGCTACATTCATATACACATTTTTTAAAGTCATTATTGGGTAATTTTCAGTTTATTTACTATCAATTATAATATTTGTTTTAAACTAAAATTAAATATTTAATATTTTGAATTATAAGCGTTAATACACGTGGTTCAACTATGTTAAGAATCAAATGAAAAAAAATTTTTCCCTCTGCACTTCACCTTCCGACTAGAATCCTCCATTCAAATAAACCGCAAAGTAAATCTGCATTTGATTTGTCACCATGGCGCACATGTTGCAAAAAAGTTTTGGTCGCCGGCAAATGTCGCCGCGAAAGGTGACACACACAAAAATAGAAAAACAATTGCCAATTACGGACGAGCAGTTTCCTGCTCTCGCATCCTTGTTTGCCGCTTGAGCCACTGCCCCCCGGATCAGCACCCGAAAAAAACCCACCCCGGTAGCCTTAACCACCATGCTGGTTGTCCATAAACAACAGTCGAAACAAAGCAAAAACAGAAAGAGAAACAATCAAAAAGCAGGAAAACCCAACAAGACAAAAAAAATATTGAGGGGTGGCAATGGGCAGCAGGAAAAACTATGTGGAAAATCACTTTTGCGCTCATAAATTTCAATAATAAAAATTTGAATGCAGTTGACACGACACCGAAACAAGCATCCTCGCCCTCTTTTTCCGGGGGAAAAGAAGAGCAGCAAACAAGGTTAAGTGAAATAAAAATCAGTGAAGTGAATAAACAAGGTTCAAGGTGCGGGTCGTGGGTCGTGGGTCGGGAGACTGGGTTTTCTATCTGGATCTGGATCTGCATCTGTATCTGGATGCTGCTGCACCACCCGATAATTGAATTGGCTTGTCGCATTTGGTTGAGGAAGCACAACCCTTTTTTTTATGTTTTTTTCGTACCATCGAAAGAGTTATGGTTTTGCATACATACATATGTATTTATGAATGTGGTCATATTTGGTTTAGCATGGGATGTGGGAAGTGGTCTGCCCTTATTACCAACATATGGAATATGAATCTCGGGGTGGCGGCCTCAATTAATATTTGCGGTTCAAGTGCAAATGCGATTATATTGAGGTCAGTGAAATGTTCGTACTTTGGCAAACTATAGTGGTTAATCTCTGATCCTATATTATTGTCACGTTGTATTGCCTGAATCTAAATAAATATTAGTTCAAAAAATATATATACGTATATATACAAAATTTTGAAAGGATAAGGGACAAGGATATCTTGATTTGAAAAAGTTTAAAAGCACAGCTTAAAATTAAAGAAATAATTGATTGTATAGAAAACTTAAAAGGAAAACTCTTAATGAGTGAAACAGATGTATTGCTAAATAATGCATACATTATTAATGTGCTGCTACTGTGGTATTGTATGACTGCCTAATAAGAACATAAGCCTCCCATATAAGAATCAAAACACTAAATTAAATATTAAAACGAAATAAAAACAAACCATATTTAAATAAATACCGAAAATAATTTTTGAATCATTAGATTAATAATTTAAACATGTTTTTGTTGCAATAAACTCCATAATTTGTGTAAGTATCTCATCAAGTGTTTTATAACGGCCAAAAACGATCTTTAAAAGTCAGACTCAAAAATCAGCTAGTGTTAGTTTTAGTCTTTACAAGCAAAACAAGTTTCCTAATTTCTTTCAAATTTATACAACCTTAAGAAGTGTTTAAATCTATCAGCATCATTTTCTTGTACTAAAAAAACTAGTACACTAGTGAGGCACTAAAGAAATTTTTTTCAACCAAAAGATTACTTCCGCAATCTAATTATTCCATTCTACAGAATATAAACTTTGATATGTTAAAACAAAAGAAGATTTTCAATTTTGGACTAGATTTGTGACTAAATTGGGCTTTAATTCATGCCCAATTTCCATCTAGTGAAAAAATTCATGCAAACAAACAAAAATTAAATTACTAAAAATTGCCAAAGAACTATTTAAAAAAAAAAAATTTTTTAAAGGTGTTCAGTTTTTAGTTTTTTTGATCTCAGATGTGAAATTTAGGTTTAAAGCAAGGCGCCAAACATCCGGTCTATCGATAATTACACACGATATCGATAAAAATCACACCGTCGCCCGTGATAATAACAACAAAGCACAGATAATCACGTTTAAGAAAAAACTAATATTTTATTCTGGTTGTTGATGTTATAGACAGAACTATCAGGTCTAGAGGCGGTTTACTTCTTGGCCTTCTTAGGGTCTCCCTTGGCGGCGTCCTCGCTCTCGGCAGCCTCCTTGGCGCGCTTAGCGCGAATGCCGACCAAACGGGCATCAGTGCGAGCCTGTAAAAAGGGGAACCAAAATTTAAGGATAAAGAGTTTAAAGAAACCCAAAGCCAATAACTTACCTTGCGCAGCGTGGCGAAGGCCTTGAACTTCTTCTCCTCCTTGGTCACATCACGGAACTCAACCACCGAGGGCTTTTCATTGGTGATTGGCATGATGGCTCCCTTAAGCTGGGTAGCCAGCTTGCACTCCTCCAGAGAGGACTCGCCCTTGCGGATCTTCTTCTCGTTGATGGGGAACAGGATCAGCTTGCTGCGGTATTCCTTGAGGCGCTGAATGTTGCGCTGGCGGGACTCCAGGGATTTGTTCTTGCGCCTCTTGTCGACGGCGATGCCGATGGTCTTAGCGAAGCTAGCGCCAATGCCGGCACCCTATAAGGAGAGATTACGTTAGAATCTAAGAAAATTGGAGTAAGCCTTTAAAAAATTCACTCACCTTAAGCTCCTCCAGGGTGAAACCACGGCCGGCACGGAGCTTAGTGTGGTAGCGGATGGTGGGGCAGCGGACCACAGGGCGCAGAGCACCGCTGGCGGGGCGGGGGAAGACGGCCTTAGCCTTCTTGACGCGGTTCTCGTGCCTGCGGACCTTGCGGGCCGGCTGGTTGAACCAGGTCTTCACATGCCGCTGCCACCACTTGTGGTAGTGCTGATTCGGAATCATATTGTTACCCTTACCCATCTTGACGGTTTAGATTGGCTGCAACGGTTTCAAAAACACAATAAAAACATTAGTGATTAGTTTACACCAGTAAATGCGGCTTAACCAAGGTCTAGACCCACGTGGCTGAGTGATTTTGTTTATTTCATGGTAATTTCAGCGCACTTTTAAACGTCTGAGGATTGTCATTGAATCCCCTTCAAAGTCCCCAACATATTGCCCACTTGATGGTTTCGTTTCCATTTCGTTTATCTTTTATTTTCATTAAACTACGAGACGCTCACGAAATTTACACACCTTTTCTTCCCAACAACGAATTAAAAAGGAAATCGCAACCAACTTCACGTCGTAGGCCAAGTGAAAATTTCCCTAGAAAATTCCCTAATGCGAATGAGAAATTTCCCCAGCTATCGATTGGTGATGCAATCAGTGTTAACCAGAATACTCAACAAATCGCATTTTTTACGCCAGACAGTCGTATTAAAAATAAAAAACAGTGACGCGTATATTTTAACAGAGAGTAAAAATCGTTAAAAATATATTCGAGTGCATTTTGAGCATTTATTGACGTTTAATTGCCTTATCGATTGACTGGCGTGTCGCGTGGCAACTCTGAACTGTACTTCTGATACAGATAAAAAACTATTGACTATTGAACCGTCTATCTATAATCGAGAAATTGCGCGCTAATTCCCACATTGGTTAGCAATCGTCGTCGAACCCAAATCAAAATAAACAACCAGATCGCAATCCCGTTAAGATACGAAGATGAGTGAAGAGGTATCCGCGTCGCCGGTAGCCATTGCCGAGCTAAAGTATGAAGATGTGTCACAGCTCAATTTTTCCAAGCTGTACTCGCCCAAGATGAAGAGCGTCTACTGGCGGTACTTTGGTTTCCCCTCGAACGACAACAACGAGGTGATAACCAAGCAGAATGTGGTCTGTATTAAGTGTCACAAAGTACTCACCAACCACGGAAACACAACCAACCTGCGGGCCCATCTCCAGCATCGTCATAAGGATCTGTTTAAAGAACTGTGCCAGGAGCACGACATCCATGTACCGCCGCGCAAGACCCCGCGCAATGTAACACATCCTCCGCTCTCCAAGCGGAATGTCTCCTCACGCCGGGTCAAGCTGGAGTTTATCAATAACCGCAACCACGATAACGCCTCTGACGAGGAACTGGACGAGGCCGCTGTGGCTACTGCAGCAATGCAGGCTGAGGAGGACGCCTCCTCGCAGACTATGCTCTACGAGACCATGGTGCCGTTTACCTACGACGAAGCCGAAAATCTGGTCGAAGAGGAGGAGCGATTGGTTATGGAACCAAAGTATGGTCGCAAGCGCAAGGTCGCTACTCCCTCTGGTACAATAGTCCACGGGCGTGCCATCAAACACGAGGATGGAGGCTATGCCGTGGCCAACATAGCCAATCTTGCCGAGGCTCTCACGGACATCGTGATTAAGGATTTGCGCAATGTAGAGTCCTTGTACGATCCCGGTTTTAGTGATTTTGTGCGGCTGGCTATGGGCAATTCAGCTCCCATGCCAGAGCCACACAAGATCGACTCGTTGATCAATGAGATGCATGCCTCAAAGTTCTTGGAGATTGGGGAAATCACACGAGAGTTTACCTCCGAGAAGCCATTCTCGTTCGCCTTTGAGCAATGGATGAATGTCGAGCAGCGCCGCTTCCTTAGCATCTTCCATTACTATCTGGATGAGGAGACCCAGTCGGTTAGGAGCATGCTTTACGCCACCGTAGAATACAACGATTATATCATTTTCGACGATCTTCTCACTGACTTTTACTTGGCTAACTGTACACTAGCCGTCATAAACTATGACGACGATGAGGACTTGCTGTACACTTATCTGCGAGAGAAAAGTAAGTGCATCAGCAGAGCAGTACCTTATAAATTTAAAGAAGGAATTTAGAGCTGTACCTTTCCTGGTTGCTGTTCAGTAAACAATTGCTTAAGTATAATTTATTTTTCAGATATCCCCATTGTGTTATGCTATGTTTCGGTGATTGATAAATGTCTACGACGCGTCTTTGAGCTTGAAGAAGTGGCAACGCTAATGGAACAAGTGAAAGATCTTATGCAGCGTCATTCGTCGGAGATTGCCTCCAAGGTAGCTGAGGGGCCCTTGCCCTCGTATAACGAACACTTCCCCTGGACACTGTACGAAATGCTCAAGTTCTTTGCGGAGTCAATCACCTGGTCTGAGGATATGGATCACCTGGTATTATCAGCTAAGACAGTAACGGAGGCACTGAGTGCTCTTGTGGTAAGCTTTCCACACAACTGAAGTATCAAGAAATCTTTCTTATTGGCTTATATATTTTCAGATTGCTTTGGACACACTGCGTGGCGAGGATATCCCTTTGTGCAGTATGCTTTCCCCAATCACTTCAAAGATTCTCATAAAGAAGCTGGGGATTGCCGAGCAAGACGACCCCTTAATGATGAATGTGAAGCGCACAATTTCCAGCGTTCTTCAGGCCCATATTATATCTAATGACAATCTGACTGCAGCCGCATTGTTAGATCCACGCTTCCACCGCCTGACCACAATTGACAACCTGGATAGAACAATTCGTATGCTGACCAATAAATATAACAAGACCTTTGGAGGCGTGAGCGAGGGTGAGTCCAATGAAGTGGCGGCCACCAGCAGCGCGGTTGCTATCAAGGCAGAGCCAAGAAATCCAGGAAACAGTGCTTCCAGGAGGTCAAGTAAGTATACAAATAAAAAAATAATAATTATAACAACATGGAATAACACGTATCTCATTGCAGAACTAGAATTGTTGTTTGACATTGCCGAGATCCCCAGTCCCCCTAAGAGGGATGCCGATAGCAGCGTGGAAACTGATCTTAAACGTTATCGCAACGAGGTGGTTGTCCAGTTGGATGAGTCTCCCATCGAATGGTGGCACAAGATGGGTCACATCTATGGAACACTGCGGGACTTGTCCACCCTGTATCACAGCGTGCCCGGCGTGGTGACTCTTAGTTTCAAGAAGGCGCTTCGAGACCAAATATACGACTTCAACAAGCGCTTTATGCTAAGTGGCAGTCAAATTGACGCGATCCTCTTTTTACATCATCACAACAATTAGTTTGCAGTCGCAGCTAGTTGTTTTTATATAATGCAATTACATTTAAATAACTTTAAACTTAATCCGATCTTGTTTATATGAACATGACCACCAAGGGCAGGACAAGTACCCTAATAGCAATTCCGCCGTACTGTAAACCAGAGTATAGCCTTGGTTGGACACGGAACGTCTATATGTATCATCGTATAAATGTTAAGAGAATATTCTGACAGCATAGATCCCAATGAAAATATTAATCTAAGCATATTTGTTAAATAAATCGATAATCAATTTAAATTCCCAAAATTCGCATTTTAAAATTTGTTCATCAAGGTCGACCGTTTTTTGAAATTCCGTTCTCCATGCTCATCTCATCAATATATCAAAACCATGAAAAAAGAACTAGTATATTCGTATAACTGTAGTTAAGTTAGAATCTAATCAAATTAATTTTCTTTCAAACTTAATAAATTATTTTATTTCGGTTTGCTCTGGTTACATTTTAAACTGTATGCATATGATTCATGTTAAATTTGAATTTCAACATTTTTAAATAATAAAAAAAATCTATTAATATTATTTCTTATCTGCAGCCCTTTAAATTTCCCTCTCATCTCTTGGGAAAAATTACCACTTCTTAGCCGGGAAGTTTGGTTTTGTTTTTTTAATTTTGATTTTGCACTTACAGATTGGTCCAATAAACATTATTACACATTCCTACTGATGGTTTTATTATATTGCACAAAAATATTACAATTATTCAAATGAATTTCTAAAAATCCGTTGCTTCTGCAGCATTTGCCTTTTTAGAATCCCTCAGGCTGGTCACATTGAATCATATAGACGTAGGCACCCGCAGATAGGATTTCAATTCGCATAAAAGAAGGGCAACAAATCAGTGGGATTAGTTGCAGTAGGTCCATACCCAGTGGATTGAGGCCCTTGCTCTGCTACCGCGGAATCTATGAAAATGCGCCTCCAACGTGGGTGCAACCGCCTAGTTCTGTAACCTTCTGTGAGAGAACTTCTGGCGGAGAGGAGCGGATCGAAGCGGAAGAAATCGGAAAGCTAAGAGAAAACAAAATCGGGGCGGCATAGCAACGTCAACGTCAACTATACACCGAAGTCCAGAAATTCAGTAATCTGGTTACCACTTGCTTAGAGTCAAAGTAAGCAGGACGCCAGAGGACAGAATGTGCGGCCTGGACGTAAGACGCTTCTTCGAGGAGTGGCGTATCTGGATACGCCCGCTGCTTATTGTCACCTATGTAATCTTTGCCATCATCGTGGTTCCGCTGCTAATCGTAAACTCAGTAAAGGATGGCTTCCAGCGCAACGACCAGCTCATCCTCATCGGCGGTCTTTTTGTTCTGTCCGCGGTGCCTGTGTCCATATGGCATATCATCCAACACGTCATTCATTTCACGAAACCCATACTGCAGAAGCACATAATCCGCATATTGTGGATGGTGCCCATCTATGCCCTGAACGCGGTAAGTAGGTCACCGTTGTCGGAATCGAATTTGTTATTGAAGACCACAAGAAACTTAATACTCTCTGTTAACTTGCAGTGGATCGGCCTGTTCTTTCCGAAGCACTCCATCTACGTGGACTCTCTGCGCGAATGCTATGAGGCGTACGTTATCTACAACTTCATGGTGTACCTGCTTAACTATTTGAATCTCGGCATGGACCTGGAGGCCACCATGGAGTACAAGCCACAGGTGCCGCACTTTTTTCCGTTGTGCTGCATGCGTCCGTGGGTGATGGGACGTGAGTTCATCCACAACTGCAAGCACGGCATCCTCCAGTACACAGTGGTGCGGCCAATTACCACCTTTATCTCTGTGTGAGTGTCGGGATAAACTTTCTGTTTAACTTGTTAGTTTAATCAAAGTCCCTTAGTATCTGCGAACTGTGCGGCGTCTACGGTGAGGGCGAGTTCGCCGGTAACGTGGCTTTTCCGTATATTGTGGTCGTAAATAACATCTCCCAGTTTGTGGCCATGTACTGCTTGGTGCTATTTTACCGTGCCAATAAGGAGGACCTTAAACCTATGAAGCCCATTCCAAAGTTTCTGTGCATCAAGGCTGTGGTATTCTTCTCGTTTTTGTAAGTGCCGGTTGAAGGCTTTTAGAATGCACATATGTGAAACATATTCTATTTCAACCACAGCCAAGGAGTGCTGCTGAATGTGCTAGTATACTATGGCATAATTAAGGACATTTTTGGGTCGGATGTTGGTGACACTAATCTCGCATCCCTGCTGCAGGTGAGTGAAATTGATCTTAAAGATACGGGTTAATATGAAAAATAAGGTTAATACCTTTGGGGTTTTTACATATTCCAAACTGAAATATTTAAACTGACAATGTCTCAGGATTTTATTATATTTAGATTTATGAGTGTTCATTAGAATAAGTAAGGTTAACAAAAATTAACCTTATGACTGAGAACTGTATTTAAAGTGATGACTAAGAGTGCTTCACCAGCCTTACTTTCTATTATTCAAATTACCATTTTCGGAATTCAATTTAAATAACGTTATGATTGTCCACCAGAACTTTCTCATCTGTATCGAGATGTTCATCGCTGCTGTAGCTCACATCTACAGCTTCCCGCACAGCCCGTTCCACATCAACTCTCCGCAGTACTGGAACAATCCGAATCATAGTTGGTGTCGCGCCTTCCTTTCCATGATGGACATTTCGGACATGCAGGAGGACGTCACCGAGCATCTGGGCGTAGTGGGCAGTTCGCTTAGTCGCCGTTTTCAGGGACGCAGCACATACCAGCCGTTGGCTCGCAGTCCTCGTCGTTCCAGTAGTGAGTCTGAGTATTTGATCAGCAAGCGCCAGGATCAGCAGCTGCCGGGCAACTCGTCACAATCAGGTAACATGTATGGTGCAACTTCCAGTCGCCTGATCGTGCCTGTGTATGATGGCAAGCTGAACACACTGCCCGAAAATCAACCTTCTCACTCCCAATCTCGATTTCCTTTAGCAGGCGTAACCGACGATGGTAACCGTAGCAATAGCAACAACTACCAACAACAACAACTGCACTTGCCGGGCGCGTCGAACTCTGAGATATCGACCCGTCAGCGCGATACACTGCATCTACGCGAGCGCGAAAGAGATCCGGGAGCGGGTTGCGGGTGCTGGCGTAGGTGGTAGCTTCCTGCGCTTACCGCCCGGTGCCGGAATCGCCTCGGCGGCCGAGCCGATTCCTGAGTCCAACGATGATTATGCCCTGCTATTAGGTGCGGGCACAGGCAGGTGACACCGCTACCAACAGTACCACTACCAGCAGCATCAGCACCCGCACATTGACGACACTTTCGAGGACGAAGATGGTGTGGACGTTAGCCAGCAGATGAATGCCTCATCGCTCAGCGCCTCGCTGTCCGTTTCGTTTGGCATGTCAAGCAGTTTAAAGTTTAGTGCGACTGGCAGCAACCGGTCGGCGTCCGAGTGGTCAAACTCAACGGGCGGGGAAGATGACGCTGACGACGATGAGGTAGACGTGGACGTGGACGAAGAAGATGGGGATAACGGTGCTGGCGAGCAGCCCGTTGTCGTTATAGCCTCTACGACCAGGCGACGCCGCGATCGAGAGTACATCACCTAGACGCGTTGACCTTAAAACCTTCTTCAGTTAAACGCTATACTTATATTTATTGTTTTTCCCATATCAAGATTTGTGCTAGGCTTAGAATACTCATGAAACGAACACTTTCCAGCGGCCCATTAAATGGGGAATTTAAATTGTGGCCTTAGTTTTCATCGCGAAACCAACTTATTTTACAACGCCATTACTGTAATCGTTTTTTCCTGATAGCGCACACAAACAGATCCACACATCCCTTAGCCCAAAGAATCATCATTGAATGGGGTCCGATATTTTGTATGTACTTTTTATGTGCTCATTTTGTAGGCCGACCTTCCCAAAATGATATTTTTATTCTTTGCATCCGTGTTAAGTGCCCCCGTATAGTTAGGTCTCGAACTTTTGTGTGGCGAAGTAGTTAATTAGTAACATGCCTGAACCGATTGTGAATTTTGTGACATCCGCCGGTCAGAAAAGGGCGTGACTCGTATTTAAATAGAAATTCTTATTGTAAAACTAATATACACATTAATAATATAATATTGGAAAATATTTGCAAACGCCTTTTATGTTTTTATCTGTTGAAATTTGTATTATTTGTATATGCTACTGCACCCATCTGCATACTAACATTGCTTTTTATTCCATTTTTCTACACAAGTCTTATCGTTTTATACATTTTCGATTCTTTTGACGCAAAACGTATATGTGATAGGAAGTTTAAAAAATTTGCTGTATCAGTAATTCCACATTTGCATTCCAGGTTTTTTTTGCTCTGCTTTTTTATCTTGCACTCCCGCGTAAAGATAAAGACCCAAATAATATTCTGATTTGGTGATATGAGATATTATAGTGTTCAGAACAGAACTTCAAGATACTAAGTAAAAAATCACATTCAATTTAATTTGTAACATTTATTGAAATATTTGTTAAGCACTTCGATTCCTATGTCTTTTCATAATACTTGATTTTTTTACATTTAAACAAAAAGACAGAACAAAACAGAAAACGTTAAATAAAAATTGACGAAAACAGAGACAATGTCTGAGACATAGATACAGAGTAGACCGAAGTACATTTAAAGGCATTCACGGAATTCACGTTACGAACATACATCAAATCGAATACTAAACGTTGATAGTAGAAAGAAAACAAGTAAACCGAATATCAATCAACATCAATTAAAAAACAAATTCAGTCCAGTGATTACTTCTCGTGCTGCGTGCGCATAATTGTAACGAATCCCAGTACATTTCGACGTGGCATGCCACCAAAACGGAAGGCATACCTATTGCTTTTAGCATACATATGTAAACACGCAGCTGCTCCGATCAATTGTTGTAGTTCTGCCTGCCACCCAGCTCAAGAAGATATCGATCCGGATGGTCCATCCAGTCGGCCGCCGTGAGCTTCACGGTTCGCTGTCGCTCGGCCTCCTTGATCTGCCACTTCTTGATGTCCAATTGCACTTCGCGTGATGTTTTATCGCCGCAGCCCCACACCTGCGGATGAGATCGAAGAAAGAGGAGCAACGTGAAGTTTTTGTTGTTGGTGGTTGACTGTTGTTGGGTAAGGAGAATCGTAGACTTAGTTAAATTGCATCGCTAGAGTACACCATGCCATTAAGAGGCACTGGTGTGCGATTTTTAAAAGCTTAGACTGGAGATAATGCCGTTTATATACGATATACGTCTATGAATTTTACACTATTATACCATATATGCATATACACATATATAAATATACCCTGTTGGATAAGGCTTATTGTACATGAATGCGATTAAAGTACAGAGAAATATTCAAAATGTTGGTTTGTTAACTTAAACTGGTTTGATTGATTGATTTTCATTAATGACATGAGGAAATGTATGAAATTTTTACAACATAAACTGCTCAGATCAAAAATGTTTTCCTTTTTGGAAAAATACCTAGGAATCTGTTTTATTTAATATCAAAAAAATCGGTTTACCTCTATTGACATAAGTCCCGCCGCCAAGCCCTTGCAGTCAACATTCTCGAAATGTTCATCAACTGATATAATAGGCTTGCGCGGATCGGCGCCGGCGCGTAATCCCTTTCGGATAACCGCGTATGCTGGTGTTAAGGTACAGAATGTTCGGCTTCTTTTCCAGTATCACAAACCTTTAAGAAATACCATTAATAAGGATTTGATATTTTCCATATTTCGCTACCCACTTGGGCAGCAGCTGGATAACACAGCTGCCCTCGCCTCCCACAAATAGATGTGTTTCCTTCCACTCACTGGGCGAGGCCACGCAATACGTCTGTTCGTCCTTAGTGTGCAGCAAAACAAGTGTTGGTCCGCGGTAGCCAAGAACGTGGTGCAGAAACCGATTGGCTCCCACGCCGTGCTCGTTGGAATCATACAGAAGGGTCCAATGCGACGGCATCATTGATAGTTTTTCCTTAAAGATTTGTACAGCTGTCGAGGCACTGACGTTGTTGTTCCCCTTTGTGGCAGGTGGAGCGACAGTTTGTGGTTTGGAGTATAGTGGCGGTAGAGCTCCAGCCAGCAGCCAGGCTTGCGAGAGTGGCATCAGAGAGTCAAGATCTCGACCAACACCTCCACTGTGGTCCGTGGTATCCGTGAAGGGATTGCGCTGCTCCAGCACCGGAGTTTGTAACTCGATGCCGCAAGATTGGTTCTGCTGCTCCAGGCCGCGATAAGCGGTGGATAACGTATGTACACAGTATTTGTGAACCAATAGTACAAGCCTCATCAGGTTCTGCTCAAACCAGCGGCAAACGTAGCCCAGACTCATACTGTCGTGGCACAGAAAAATTGACTTGGTTACCGACCCGAACGTGCGATTTATAGCTGAGCACAACACGGCGTTGCCCGAGTGCTGCATGGCAATAGTGTAGCAGATATGGAGTAGCCGTGTAACGCCTGTCTTGTCGATTAAGTCCGGATTGTCTTCTTGGGCGTACATCTTGATGTAGCACTCTAGTGTTTTGGTGTCGTCCATAATGCCCAGGAAACGTTCACATTGCTGCCGGAAAGCTACCGCTCCAAGATGCTTTGTGGTGGCCTTGGAGTTTGAGTGCATAAGGTTGAACAGCCGCTGGCCTAAGTCGGTATACTGTGGAAATACTTGTGACTGGCAAAATATGTGTTTTTTATATTATTTGGAGTGCCCGGTGTTATCAGTTAATTACTCACCACAAAGACATCTGCCACAATGCCATTAATGCCAAGTTTTGCTGACGTCTGTTCTCTGAGGATCTCGGCCAGCTTCTCTACTGGGACCAACTGTGTGAGATACTTCTCGGTGACATCCGCCCCTGAAGCGGACCTAGTCATCGTTCCTTGCGCCTGCTGCACCTTTAGACTGTTGTGACTGCCGCCCACGTCAGAGACTCCGTTGTGAGAGGCATCGCTGGACTTATGCTGCTGCTTGTGCAGCTTCCCTCCGTCCAGGGGCGGTTCACTAGCATCGGATTCACCCTTGGAACTTGCGTTGCCCATTTTAGTGACGATTCGCGGATTCTACTTCGACGCAATTAGTTCTCAGGCAGTGGAAACGTACAACTAAAGGGCATAAAAAAGGCCAAACGCAGGTTTGCACTGGAAACAAATTGGCAAGGCGCAACAGGTGCAGGGACGTTTTGGCCAAAGAAACAACTGCGACGCGTCGCAAAACCTGTTATGAAACACACAAATACAGCGCTAACAAATCAGGTAAATATATTTACATAATTAAACGCAAATTAAGCTTTGAAACGAGAAAATAAAAACAAACCAAGCAAGTGTGGCCGTTCGGGAGTTGCAGAATAATACCGATTTTAAACATCCCAATTTAAACACCAGGAACAAAACAACAACACTATCTACAAAGTATGTTCGGTTGAAATGCACCAATTATGTGATACTCACTACTACGAAGCTTATAGAGATTTCATGTTTGTTTACATGGATAATAGATGTTTTAACCAATATAAAAGGAAATATTTATTACTTTCCCTTTGCGCTATCCTGTATTGAAATAAAATTCATCCTTTTACGAGCATATACTTTTAAGGTTGGATTCTTTTTCAACTATCACATAATTTTATTTATAAAAATATATACCCTTTTTCGTAACCAATATAGGGTATTAAAGATAAATAAAACCAAAACAAATGGTGGCACCAGCTGGCACTCTCCAAAATAATACAAATTCCGACGAAGATGAGGGTGTCCGGTCGGCCCCAACTTCAATGCTGGTGCTGGACGCCAAACGGAAGAGTGCCTTCCTGCCTTACCGACCCCAGTCCACGGTATTAACAAACCTACAACGCGGGAACACCGAGGCCACCTTTTGTCCAGTCGAGGTTTCGCTCTCTTTCCACGAACGAGCTGGCCAGGGAGAGATCACTGAGGAGCAGGTTGCTGCTGAACAGACGCGTCAGCAGGACATTGACCAAAAAGACAGTCATGGTTTCACGGCCCTCCATTGGGCAGCTTCCTATGGGCAACTGGTGTCTGTGCAGCTCCTCGTTGCTGCTGGTGCCAATGTAAATAATATGGCCCCGGATCTGGTCAGTCCACTTCTTCTGGCCGCTGCTGGTGGGCACAACGAGATCGTCCGCTTTCTGCTTGAGCACGGCGCGGATTCCGGTCACATGGACATTGTTGGGAGTACGGCGCTCATGTATGCAGCTGCCGGCAATCATCCTCATACTTGCAATGAGTTGCTGGCGAGAGATTTGGATCTGAGTGCCACTAACGAGGACGGGGACACTGCATATTCCCTTGCCGTGGAGCATGGCGCTCATCTGGCTCAGGCACTGCTGGAGCAGTACATGACGGCAATAATAACGGCGGGTGCCTTCGGTAGTATTTAATTGTATGTAGATTTAAGGCTTTAATGTTTTGTATAAGTCTAGAATCATTTGTCCTGTTTTAAAAAAAGTGTAAAGCTCAAAGCACAATTAAATCATAAGTCATAAATACCCTCATTCTAATAAGTCGTAAAATACATTTGTATATTAGAACTCAAACATTTTATTCTTGCTCTTGCGCGTCTGCTGTTCTTTGCTCAGGCTGCGTTCCTGGGCCTGCAGCAAAGCCAGCTCCTGTTTGTGGCCTTCAAACTGCACTTGTAGTCGTTTCTGGACCTGTGCATCTCCAGAGTTTCGGTCTATCGACTGTTTCACCTTAGCCATGTCCCGTTGCTTTCGGCGTATTTCATCAGCAACTCGCACTGTTTCTACATTAAGAGCTTTAGTCGAGTGCTGCTGTAGTTCGTTCGTTTTAACCTTCTTAGCTACAGGCTCGCCTGACTCTGACTTTTCTCCAGGACCCAGAACACTACCGTTTAGAAATGTAAAAACATCTGTACGCTGCGACTCCCTGACGTAAGCTTTTTCGTCCACTTTTCGCTGTCGCCGCTGGGCACGCTTCAGCTTTCGCTCCACGCTGAAATAGTCCTTATCGCCATTAGCGGCCTCACGCAGTTCCATGCAGGCGTCTAATGATCGACCCTGAGGAAGTATCTGGGCGCTTACTGGGGTTACGATGCCTCTTCCATCTGAGCCAAGTCCAGTACCATGAATATAGCCCATTTTTTCCATAAGTTTAGATCCAATGCCCTGTAATGTGCGTGTTTGGTAAAGGTCATACCGTTGTATTTAAGCAGACTGCTCTACTTACTCGTGTATACTCCTCCCATGCACCCAAACGTTCCGTTGGCTTAAAAGTAAACAAACTTAACTCGACCATTCGGGCTCTCCTAGCTTCTTCCACGTCATCCATATCCGAGTCTTCCTCGTCACTGCTGTCGTCATTCATGCTGGAGATGCTGTCTTCATTTGAAAGCTCGTCATCTTCATCCTGGTCGGTGGTTAGTGGAAACAGCTCTTCGAATTTAAAGTCACGTTCGCGCTCCTTGTGGTCCTGTCCATCTAAGCGCACTCGGCACACTTGTTCTATGAAATTTACACAAAGAACACGACCACGGTGCCACAAGCGGTCCGGAAGTAGCGCAAACACAGGACGACTACGGGCCAGTTTGTGGAAATCCGGTGGGTTGTATTTTCTAATAGAGCTACCGGGGACCAGGGCGCCATGGGAAAAGCGACACCTTGTTTCATCAAAACGGCACTCTCCTTCGAGGTAATAGGAACAAGGCAACATTTCTCGATGTGTCGGATTTGTAAAAAGCACTCTTAGTCTAGCATCCAAGAAGCCTTCGCTGTTCATAACCACTTCGTCGTCCACTCCGCAGATTAAGGCATTATGATAGCATGTACCCCAACTGTGCTCGTGGGGAGCGGAACATTTCTCACCCACCATGGCTGAGTACTTGGTCCTTAAATTAGCAAGTTGCCGCTCTTCATCTACCGCCTCTTTGCGTAGCGCCCGTCACTTCCAGCTCGTTGAGCTCGCTTTTCAATCGCTGCAGCTCGTCGTCCAGGTCGTCTTCCTGATGAGGTACTTTATCGGTAGATGGTTCATCTCCTGAATCCCGGGTGAGGGCCAGCAGCTCCTGCAGGTTAGTTTTTAGGTCCAAAAGTTCCTGGCGTTGCGCTTCATCCGTGGCATTTTCCAACGCCTGCTCCACAACGAGCAACTATTTGATGCAAGGATTGTCATAAAGGAATTTAAGAAAAAATGGGATCACCTTTGCTCACTTGTGATTCGTATTCATCCATAACCAATTTAATTTGTTTGTTAAATCATTATGCGGCTTCGACGTTGCAAGTCTTTCAGATTTTCAAAAAGATGCGACTATAGGAGCTCACACATGAACAGTCGCAGCTAAGGTTATAGGTCTCTTCTTATTTAGTAGATAAATTTTAAAAAGATACATTTTTTATGTTTATTGATAAAAATAAGTATTTAATTAAATGCTAAAAATGAAGAAGATAATATATTTAAATATATGAAATCATTACCTAAAATTTGAATTTAATTACTATTTAACCAACCGCCATTGTTTTTAAAGCACAACTTCTGGCAGCACCATCAGCTGAATGCTCGTGAGTTTTTCAACACTGACAAAACACCGGTAAACGAAACTCGTGTTGTTGTTTTGATTTTTTGGTTACATATTATTAGATTTAATAGGATTTATTATGCAGTTTTCTTTGAATTTCACAAGGAGCAGCATAGTTCCTCGACTGCACCGTTTTACATGCAAGATTGCCGTGGACGTGGATCCAGCCGTGGTCTCGGCATTGGAACAGGCCACCCTGAAACCCAGGAAACATCCCGGCGTGGTGAGACCCAATCATGTGGAGCTCCCTAAACAATTGAGTGATACTCTAAAGCGAATCGTGGGCGACCATCCTGTCAAGAAACTAATACATGACGGCCAACAGCTCAACGCCTACATCAAATCTCGCCATCCGCCTCCTACACAGGATGAGATTGAGAACAAGAAACGACTCATCATTGAGGAGATAAACTCAAAGATGCCTCTTGATCGCCTAGCGACACTGGGCGAGGAGGAGGTGGAACGATGGAAGCGAAAGCGGGAACAAGAGATTAACAAAAGACTGAGTCAGCGAATATACGCCTGGAAACGGATCGAATACGGTCCATACGAGTCCCTTGTCTATGCCATAGCTCGTGGTGCTCAGGAGTACGCCGTGATGAAGCGCGTTCTTACAGAGCTTGCACTGCGGGATGAGCAGTTCCGGCCACGCAGCTTCTTTGATTTTGGATCCGGCATCGGTACTGGCATGTGGGTGGCCAGCGAACTGTGGCGCGATCACATTTTCGAGTACTACAACGTGGACAGGTCCAAGGAGATGAACGAGATCTCTGAGTTAATTCTTCGGGACGGCCACGAAAACAAGCAGATAGCCTTGCGCAATGTTTTTTATAGACAATTTCTGCCGGCCATTGAAACCAATTACAATCTGGTCATTATTTCTCATACTCTCTTCGAGTTGGTAGACAAAGAGCAACGGGAGGACGTTCTGCGGAATCTGTGGCGAAAGTGCGATGGGTACATGGTCATAGTGGAGGAGGGAACCCGACGTGGTAGCGAGCTGGTCAACGAGGCCAGGCAGTTTTTATTAGACCTGGATCAGGAGGGACATACTGTAGCACCCGTAAGATTTTAGATATCAAATACATAAGAATTTTTAATAACTAATTTATACCTTTAGTGTCCGCACGACGTTCTCTGTCCCCGTCTTCGAGATCTGTCCGATCGCACGCCCTGCAACTTCCCGATTTCCTTCGCTCCTTTGCGATTGGGCAGCGATTCCTTGGCGGATCGTCATACCTCCCTCTATAGCTATGCTATTCTGCGGAAAGGTCCCCAATCCGATAGTTCCAGCTCCTGGCCGCGGATTGTACGACCCACCTTGGTAAGGTCAAAGCATGCTATCTGCCGGGTCTGCACGAATGAAGGCAATCTCCAAGAGGTCATTTTCACAAAGTCCAAGCACGGAAAGTGAGTAAAACCCACTTTTGCTTTTTCTAAGACTTTTCTAGCAAATATATCTTCTTTCCAGGTCTGCTTATTCTTGTGCGAAAGTAAGTCGTTGGGGGGATCGTTTGCCTATGTCGTTGGGACAACCGCAAGTCAATCCCAGCTCAACAGAATCACCCGCCGAAGAAGAAACTGTCTTAGCGTAGTTTAAGCTGTTAAATCAACATGTTAGGCATAAAGTCACGCCCTGAAGCTAATTGATACTAAAAACTGGCAACCAATTAGTCTATTTAATTATGTGCAAACAAATCGTTTCGGGCGGAGCTGAAATTAATTAAATAGTTGCATTTAAATTAACCATAGAATCCAAATGGCAGGGCCGCATGCTCATTGATACTAAATTTTGTTCAACGGTCAACACACCCTCACCTAGTTTTTAATGTTTGGCAAGACAAAAGGCGGATGCGACTGCGGATGGGTTGGCCCTGCCGTTTTGGATCAGCTTGTTATGTAATGTCACTAGTATATAAGAGTCTTTGCTTGGCCAATGGTCGCCGATGTCAGCAATCCCATTTGTATCCCATCCTGTATTTGTGGAGGGATATTTGAGCAGCGTTGGAGGCGCCGTTATTTCATCAACATTTTACTTTCAGAATGTAATATATTTAAACATAATTAACTAGAATAGTGTTGTTATATTTTGGATATTAAAATACCTGCTTATAAATATCAAGGTTTTTTTTTTAATATTTCTTTTAGTTATAATAGATCTTGTTACTCAGTCGCAATGTCTGGACTATAACTCCGTTTTAGTGGCCAATCCCACCTTGCCTGACATTTAGTTATGCGACTTTCAAAGTCTTAATAGGAGACGCGCCCTTTTAACGACCGCAGATCATCCCCTGCAGACATTCATCGCTTTTTGAAGTCCTGTGAGGCAAAAAGGGCATAGCGTGGTCGGAAAAGGGCAACATGTGGGGCGCGAAAAGTGGCACGCCGATTGGAAGGGGATGGGTGCGGAAGGACTACTTCCATATACATCAGGTTTTAGGGATTGGCTTTGGAAAAAGGTGTGTTATAGAGTAACGAACCGTGGATACATAAGGACGGATTTAAAACAGAGTAGGAAAGGACTCTATTCAACGGGCTGCTATCCTATGGGATTTTCTTGATTAAGGCTTACATTTTTGTATCAAATTTAATTTAGAGCAACTCTTTTAATATCTTATCACAAATTGTTTTGAAGACTCTTACATAGATTATATTGTTAAAATATTCTTATATTGTTGTTATTATCTTTGTAAGCTCTTTTAAACATATTTTTAGTGTTACCAATAATATTCTTCAGTGCTCTATCAGCGTTTACATAGAGTTAAAAAAATTGATCAATCTTGTAATTAAATACTCTGTTAGCAGCTTACATTTGCTGATAATCATTTTCAAATTTTGCTTTATTTTAAACTGGATGGGATATCGGTTCCTAAAAGTGGGTTATGAAGATAATTCAATTCATATTTTCACACCACATTTCTTGTGGGACCCAAATTTAATTAGGAAATGCATTTACACAGTCATTAACCCATTTAGAGGTGCGTATAAATGGCAGGATATATGACAGGATCCAACGACTGCTCTGTGTGCCAACCAAAGTCCATGCCCAGTTTCTGGATAAGCACACGTCATGGCGACCCTGGGGCAGTGGCATCTCCATCTCCATTTCCATCTGGGCTCTATGTAATCACTCCGGGTGATACTAGGTGGGGTCGCTGGTCGCTCGTTAAAAAGGCGCGTTCGCCGATGGTGTCAGCTGTCGCTCCGCTTCCATTTGGCTATTTGTATTAGTAAGGTGCGTCCCACAACAACAACTACAAGTAAATAATGGTGGCGTTTAGAAAGCATGCGCCGCTGTTGCAAGTGGTGCTAGTGACCCACCCACCCATTCAGCTAGACTGTCAGTCCAGTCAGCCAACCCCAACCGAGGCAACTCAGCCAACCAGGCAGCCGGCATTGTCAGCGCTTCCTTTTGTTCCCTAACCGTGAGTCTCTAGTTCTAATACGCTTGTACATACATAGTTAGATAGGTCGCCCGGGTCCGGGCGTTGATCACAAGTGGCTACCTACTAACTGGCGCTGGCTTCTGGCCATCAGTTCGAATCCGAGCGTGGCCGGGAAAAGTTGTGGTTGCGGTTCCGATGGCACCCATAGATCCAGTGAAAGTTACTTGGTTGATTATTTGTCCTGACTAAATTTAAGTCCTTTAGCGGCATATTTCATTCGCGCCTGTATCTTGCTGAACCGTTACCATATTGGCCCAAGATCCGGTTGAGCAAAATTTCAGGTGTGTGAGAAATTTGTTAAGCATTCATCGAAGGATTTCTAAAAGGATAAGTTTGTTGAGGGTCTTTATCTGGTATGTATTCAGGTGAATTGGAAGAAGTGGAATATAATAGTACAGATTCTTCTTCTCAGAATCAATAAGTCAAAAGCGTTGAGGCGCAACGTAATAGAAATTCGAATTTGTATAAGTTTACTAAAATAAATTTGTCATAAAATCACGCCATTAGTCATGATTTGTCAAATCCAGAGCAACAAAACTGTGGAAATAAACCACTTCCGATGAGCTTCAGATTTTGTCAAACATCATATTTAATCACTCCTGAGGCACACGCAGTACCCACGGTTATCAGTTTTTGGTTTTCGGTCGCTACAGAGATTTATGGCACCGAAATCGCCCACGACAAAAGCTTTAAAGAAGCCCCAACAATTCGGACTTTGCTTCCTAAGAAATATTGTTCTTGTATACAAGTCATAACAGCTACAATTACACTGAAATTGCATGATAACTAAACTCCTCCAAAATTTGATCGTGTTAGTGGTTTGTGGGTGCAATGATACTGGCGAAAAAATCAACTAGACCAAGCCGGATTACCTAAAACGAGGAATTTATGTGATTGTCTTGATTTGGTACCAGAAGTGATGAGCCTCCATGCGTCTTATTTACGACTTCCTATAGCCTTTTATGGCGCGAAACGATCATAAATTGTAATCTTATCGTTTACTTGGTGATCGCCGGCGTGCAGATTGTAGATGTAGTCAATATTTAAACTTATCGAACACTTATGTAAATTGTTATTTATAGTATTGGAACGAACTTCTCCAGTCATCGAGTATTTGCCACTTTATAAATCCCCGGAACCAGCTTAGACCGAAGTTCAAGCCCAACCAGCTGCTGATCACCAGTAGCACTTGATAAAGCCGTGACGTTTCGTAGGTTTTTTACACTTTGCTCCGTTCTCCATTATTAGCTTTGGAACATACATTACTTACTATATCAATCGGCTTTTGTTTAGTTCGAGTCGAGAACGGTCAAAGTCCATCTGAGGATTGAATCATATTGTTGTATCGGTACTCGTTTGATGGAGCAATTAATACGATAATAACTAAATAAGCACTTATCAATGAAGTTAAGTAACTAAGGAAATGTCAAGTGGGACAGAGCTGTGAGGAATGTCGAAATCTGAATAACAGAAAGTGAAAGCACAATGATTATACTGGAATTCATGGTGATTCGGTTTTAAAAATATCTCAGGCATTAGAACTATGATAATTAAGTATTTGAGAGTGAATATAAATAAAGTATACGAAATCCAACAAAAGTTTTTAGTCACTAAATGTTAACGTATTCTTCTCAACGACTTATTTGTACATCGATTGAAAGGTATTTTATTGATATAATTTCCATCATTGACAAACTAAACTTTGTTAAGTTAAATAAATATTCATATATTTTTGTTCTTTTCGTTTATGTTATAAAAACTATTACAAATTTTCATTAGTAAACATTTAAAAATAATTTCTAAAGCATTATAATGTATAAAATACTGAGAATTAAGTACATTTAAGTAGCTAAAAATATCACTCTACTCCCTATAAAACCAATTAAGAATAAAAAAAAGACTTCCGATAACCTTGCTCCGTGAATCTTAATTAACGGCAAGGGACCAATGAACAATGGACAAGGAAGCTAATCGGTGAAGTAACTCTGATTCATGAGCAGGCACAAAGAGCCTTAATAAGCAAAGTTGGTTGTTGGTGGGCACATTCTGAATATATAGGCATTGTAAACTGGCCCGATAATGTTGTCCGGGGATAGAACTCGCTATTGTTTCGCTGTGCGTTGCCATTGGCATAGAATAAAACCGAAACGAAGAAATCGACGGCGGCGCGGGAATGTTTATTACGTATTACGTATACGACCATTATGAAGTGTCGAAGAAATTCGATATGTGGACTTGTGACCCGAGCACGAACCGTTGTCAACCGGGCCAATCGGGCCGAGATCGTACTGCCAAAAAACTTAAAACTCAATTAGCTGCCACAGGTGAGTAGCTAAGTGTATGTACTGCAGGTGTGTCAGTGTTTGTGAGCGGCTCTTATCAGCGAAGGAAAACGACAATATAACAACGCCAAAACACTAATAACCGATGCGAAATATACGCCAGCAGAGACTGCCGAACGATCTTCGGGTCAGAGATGAGAACTTAGCTAACAAAATAAAATGAATAAGATATGTAATTACTTACAGAGTTTTTTAATTTTACCGTTAATGTAGAGATTGTTTGTTAATAAGAAATTTTCAATCATATAATCTTTAATTTTAATTTCCTAAAGTGTACCTTCAAGATATCACATAGAATTCCCTTCTATACAGAACTGTATGATCAGTCACTTTGTGCTTGAATTGTAAACTTTTCAATAACGTCAAGTTTTAAAACTAGAAACAAAACAGGTTTGATATTATAGTAAATGTTCTTATACATTAACATTTTCTTTTTTAAGATATAAGACATAAAGGTTTAATAATTCCCCGCCAGAGACGGAAAACCTGCCACCACTGAACGCCTTCGATAAAGCCTGCGTTGAAAGCACACCCACTTGGGCGCTGAGATACACAACACACACCAGCTGAGACGGCCGATAGTGTTCTTTGTGGCCATTGAGTCGTCAGCTGGGCCGATGAAGCGACTCTCCGACTTCTGGGGGGAACGGGTACTGGATCGGGAACGGCAACTGCTACTGCCATATAGCATTATAGCAGCTAGCTGGGATCACTGTTTGTTTACTGACCGCCAGTCGCGCACGTCGCTTCGAAGACGCTGTTACTCGGTTATGCGAATCGCGAGTTAAGTCGCTGGAATAAACTTGTCCTTATAAATCTCTTCCAGAGTGTGATAGTCCTGACACTTTAAAGGGTAAGGACTTCCCTTAAGTGTGGGCATAAGAAAAAATCAAGTGTAATCTAAATACAAAATTCTATGTTTACAAAGCTTGCGCCTTTAATTTATAAATTTTAAATTATATAAAAAATACATTATTGTTAAACTTTAAAGTTTGTGATTTATGTTAAATCAATCTAAGTGAAAACATGAAAATAAAACCATTAAAAATACAAAATAACGTGATAAATTAGAAGAAGGGAAAATTTTCAACTAAAGACAAAGGACAATTGTCGTTAGCCAGTACAGTATATATTATCTTCGGAAACAATTTTATAACAATTTTAAGGAAATTAGAATTTTGTAGTGATATGTGTACATAAAAAAGAAACACAATTTTTGACAATTTAAAAGTTGCATGCAATGATTATTGAGCAGACGAAGAAAAATGAATAAACGTTTTTTTAGACAGAAATTTATTGGCCAAGAACTTATCAGTGAAGTTAGATATAAACCCCAGTCTTTGTTAACAAATTGTCAGGGGCATAAAACTGATTCGAAGCACATAAAGGCAAGTGTTAAATGACTTAATGATTCATGCTTCGATATCTGCGATGGAATAGATACAAGTGATATGTATCTTTTGGCGTCAGTAGACCTGATCACTTCTGGGTCACTTCCGTTAAGACGACCCCCACCGGGTCGCATGACTATGTAAAACTGCTTAATCCGCTTTCTGTGTTCTGGATTGGCGATATGCGAATATAAATGAATTCGATTAACTGTACAGTTAGTGCTGTCACAGAATGCGGCAATCGCATTAAAAATCAATACGACAATAACCAGGGCCCAAAGATGGGTGGCGGCGGGTGTTATTTCTGAATTATCACATTATCAGAGTATAAACAGAAATCTGTTCCCATCGATCGGGATGGCGTTGCTCCCGTTTTCCCCCCGCGATCTCCGCTCGAACAGCTGCTGTTTTCGCTTCCATCTCCATCTCTCAGCTGCAGCGCAGAAAATCAGAATCGGAGAAGGGGATCCATGAACCGGTTTGCTCGGTCATCGATGCGAGGTATACAAAACATTGTTTCAGGGCAGCATCCAGTACATAAGTGCTGCTACGATGTTGGGCTATATATACGGACTCGGCGACATAAAGGCAGACATTTAAGTCCCCAAAAGTAGCAGGCAAACACGAAATATAAAGCTCAGGTCGAACAAAGGAATCCAAGAAATCGGAAAGTCCGGCAAAACGTGACCATAGAGCTCTGGTATCAATCAATATTGAAATTCAGCCAAACCTGATTAAGGCCCATCAACGTCACTCTCCGCTAGGGCCACTCCCTTCGTAACCCCGATTCTCCTTCCCGGGAATCCGGGGCATTGACATAGGTAATTGTGTTTGACAGCCCTGATAACAGCTTGTAAGTGCAGGGTTCAAGTGCAATTCTCATTAGCGAAGTCCCTACCTTTCCCAACTACTAACAAAAATAGAAAAGGGAAACGTCCCAGTTGCCCGGCCAGGGAATTTGCTCAGTTCGTGATAAGGCAGTCACAAATATTATATAGTAATTCGTCACAGCTTCGACAACAAATAAATTTATTCTTATTTTTCTATACATGACAATGCTGTTATCATGATTTCATATGATCATCTGGAACTAGGGAATCAGTAGCATAAATATTTATAACTCTGCCTACCGTTTAAGAGGGTCTTTCATTGAATATCTATAACTTATTAATTATTGAAATATTCTGTAAGACTTAACTACAACCTCGCATTGATAATCCATAGACAACCCATCTTTATAGCTACAGCTTTGTCACCAGCAGTATTGACGACAACGGCTCTTCCATTTGTTGTTAACTCTCCGCATGGGACAATGCTTTTGTTATGATCAGTTCGGATGGGATCGGATCAGATCGGTTGGGATCGCGGATCAATAGCAGATGTGCATACGACAACATTCACGATTGCAATTTCATTTCCACTCAATTGTGCCGTTTTATTGTTTGCCCGCCTCCGCCTCAACGGCTGTACCTTGATCTTTTCGCAAATCTGTGCATTAAATGTACTCGCATTTAATTGTCTCTTGCGGCAGTGCGAAATGTGGAGTAAACTGCGTGCTACATTTTGCTTATGTAAACTCACAATTAATTGGGACTGTTGCAGATAACTGAAATGTTTCATCACCCATCCAATTTGACAGATCTTCGTTTAATCTGGGGTATCATCTACAAGGGATTAGTTGCTTTTTCCCTGTCAATTTTAGGGCTCTATAAATAAACAATCGCAACCAATTCGAATGATGAGGTCTAGATGACAAAGGTTGATCGATCTGTCAGCGTTCGATCAAAGTGCGAATTGAGCTGCAATGAAACCAGTTTTAATGGGCTAAGCTAAATATTTGATATTGGTCAGCAACAGGTTGCACACCAGATTCGCAGATTTAGTCACGCATCTTGCATAATCTGCAAAATTAAATAATTTGCAGACAAGCTTCCAAAAAACCAGACATCATATTTCATTTGCACAACTAATTTAAAAATATTAAGGCTTTTGCTATTGTTTTTTCTTTTTTGTGCTAGAGGTAACTGAGATGTATAATACGTCTTAGTCATCAATAAAGTTAAAATTAATACTGATTATATAAACAAGCCTCTACTTCCAATTGATTAGCAATGTTAAATCAAAAACAAAGAGTGATAAAGATAAGACTTATCTTCTAGCTAAGCATAATCAAAAAGGAACAAATATATTTAAATTTTAATGATTGTATAAATACACACAATATTAAAAGGTTCGAATTATTAAAAGGTTTTTTAACTCCTTCCATAGGTTATCCCAGAATCCCAGAATGGCGACATCGCGGGAACAGTTCTTGTTCGGCAACGAAAACGGAGTTGCCGGCCTCGGTTTGGGTATTGAGGTCGGGGAGGTGACCTCTAGTCGAGTCTACAACACCACCACAGTGCCTGTTAGCAATTCTGGAGGATGGCGAAATGCGCAGTCTAGTGTCACGCCCCCACCAGTCCCCACTCCGCCGCAGGTGGCGTATACCAATGGATCCACATCCGCGGCCAGTAAACAGCCGCCATTGGAACCCGTGGTGGAGGAGGAGGTGCACTTCGATACCGATGCCCTAAACAACCTGCCAGCCCGTGAGCCCGTGGACATGGAATTCAGAGAGCTGTCCCTCACCGTGAAATTGGGCTTTAACCGAGGTGAGCTACCAAAGGAAGGCGCCATTTACGATCCACTGTGATCGCATGATCTAAGATATGGCTCGATAAGATTGCAAGTGGGAAACTTAAAATTAGCTAGGAGCTATGACCATGTTCAGTTTTTATGTGTTTTACGATCAGCGGTTACTCTTTGTGATGTGTTCTTACAGATCGACCTTAAGAAGTTGTTATCCTTTTGATATAGTGAACGCTCTGGATATTAATTTAAAGTATTGTTTTTTGAAACCAGTTTTATAAATAGAATAGTGCAAGTTTAGGGAAGATTTCAATTGAATATTAGAAAAAATATAACAAAAATATGGATGTTTGTAGATTATAAGAAATTTGTCTTCAAGGTTATTGCTTTCGGCAATGCTTCACATACCAATCAGCCATAAACACTTGCTTGCTAGTTCTTTTACCAACTTGGTTTCCCATTGATTAGATAAGCGTCGATCACTCCGATCACACCTCCTTCCCGGTTGTATATATTTCGGCAAGGCGTTTGTAACGCGGCCAGTTAGTCATTCATAAATTCCCTATTGTAGAGTTTACACAATAAGAAAGAATAACTTCTCCTTAAGAAAATGAATAGAGTATTTGTAGTTCAATATAAATGTTTAAAAAGAGTCTAACTTGCTAATTTCAAAGTTCAGAAGGAAGCAAACAGTAATTGATATCGGTATTGCCTTGCCCCTGGTAACTTGATTAGAACCCCGGTTGATGACCATACAATTATTTGCCCCGTGGCGGTAATTATACTAAAATAAAGATAATATGTGTGGTCAAATGTAAGGTAGATTGAAATCATGCCATTTTTATCATTGTGCTAAAATTGTATCTTGTTAAGGGAAATCAAAGTCTTTATTAAAATGGATTTTATGTTTTATTAAGCTGTTTTGAGTTGATTAGAGTACCTAACTAATCAGATTAGTAAATACAATGTTCAATAGTCGTTAATTATCTTGCTAAAATGACAGGTTTTAACTGTCTTTTCATATGCAACGATTTTAAAAATTGTTTAGCAGCTATTTGGTCTACTTACACTTTCTTGATTGATTAGGTATTTTTTCAAAGTTTCGTTCTTAAAAAGTTATTCAGTCAAGCAGATTAATAAAGCTAAAAAATGATATTTTAATTAAATAATACATAGGGGTAACATTTTTGATTGAGCCATTACCTTACTAGCCGTTTAATTGAGTTTAGTTATAGCCGGCAGTTGATTCAAGGAAAAAATCATTCGCTGCACGTGTATTTACGGGTTGTCCGTTGGTTCCCTGAACCTTGATACCAACGACCGTATAAAAATGTCTACTAAACGTTTATGGTCATTTATGATAGCATTAAGTAATTTCGCGGTTTTTTAGGATCCAAGGAAATCTTGCACAATGTATGCGGAAAGTTCCCCGGCAGCCAACTCATCGCCATTATGGGCCCTTCGGGAGCAGGAAAGTCTACTTTACTAGATGCTTTATCGGGTTTTAAAACGACCGGCGTGGATGGCTCCATCTTGCTTAATGGTCGACGGCGTGACTTGCGTAAGTATTATATAAAATCTTTCAAGTTGAAAAGCATTATATCTGATGTTTCTTGTTCAGCCTCCTTCCGTCGCATGTCCTGCTATATCACGCAGGATGATCGTCTCCAGCCTCTACTGACCGTGAATGAGAATATGCATATAGCCGCCGATCTTAAACTGGGTCAGACTGTCAGTTATGAGGAGAAGGAGAGCAGGGTGAGTCCATGAGTTGTCTTCAGTTGTTAGTCAATATCATAACTTCCACCACTTCCTTGGAAGATCGAGGATATTCTGCTGCTTCTAGGTCTGTACGATCACGATCAGACCCTAACAATGCGCCTGTCCGGTGGCCAAAAGAAGAGGCTATCCATTGCCATGGAGTTGATCAACAATCCCACTGTGATGTTTCTGGACGAGCCCACGACGTAAGAATCAATATATATTTACCAATCTAAGAAAGATTTACATATTCATTTTCTTTTCCAGTGGCTTGGACAGCAGCTCTTGCACAAAGGTCCTGGAGTTGCTCAAGAGGTTGACCAGTCAAGGTCGAACCATTATCTGCACAATCCATCAGCCTACGGCTAAGTTGTTCCAGATCTTTGATCAGGTTTACGTTCTATCAGCTGGAAACTGTGTCTACCAGGGCAGCACCCAAAAATTGGTGCCATTTCTGCATTCCGTGGATCTGCCCTGTCCCATGTACCACAATCCAGCGGATTACAGTGAGCTTAGCTAAATATTTTGCCTTGAATGAGACACTAATTAAACCCTTAATATTGCAGTTATCGAGCTGGCCTGCGGAGAGTATGGCTACGACAAAGTATACACCCTTAAAGTTGCCACGGAGAACGGGAGCTGCCTGACTTGGTTTGACAATCCCAGTGCCGTGTTGCGTTCTGATGTTTTGATGAGAAAGTATCCTATCCCAAAGAAAGCTAAAAGCCGTTCCTTGGAGGACACCAGCTACTCAAACCAATGCTCTGTGCTACTGCGACGCGGTTTCATCAAAGCCAAACGAGACACGACGATGACGCACTTAAGGATCGGAGTCAATATTGCGGTGGCTGCTTTGTTTGGAGCCATGTACGATCACACGGGACGAGAGGGATCTCGAGTGCTGGACAACTATAACTTACTATTTGCCATACTTATGCACCACTCAATGACCACGATGATGTTGACTGTTCTGACTTGTAAGTTTACATTAATTTATTGAATGGAAATGTTAACTAAATCAAATTACCTTTAATCAGTCCCCATGGATATTTCCATTCTGATCAAGGAGCACTTTAACCGCTGGTACTCACTCAAAGCTTATTACACTGCCATGACCCTTGTGGACCTGCCCATATCGGTGAGCTTTCGATTTAATTTTTCCCAATTTAGTCTTATTAACTAAGGTTTATCCTTTATAGACTATAAGTTGCTTTCTCTTTTACGGTAATCGTTTACCTATGGAGTTATCAGCCTATGGAGTGGGTTCGCTTCTGGATGTTCTTCGCCATTAGTTTACTGACCGTGTTTGTGGGCCATAGTTTTGGTTTGATGATTGGTGCCTGGTTCGATGTGGTCAACGGTACATTCTTGGCTCCAGTACTAACTATTCCGATGATGATGTTTGCCGGATTTGGAGTGACTTTGCGGGATCTGCCAAGCTACTTAAGATGGGGCAGTCACATATCATACTTAAGATATGGATTAGAAGGCTTCATAGCGGCCATATATGGTCTGGATCGAGGAGTTCTGGCCTGCGATGAGGCGCCCTACTGCCATTACAGGTATATAGTTTCAGGCATTTATGATTTTTCGATATTTAATATTTTTATCGCCCACAGGTATCCAAAGAAATTCTTAGATGAAATAACCATGAGAGGTGATCAGTTCTGGAACGATGTCATTGCTCTGGTTGCCATGATCCTAATTTTCCGACTGGTTTCCTACGTCGTGCTCAAGGCCAAGATCAAGTCAATCAGATAGGCTGTTTAGGGAAGACACACCTGTTGCCCATTCCTTGTATTAGAAATTAATTGTTGAACATTACGTTTAGTGCTATTAATATTTAAATAATATGTACAAGTACATAAAAACTGTTAAATAAAGCTACGATTTGTAACTAGCCTAGAAAGCCACGTTGACCTCTGTATCACACATTTCAGTTGCTCAGGCCTTGGGCAACTTCGGATTCTACTTTTGCATCGGATGTTGTTTTTAAAAGCTGATGTAGTTCTTTCGCACTTGTGGCCATTTCGGTGGAGTTCAGCTGTGATTACACTTTTTGTTAGCCTATTGTAGTTTCAAAATTTCCAAAATACTTACCACTACAACCTTTTGCCCAAGGGATTCCAGCAGTCTCTTCTTAAGGCGCAATAGCGATGTAGGTTGCTTGCTAAACTTTAGGGTCTGCTCTGCGGTTAGCAGTTCCACAAAGTACACACTCTCCTGGTCGCCCATTGTCTGTACTCGCAAGCTCGGCAGATTTATTCCAACAATGGGACACACCAAATCCACGCCCTCCACTTCTAAGTCCTCATTTAGGTCTTTGGCATATTTGGTCAAGTCCGGTCGATCCCTCAGCAAATAATTTGGTGCACGATCAAATTCTTTGAATGCCTGATCTGTTTTAAGTCGTGCGATTGATGGCTGCTCAATGGCTACAGCAGATCGCAGGACAATCAACCGGCTATCCACCTTGGGTTGATCACGTTGTCGTCGTTGTCCTGCCTTAAGTTCTTCGGCTGCATCAATCAGATCCTTAGAGTAGTGTCCCAAAGTGCACAATGAAAGGCAGGTGTCCACAAGATTGTCCGGAAAATTATCATATTCTCCATGGTCCAATTTTCGAAGAGCTGCCAGTTCAAGTTGCCTGATTTGCTGTGGAGACAATTCACAGTTGAGTTGAGCGCTGGCCCAAACAAATGTGGCTAAATCCTTGGCGCGCAAGTCTCCTGGTTTCAGCAAGTCATTAGTCGCTCTATAACTATTGCCAGGAATTTTTTTCCATCCCAAAGCTGTTCGGCAAAGAATGCGAAGATGTGTGCTAGTCCTCGGGGCTCAAACAGGGCGATCTTTGCGGGATCAAGGCAAATATTCTGCAAATGCTGGCATACTTGCTCGCTCTTAACGCGTTGCAACCGCAAAGCCTTGACAAAGATGGTCAGCAAAGCGTCGTTCCCTGCAGCGAACTGCAGATTCAATATGGCATCAACCAGGCGCGATTCATAGGCATTTCTCGCCTCGCCCGAAATCACTGTGGATGTTTTGTAGGCGGCATTGCTGACCACAGCCAGATCCATTTCACTTAAGGCAGGCAGATGAGAGAGTAGCTGCTCCTCGAGGAGCTGCTGGAAGTCGTTAGGTGATTTAGCCTGGTTTTTCTGCAATCCCAGATAGAAGCACACCTGAACGAATCGCTCTTTGTTATCCCGGAAGTCCTCCTTTACCAATCGCCGTACGGCTGACCAATAAAAGTCTGTCCGCTTCAACCAGGTCGGAATGAGGAAACAAAAATGAGTACAGGGTCTCTAGCACAGTGCCTGTGTCCATCTTGGTCAGTTGATTGGCCGCAAAGTTATCCAACGCGTTCAGAGCGGCCACATACATGGGCACAACGGCATTAGAGCGATAGCTGGAGGCTTGAATAATCAGAGCAGGTAGTTGAGAAGGATCAATCTTCTGTACTGTCCTCTGGAAGTACCGGTCATCCGTAATGGGGAAGAAGTCAGCGTACCGGACTGTCGTCTTGGGTAGCACATGATCCCGATCTCTATACCGCTCCATTGCAATATGCTTGGCGAATCGGGTGATCATTGTGCCGGTCTCGTCGGCAGTGTTTCTCAACACATCCCTGGGAGTGAAGGAGGCATAGTTTCTGACTGAGTTGCCCAGGTTGGTGAAGCCGGCAAAGCGGCGCAGCAGGGCATACATTTTGAATGTACTTCTTCCAAATTTATGTAATGAATTTACAAAACAACGTGCACATCCAATCCGCAAACATACGTTAAATCTGCTTTCGTTTTCCAGCACTGACGAATTTTCTTTGTAAGCGTACTGTTGCTAATTATTTAAAGTAGCATAAAATCATTTGTGCTAATTGCGTAGAGTTTGAATATTTTAGTTTTTGACTAGTTCTCAATTTAACACCGAACAACTACAAGAAGATTTTTATAATGTATAATACTTAAAACACTCTTAATATTTAATTGACGGAAAAAAGCTAAATTAACAGCACTGTTACATAGGACATTCTAGCACTGGTCAGACACCGGTTCTGGCGAGTTGACAACAGTATAATGAAGAAAGCGGCTGGATTTGTTATTTTTCGTCGTCTTTGCGGGGAAATTGAATATCTTCTGCTAAAGGCTTCCTATGGCTCTTTCCACTGGAGTTCTCCTAAGGGTCATGTAGACCCGGGCGAAGACGATTTTACCACTGCTCTGCGGGAAACGAAAGAGGAAGCCGGGCAAGTGCTTAACTATTTTCTCGTCATGACATTCTTAATTTCTGAAAAACATCCACAGCTTTGACGAAAAGGATCTGATCATATACAAGGACTCGCCGCTGACGCTTAACTATGCGGTAGGGGGCAAGCCAAAGATTGTGATTTACTGGCTGGCTGAGCTGCGGAATCCGTGCCAGGAGCCCATTCTGTCTGAGGAGCACACAGAACTTAAGTGGCTACCTAAGGAAGAGGCTAAGGAAATCGTGGGCTTCAAAGACAACCAAGACATGATCGACAAATTCCACAACATGATTTTAGATCAAAACAAACCAAAGTAAATTGAAAACAATAAGCGATGAAACATTGCGCAACACTGAAATGTATATAAATAAAGCACCGAAAACAGTATAAAAAATACCACAATCATGTCCGGCCAAACTGCCACACTATTTTCAAGGCTTCTGTGAAAATTGCTTGAGATTTTTACTCGTTTCCATTGATTTGTTGTGGCAGCCGATTTAAGCATTTTCCAAAGCGTAAATCTTAAAAATAACCACACACTTCAGTGCAATGGGTTCGCATTCACGCACTCCCAGTCCGTCAAGCAAGCGACGCCACCACAAGAGCAAGCACAAAAAACGCAGTAAGTCCCACCACGACCACGAGCGACCTAGTACCCGGACGGATAGAGACAAATCCTCGGAGGTGAAAATCATGGGCGACACCGCGAGCGAGACAGGGATCGCGAACGTGACAGACACCGCAGTGACCGCCACACAGAGCGCGACTATCGTCACTCTCCCTCGATTATTAAGTCTCGGAAACGCTCCACATCGTCGAGCAGCGACAGCCATTACTCTGAGCAGGAGTCGCAACGCAGTAAACAGAAACGCAGCCGCTTCAAGAAGCTGGACGAGGTAAGTAAACCTAATGTCACTGAGGTATTAAATAAACTAATACTGTCCATTCCAGCAAAACCAGCTGCAGGTCGAACGCCTGGCCGAGATGGAGCGGCAACGGCGTGCAAAGGAGGTCGAACAAAAGACTATCGAAGAGGAGGCCGCTAAACGCATCGAGATGCTGGTAAAAAAGCGCGTTGAGGAGGAGCTAGAGAAGCGGCGCGACGAGATTGAGCAGGAGGTCAACAGACGCGTCGAGACCGCCAAGGCAGAAATGGAACGCGAAATGATGCTGGAGCTGGAGAGGCGGCGAGAGCAGATACGCGAAGAAGAACGCCGGCGCGAGGTAGGTGCTCGTATTCAGATTCCGCTGGACGACTGCTGCTATCACTGTCAGAAAAACGTACACAATGCCACATCTACCGTACACCTAAATAAACCCAAAACAGCAGTTCAAACAGTCGTCTCTACCACGTCACGCGAAATGGATCCGGCGGCGCTCTCAGCCGCGACTCACTGGCTATTCATACATCCTTCCATGTCCCATCATCATATCCGTAGTATATTGCTTGCATAACCTTGGGCCCAGGGCTCTCACTAACCGGCTACATCACTAACCAGTCACACCTTTTCAGAGCCCTCATACGCAGCCAGCCAGCTAGTGAGTCGTGATGAGAACGCCACGGATAATTTCGCCCCTTTTCTTCTTGCCAATAATTTTGTAATTTTTATTTTTCCTACCAAAAAAGCCAAAATGACGACATTGCCAAGTGTCGCATGTGTCACATTTTTGATGCCCATTATTTCAGAACTCTTGCATTCTCTTAGCTTCATCTTTTGTTCGTTCCTACCCACATCTTGTATAATTTTAATTTTTGGTATTGGTTCTCGTAACTCGTTGTTGTTGTTATTGCGCGCAAACTCCGCTTCAGTAGGCCCGTGCAACGAACGTGCTGCTCTTGTCCCGTATGCAAGTGTGTGTTTTGTTACCCGACACAGCAAAACACTCTCGTGCTCTACACGTTGAGCCGCCTTGCCGGAAGTTGAGCAAGCCTGCTGCCAAGCGTTTGGTCCATGGACGCACTTTCCCCCGCACACTAAAAAAAAAAAAAAAAAAAACCAAACAATTCAAACTGAGCTGGTGTCCTTAAGTTAGTCCGGGTAGTTAGGTTCTCTAGTTGTGGGGCGGGCCGACTAAGTATAGTCCCAACTGTACGCTGCATGCAAAGCAATTCAATGCCAAAAAAATGACGGGTGAGTTTCCTACGCCAGCGATGTGATAAGCCAGCAGCTGTACGGATAAACAGGCGCGACAACCATCTTAAATTGTGATCGGCGAATGGACGCCAAAGAGACCCACAGACTCACCCCAAGTGTTTAGCTCTATAGAACTCTCTCTGTAAGATTTTTAAAAACCGGATTTGCATTGGATTCTTGACCGTACCGATTGCCAATTATTTGTGTTTGAGCTTTTTGTTTTTGCGAGCAAATTTTGTACGTCTGGAATAGCGAAAAACTCCACAAAACTCCCAAATCAAAAATCTGCAAAAAAAAAAAAACCTATAAATTAACACAAATTTAGCCTTTGTACTGGAATAATGACCTATTTAAATAGTAAGTAGCAACAATAAAAAAAATCAAATGAAGACCAACCATTTAGCAAATACTAGTACATTTGTTTATGTTGTGTGCTCCTTTAATGTAATAAACTAAAAGAAAAACCTACTTTAAACATTCTTATTAGACACTACTAAATGTTTTACTTTCTACTGAAATTTTCTTTGTAATTTATTGTTAAACATAAAACTAGATTCTAACTGCCTTTGCAGCTCATCAAGCAAAAAACTGCAACCACAAACGTGCGTCGAATACGCCGCACTGTTTGCATCGCGGATGTCAAGAAACTGTTTATTTTATATCTTAGCTCTAAGCTTCCGGCTAAAGAGTCGATTTTTGTATTAATCGTCATTTTGTTTGGGTTTTATAGGAGGATGAAAAACAAAAACGCGAAGAGCTCGAAGAAATTTTGGCCGAAAACAATCGTAAAATCGAAGAGGCGCAAAGAAAACTTGTAAGATTTGATCAATTTAATTATTTGAATGTTTCTCTTATTGATTTTTGATTTTCTTAGGCCGAAGAACGGTTAGCAATAATTGAGGAGCAGCGCCTGATGGACGAAGAGCGGCAACGTATGCGCAAGGAGCAGGAGAAGCGTGTTAAGGAGGAGCAGAAGGTCATATTAGGCAAAAACAATTCCAGGCCGAAGCTTTCGTTCTCCCTCAAGCCGGGAGCATTATGAGAGGTGTAGCCATCATTCTGGTGACCGTCGCACCTTTTCTTGTTAACAGCTTTTGCTTTTTTTTTACCTCAGTGGCTTTTTGCCTGCGCCAAAGATCATGCACTCGTTTTCATTGTTGTAATTGTGTTCCATATTTTTATTATTATTTTAAGGACGAGCAATGGTGTTAGGAGCAGGCAAAGGGAAGCCAAATAGATTCAACGTTTTCAAAATTGCCAATTACTGAACATATACGGCTCTATATAGTACAATACGCTAGCGATTTACTTAACCTTTTCTACATAATGAATTCATATGTGAGACAAATGATTATGTGTAGTGCGTCGTATTGTTGTCACAGCTGAAACAATTAACAAAAAAAACCAAAAAGATGTCAGTGAAATACATATGTAATCTATTTGCAATTTTTTGATATTTCAAGAAAACATATAACGCAGATGAAATCGATAATAAAAATCTTTAGAAATGCCAAACAGTGATATTTATTTTTGTAGATTCAAAGAGCTTTGCCGAAAGAATCAAGTGCCATTCGCTTAGCATATTTGACAGATATGCCAAAACATGCGTGCACTTTAGCTCCTGCCGCCACCCTTATCCCCTGATTCCTGCAATTGTATCGGACACGATCTCCGCTAGTGTACATGTCGCTAAGTAGACACAACTTATTATTTATAGAGACTACTTAAATTTATATGTCTTGTTTGCTGATTGGGTTGGGCGACGCTGGACAGCGAACGACAGCCGGCACGCCCGCGCGCGAGGCATAGAAATGGAACCTGAGATCAAATGGACAGTCGACGGAAGGGGAGACGTAGGAACCGATCTGTCCGAGTGCGTGAGCAGGCGGCGGCGATGCCAAATTGGTCCACGACCACTCAGATTCAGAGTCAAACCACTCGCAATGCAATCGTAATGTGGTTCTAAATAAATGTGGCGCAAGATTACGCATACGCACTGAAGCACTCCACTGCAACCAACTCCACCTGACCCCCCACACCCCACTTGACCAGCTTATTACTTCATATCGAATTTGGCAACGAGTTTGGTCTGGGGAGTCCATGGTGCATTGATTTGTGTGCGGAGCACATGCGTGAAAGGCGAAGGCGACGGCTCTGCCACCTGACCAGCCCAGGCCCAGATCCAGATCGAGATCCAGAGCCACACCAGCGATCTTGGGCGGCACACGGGCGGATGTTGCAATTTGATTAATTAATTAAGTGGAAAATCGGCAAAGCTCTTAAACTACATATAGTATAGCGATTTTTGCTGATCGAGCGATCTGCGAATGTCAACGTGCAATTTGTTTGATGTGACGGGAGATACGCTAATGCCCCTCCTCCTAAAGCCATTCAATATGTCAGCCAACTTGTCTGGTAACTCAATAGCTCTAATTTCGGATTGATAGAAAAGCTAGGGAAATTTTAATTAAGGTATATTTATGCATTAAATATTTACCATTTCTTAAGAAGAAAGTTAACTTTAAGCTTATCTTAAAGATTTTTAAGCAGTTCAAAATATTTCGCCAATTGCTTAAATTTAACTCCTAATCCAATACCCTACTGGTAATTTAATATTATGATAGCTAATGACAATTTATCAATAATAATTAATAGTTTACTCATTGAACATAAATATCACCCTTAACTTTCACTTGACTTTGGCTCAATATTAAGCTATGAATTGTGGTGGACCCATAGGAATCGATTGACAATCCAGAGACAAGAGATTACGGTGGCTACATTGTTGCCCAAAGTGGAGCAGAGTAAATGTTTTATTACCATAGCGCTAGATTTGCCAAAAAAATGAAATACAAATATAATAACAATTTTGCATTAGCTGGATTCCGGTTCGCTGGGTGATCGGAGATCGGTTTTTGGGGAGTGTAGTTTTTTTTTTTTTTGGTTTGGGCTATGAAGTATGTGGTGCGTGTGCTTGGAGCGTGGCACCCATCAAGTGTTTGAGGTGGTGGGGCAGGGCCAGAGAGCAGTGCTTTTGACTATAAAAGTTGCGATCGCAACACTTGGAGACATAGTTCAGTGCAGGAGCCGCAGCAGCCACCAAGTCAGCAAATCTACCAAATCCCAAGACAAGTCCAAGCCAAAATGTTCGCTGTAAGTGAAAAGGATATTAGAAGTTCTTTCATAAAGTGGATATTAGTATCTAGCTTACCTATAATGACCACTTCCAGCTTGTCTCACTTTTTATCCTGGGTGTTGGAGCCGTCGCTGCCATTGAGTTGCCGATTAGCCCCATTTACCACTCGCCAGCGGCCATTGTGAAGCCACTGCTGAAGACCGTCGAAGTGGAGGCACCTGCCCATTACGACTTCGCCTATTCTGTGCACGACGAACACACCGGTGACATCAAGAGCCAGACGGAATCCAGGAAGGGCGATCAGGTCCAGGGTCAGTACACACTGATCGATGCTGATGGATACCTGCGTACTGTGGACTACACCTCAGATGCCCACAATGGCTTCAATGCCGTGGTTCGTCGTGATCCTCTGGGCCAAAAGGTGATTAAGGCTGCGCCAATTGCCAAGCTCCTGGCTCCCGCACCATTGCCCCTGGCTTATGCGGCACCCAAGCTCCTCGCTCCCGCTAAACTTCCTCTCGGCATTTACCATTAAGATTTGGGAAGGATTGATCGAGAGAGATAGCAAACACTGACTTCATCGCATCGACGACGACCCATCCGCATCCGCATCTGTATCTGAACTATTGTTTAACCACCCAGACACCTCCTATCATATCTATGTAGCTTCCTCTGTACCAATCTTCTTTCCTATTCTCTGATATCTCTTCTAAGACTTTTCGGCATCCGGTCATCAAAAGCGCCATAACTCGATGACTGAGGGCCCCTATCTCATCTATGTAATACTATGTGTAAATAGAAGGCAATAAATGCATTTTTAGAAAACATATCTTATACTGATTTTTTAAATTTATATGAAAATTTGGGAAATATTGAAATTTGATAATTGCAATTAGCATAAATGAAGATATAGATGTTTCCTAAGTCTTATTATACAAAAATGATCAGATTACAAAATTGTCTAATTGTTTTTTACACCAATTTTAAAACCTTCTTGGCAGGTTATCTCCATTTTTTAAACAGAACTAAGACTGTACAGAACTCCTCCAGCTTTTTTTTGTTAAACGAACTATGTAGATCAATAATCAACTTCAATATTAAAATGAACAGCCTTCAGATTTATTCTACGAATAAAGGTTTCTATCTTAAAAGTAGACAAATCGTTAGTCCGGTCCGGTGGATAAATCCTGTATCACTTCTTCTAATAACCCATCTCAATAGCGAGAAATTGGTTCCCGACGAACTTGAGCATTGAATCCCAGCAACGGATCGGCGGTGTAGTCCACAATTCGACGGTGACCATCGGGTTCGATGAGGGAGTAACGTCCAGTTACATATTCGCCACGTCGGTGCTCGAACTGATCCTTTACATCGCCAGTGTGGCTATCGTGGACGGAGTAATGAAACTCATACTGGGCAGGACTAGCAATCAATTCATCCGGATGACTGGCAATAATCCCAGCCTGAACGGCGACGAGGGCGCTCAGGATCAGGCAGAAGGCGATGCTGGAATGCTATAGCAAAGTTTTTGATACGCAATAGGATGTACAGTGTCCCCACTTACCAAGACATTCATGACGAAGACGTTTAAGGTGTAATTAGAGCGATGTATTTCACTCGACTGATGACTAAGAGCAGGGCTCAGACCTCTTTTATAAGACAATGCTTGGCCCATTGTCGCAGTGGCCAACTTATGGGAGCTGAAATCAAATACCGCGCACTACTCTTAAGCCTTATGCAACCCATATACCTCGCCCATGAGGGAAATGAAACCAAATCCCTGCACTTGCCTTTAACTGTTGCAATCGATTCAAAACTCACTCGGATTATATTATCGTATAGTAGCTTAAAGTACAACTTACACTCGAGACTCAAGTTCGTAGACTACTTTACACAATATTTTTAGCTTAGTTGTATCACAGCAATAACATTATATCGAGACTAGACTATCTCTACACGCCCAATCGATGATTCCATGGCTTGGTGATTTGGATATAGACTCAGTTCGAAAATATGCAGACCAGCAGGCACTTGAATTTACTCCATTCTGTTTCAGGTACAACGGCATTTCGCAAGTCGATCTCCTCAGAATTTATTTTCCAGCAGCGATCCTGGGAATACGATAGTGGCTATATTGAAACTCCATATCCAGAAATTTCAATTTGTGCTCATCTAATTAACTCTACCATTCGCTAGTTCCAATTTAATGTTTGCTAACTACTTGTTGTGAATTGGAGTGGAGTGCTGTCGACTTCTACGCTTGCTGATGACTACCCAAAACCAAGTTACCATTCTCAGCTACCATCCAAGCCGTAAGCTTCTCATCCTCCGTCTTGTTCGATTCATCCCAGGGGAAACTGGCAGCCACTGTATGCTTCTCCTTTTGAGTGTTTGGAGCTCTGAAATTATGGGAGTTAAGCATTTAAAATATGTTAAACAAAGGGGTGTTAGTAAAATGTTAGTAAATGTATTTATTTTTGCTACTAAAATCAAAATTCATTAAAACACTGAGGAAAATATATCTTTTGTATAAAGAACCTAAGTTAGTGTCTATATTAAAAGTATAGAAAAGAAAATCTTCTAGTTAATGATAATTTATTCTAATAAAATACTGTGTAAATAGAGACAGGCAAATTATAAGTGCTCAACTACTGAAAGGGAAATCCTTGCTGAAAGCACTCACAAGTACGATCGGCAAGTCTCTCCCCCATATACGATGATGATATGATATTGTGGGCTAAGAGTCTCTACTGCTACTGAAACGTATTTACAGCTCAATGGCGAATGTTGGTTTTTACCTTATGGGCCAAAAGCGACATTCTTCATCAATTGAGGGGGAGGACGAGGAGGAGTTATCACTTGGGGCACCCAGACAAAGTGTTCAATGTTCAATGTTCAATGACAAGCAAATGAAAACACACACAAAACGATGACAGAGACAACGCGATTAAGAGACAGAGAGAGGGAGAGAGAGAGAAAGAGGGAAGAAAGGAAAGAGACATAGTACAATGTAGAGAGAGACAGGATGCAGGAAAGATGATCATGAGGATGCAAGGAAGCATGGGTCAAGGTCTACAGGGCATGCAGGCCAGCGAGGATGTCCTCAGCGATAAGGTCATCCTACCCACTTACAGGGAGTCCGCGTGGCTGCCATTGTTCACCTCTAGACTGCTTTGGGTGGCCTTCTTCCGTAATCCCGGCCTGGGCAGAAAGCTCTCCCCGAAAAGATCCCGCTCTCGAGGGCCACCAGTCGACGTCTTCCCACTCTTTGCCTGCTGCGTTGGAGGCACCGTGTGCGGATACTTTCCATCGCTGTCCGAATCCATGGATAGCTGTCCAAAGAGGTCCTCCAGCAGAATATTGGCCTTGGCATTGCGCTGACGCTTGGCGGAGGTTTTCAGCTTGGAACTACGTGGGGGAGATACGGAGAAACACACAGTGAGGTGGCTGAGGACAAAACGAAATGAGGTGCCAGGAGTGCTCCCACTCAGAAATTGTAGCTCAAACTTTACAAATTCTTCCAATACTTTTTCGTTTTCATTTAAAAGTTGAGAAATAAAAAAGTTTTGGATGAAAGTCAAGGTTAATTATAAAGTGCTATTTTAACCTACTTTTGTTTCATGAACTCACCCTAATATCAGATCCAGATCATCCGATTTTAGTGCACTTAATTTGGGTTCCTGGGCAGCAGCTCGCGATCTTCCCGAGAGTCGCATAGGCGGCTGACCGCTTTCCGGCTGCAGTTGGGGCTGTCGTACAATGAGGCTGGGTGGAGCCTGGCTGGCACTGACCTTGGAGAAGACGTTGTAAACTTTGGCCTCGGGGCCCAGAAGTGATGGCCTGGCCACGGGCACATAGTAACCACCATTGGATGCGCCCACCACAATCTTGGCATTGTTCTTGGCATTCATGTTGGCCGTGTCGTAACTAAGATGACTGCCATTGACGTAGATGGCGCCGGCATTTCGGGACGTGGTGGTACTGAATGAGACATTCGGGTGGTGCGCCTGTTGGTATTGCTGCGAACCAGCTGGCAGTCCGAAGAGCTGCGATATGTTGCGGTTTAGGTAGATGTCATTTATGGACTCTCCACCGTTCTGAATCTGTGGCACCTGAACTCCATCTACTGTGGCTCCGCCCAGACTAGATGAATCAGCCTGGGAACCCGCACCCATCTCGTTGGTAGTCAAAAAGCTCAGCTTCGGTTGATACTTTCTCGGCATGCCCCCATTCTTGGCCGTCAAGTTGTTGTTCTTGCTAAGATTGGTGTGGCTATTGATGTTATTGTTAGTCTGGTGGAGCAACTCTGTGACCGCCTGCAGCTTTTCTTGTACCGGAAGCACGTTGTTGGAGACAGCCTGAACCGGATGGCCATTGGACGCCGCATATTTAGAGTTGAGCCTCACATTCGCCTTGGTGGCCGCTGTGGGCGAGATTCGCTTGAGGGCGTGGAAATACGGATACTTAAGACTCTGTTGAGCCGTCGGACGTTTGTCGGGATCGTAGGCAAGTAGATCCTCCAACAGATCCAATCCATTTTGGCTGCAGCGGCTGACGACGCTGCTTAGTGGCACTTTGATGCAGTCAGGATAACGGAAGTGGATCATGCTAGCCAGGCGATAACCATCCGGCCAATCACCCTGAGGTAGGTAGAGACAATAAATGTTATGTAGTCTCCGGATAGGAAAATTATTATTTTTACCTTCTCTGGAGTGCCCAGCACGGAGCAAATCTTGAAGAGCTGATCCACCTCGCTGCTGCCAGGGAAGAGAGGACGAAAGGTGTAAAGCTCGGCCATGATGCAACCCATGGCCCAGAGGTCAATTGTGCTGCCGTAGTTGGTGGAGTGCAGGAGTACCTCTGGTGCCCGGTACCATCGCGTCGAGACGTAGTCCGTGAATGGGGGCCTTGATCTAATTTCCCTGGCAAGCCCGAAGTCGGCTATTTTTATGAGCTCCGGGCCAGAGCACAGCAAGTTTTCAGGCTTAAGGTCGCGGTGAAAAAAGCCGTGGCGATGCATGAAGGCCAGACCAGTCAAAACCTAGACAAGGAATTGCCAAGTTATCACATCTCCGAATGACTCTTCAGACATGCCAACTCACCTGGAAGAGAATACTTTTAAGCTCCGGCTCGGGCAGGTGTGTATCCCGATCCTTGATCATCTGGTAGAGATTCTCCTTCATATACTCAAATACAAAGTAGAGGGTATCATTCTCCCGAATCACCTCCTTCAACTTTACAATGTTCGGATGAGAAAGTTTTTTCAGAGACTGAAAAAGAGAAAAATTCTCAGGAAACTTCAATTTTAGGAAGATGAGCGAAACCCACCTTGACCTCACGCAGATTCATTGCCTCTTCCCAGGAGTAGTATTTGCGCTTCATGCGCTTAATGGCCACCTTTTCACCAGTGTCCTTGCGCTGTCCCAGGACCACGGTACCATAGGTTCCATCGCCCAGTTGGGTCAGCGTGATATAGCGATTCATGCTTAGGCAGATGGGGGCAGCTCTTCACACATTCTCCGGATGCGACTACACGAAGGGACAGAAAATCCAAGGTAAGTACAAGCCACACGCGACATCAGAATGAGTCCTTAATAACTTATGAGTACCGCCCACATGAGGGGACTTCAAGGGAAATCACAGTTAAATTAAATGACTAACACTCAACACAAATCAAATCCAAATGGGGGATTTCGTGAGTCTCCATTTTCGGATGCCAGTTCAGTTAATTAAAATCAATATATCGATCACGTGTAGCCGGCTAAGAACTTGACCAAATTTATTTAACCCAAAAACGAATTTCTCATCAGGGTCATGAAATAAACGAAAGGAAGGGAAAGAACTCCTGGACATGATTTATGATTGTCCTAACAAGTTTGTTAACTAGAGTCGATTCAGTTAACGAGCGATATAGATTATACTCATATTGTGTTCAATTGAAAGACATTTTTTGTAACAAGTCTGAACACTAAACACTAAACATAATGTCAAATGTCAAAGTAAAAATTAAGTTTAAACGCATTCCTAGAGCGTTTCTAATAAAGTTAAAAAAAAGCTAAAACGTTGCTAATTTTTGTGTATAAAAGGAAAAGTATTAATCAGTTGATTCATTCTTCAAAAAGATGGCGCTGCAGTTCGTTCTACTTTCCATTTTGTTAAACGCACATGGCGGAAGATTCTCCTTTGGTCTAGGAGGTCCTTAGACAACGCTTTAAAAGCTAAAGTTTATCTTTTCATACATGTAACCAGAAATGTTAAATGTTTCTTTAATAAATAATTAAATAAATTCTTCCTTAATAAAGGAGTTCCTTTGTTAGCTCGATTTCGGCTGTATGTCTTTTCATTCAATGTGGTCGAAAGAAATTTTTTTTGTTTCTTCAAGATAATAACACGAAAGTTAAATTAATTGGAATTTTCATTTTAAGAACGGTTTCTTCTGTTTCATTACAGACATTACTCGGTACTTTTTACATTGATAGCTTAGAAGTTAAAAAACTGAGTAAGTACTCACATAATCAGAAATCAATAAGTTATGCATTCTTCAGTTGACCGTAAAGAAAACATGAAGTCGATAAGGTTTTACTTTAAATTTATCTGATATTACATTTTTTTACAGCTTTTCTTATTTTTCAAAAAAAACAACTACTTATAAACTTTGCAACAATATTTTATACTCAAGTCGGTTTAGTTTTGTTTCGTAATTGGTTTGTGGTCACTTGGCGAATTTAGTTCCTTGGGTGATAATTTATTCATACTATACGAACCATTTTCACCTTTAATATCCGTATATATGTATGTATATACTCGTATTGTTTTGGTTTGCAATTTCGGGCGGGGAAGGGGCGGTCCCGGGGCAACCGGAGCCACGGTTCGACCAGGCTTTTTCTTGAATAATGCGTCACAGCCTTGAACCACTCACATTTGACTCACTTAAACTCTTGGCACGCACATCCGTCGCCCGATTAGCCGATTACTATATGCACTACTATATCCGATAAGCTACTATGTCGTTTTTCGCACCGTGTACAAACAAATAAACAAAGTTAAATGTTCGGGGTCACTTTATCGATTGAACTGGGGGTTGACAAAAAGTCCCTTCGGTCTAGTCATCTTTTCATCGCCCATTTCACCAGAAGATTAATTATTTGGAGACTTTTTATCACTAATACCTTAAGCTCAATTGCATTTGAATCCGAGATCGCTTGAATTAATGTGTTAGTCCGTTTTAAATATGATTTATGGCTGCTCCCGATGCGGATATCCTTTGCGAACAGAAGTTTATTTGATAAGCAAACACTAACAACTGACTGTCCCGATATCCACAACAACGCGACGACCCAAGCAACCGCAGCCCTAAGTAGACCACCCTTCGAATCCGGGAGAGAATGCTAAAGAGCCGAAGGTCCCCGAGCCGGCTGAAAGGGTCTCCAGTTCCGGTTCCACAAACTCACGAAGTGTTCGAGGGTGGAACACGACCAATGGTTACTAGGCAGGGCAATGTTTTGCGGGTTGCCCTGGCAACTTGCCGTCCATTCTGCGGACCACGCGGATTAGGGATATATTGTACAAGAACCAACCACAATGGACGAGCCGGTTAGAAGTCAGCCAAGTGAGAGTGCCGCTGAGGTGGAGGAGGAGGAAGAGGAGCCCCTCAGGGGCTTCCTAGAAGAGATAAACTGTCCAGAACCAGGCATCATAGATCGTCAAATGATCGAAACCGCCTATCTGGAGGAGGGACAAAAGGGGGAAGCTAGACGATTACATCAACTGGAACCGGTGGTTTATGACCGCATTACCACCATGCGATTGGAATTCAAGAGTAAGATCTTTTCTAAAAACAATGTAAGATTAAGCTAATGTTCTATTTCGTAGACATTTTAAGGATTGACCACCTCTGGATGATGCCCAATCTGACAAAGCTTTGCTTGAACTGCAACAAAATCGAGGTGATTGAGCATCTCGAAATGCTCACTGCTCTAAAAGATTTGAATCTAAGTTTTAACTACATCACACGGATTGAGAACTTAGAAACACTAGTCAATCTGGAAAAGTTATCTTTGTTTAGCAATCGCATTCGGAAAATCGAAAATATACATACATTAAAGAATTTGGTTATTCTCAGCATTGGTAATAATCTCATCGATACGGTGGAAGGGGTAAGAATGCTTAAAAAGATAATTTATATGAAATAAACGGGATATTATTTATATACCAGATATTTTTTTGATATTAAGCAAAACTGAAAGTTCTTTGGAAAACAACATTTAAAAACCTTTATTCAGAATGTGTCAGAAAGAAAATTTAAAATTGTAAGTTTAAATACTTTTAGATCGAACGATTGCGTTTTGTGAGCAGCCTGAAAGTTCTCAATTTAGAGGGTAATCCCATTTCGAAAACACCAGACTTTCCGTTGTCATCCTATGTGACTGCTATATTGCCCCAGTTGAATTACTACGAATACGTTTTCATCAAAGCAGAGGCTAGGGAGGAAGCCCAAAAGCGATTTTAGTAAGTTCTACCCTCAATCTTAGTTTATCTTGTATATGCATAATGACGTATTTCCATTACTTTAGCCGTGAATTACGTGAAATCGAGGATAAACAGGAGCGGGAGATCCAGGGCTTGGAAACGAAGGCTCGCGAAATGGCCGAGGCGGATCGATTGGCTTCCAGCTTTGTAGAGCATCTGGATGGTCAGCAGTTGTTCGATTCCTTGTGGCGAGGCGATGAAAACGGGCGTATCCTTATGTTAGTGGGGGCACAAGCTCAGGAGCTCTACGAAGAGTACTCGAAGGATATGTATGAGCTTACTCAGCAGATCTACCGTCTGGGATTGGAGCGTTTCGGCGAACGAGATGAGGAGATTCGCGACTTCAATGACAACCTTCATGAAGGTCAGGAGGAATTACAGGCCCAGGGACAAAGACAAATCGAGGAATTCCTACAGTATAAGGAGCGAACTTTCGACGAGATGCGCCTGAAATGGAGACAACTCGATCAACGAGACGAAGAGTTGGAGGAGGTGCAAACCCAGTTGGATACCCTTACTGCCCACTTTGAGGATTCCCTGAACGAGATGTGGGAGAGTCTTATGGCTCAGGAGCTTCATTTGCATGAGGCTGTTGAGGTGAATAAAAGTTTAAGTTGATCTAAGGTCCAATTATATAATTCATTTAGTTTTGCTTGTCAGGACTCCACGCTAAACTTCAATCGCAAGATCTCCGAGCTGATGGCCAGCTTTGTTGAGCAGGCTCAGGTGATCTTCCAGCAGCTGCGTGTTCTGTGTAGCTACTTCGCCGACAACATGACTGAGATTGTAACCCAGTTTCTCTCCAACAAGCTTTCTTGCAATGAGCTAAATGCCATTCCCGGAGAGTTAAGAATGTGTGTGGATGACCGGGGGGCAGTCCTTAAATTTGTGGATGGCATGATGACAACCCATACCTCACGGGTGGATGAGCGCGAGGATCGCATGGCCCAACGCAGCAGGGAGTTCATAGATGAAATGATCATGAAGCTTAACAAGTATGATCCCAACAGATTTTTATGAGATGTGTCCACTAAATCTATATCTTTACAGCAAAGAAGTAGACCGCCATCGTGCCAAGGTCCTAGAGATCAACTCATTTATGGAAATGATGACAGAGGCTTTGGCCAATCTGCCAAACGAATTGCACCAGGAAGCCCCTTCGAATTAACAATTTTAATACACATATACATATATAATAAATGCAATTTGATCACCCAGTTTTAGAAGCCCGCTATTTCCTCTTTTTAAGGCCATCGAGGTGGGCGCACAGTCCCTCCTGGAAAAGCGGAGTAGTTACATAGTCAACGCACTCCTTTAGATCTCCGGCCCGATCCTTAAGCAGCTCTCGTACATCTGCATCGCGGCACATTCGTTTCGTAAGACATCTGGCCACGGGATTCGCCTTGTCAAAGGTCGCTATGAAAGTGGTGCACTTCTCAAGAGCCTCTTCCTTGCTGCACGACACTTCGTCGACGAGGCCCACTTCCAGTGCCTCTTGAGTGCCGAAGAGTTTACCTTGGTTAAGGGCCCGCTCTACAATGCGCCGGGGCAAGACGCTCTGGTATGAGTTCATCATCCACTTGGAGATAACGAAACTGAAACGGGTAGCATGGATTCCGATGAACAGATTGGGTAGCATGACCCGGTACTCGCAAGCAGTGGCCAAGACGCATCCGGCCGCGGGAGCATGACCCTTTTTTGGGATTATTGAAGAGTTTTAATATATCTATCCCAAAAGTTAGACTTACGTTAATAGCTGCTGCTGTGGGCAGACCACAAAGATGCAGGGCTAGCCACAAGTCCTGAAATCGCGTCCAGAATAACCGCAAACGCTCCACATCCGGGTTTAACAGCTCATTGAGATCTAGGCCAGCGGAGAAGACTTTGTCATTGCTCTAGAAGTTAAAATTCATTAATATTGGAATCAATTTTCGTAACTCAAACCCACCGAAGTCAGGATAAGACCACGGCTCTTGTTACTCTCGATCTGATTGATCGAATCGATAATGTCGTGCATCAGATCCATCGTCAAAGTGTTAACTGGTGGCAAGTTCATCGATAGGGTCGCGATTCCACTCTTATCATCGACCTCTATAGTTGTCAGCTTTGAGTTCGCTCCATTGACCAAGTATCGTAGCGATTGTCCCCGCAAATTATCGGTTTTATCTTCTTGACTCCATCTATTAGCCTGTTACGCAACATTACGACGACTTTGGATTTGGAGCAGCAATCACGCACTGAGCGGCAGATAGGAATTTAAACAAATTAACCTGTTTATCATATACAAAGTCGAGTTGCGAACCAAATAAAACAAACACTGAATCCGAAACGATCAGCTGGTCGGCATTTCCAGGCAAAGTTTATACGGCGGAAAAAATCTAGATCAACAAGTATCAGTCGAACGTATCTGTTTAATAGATTTTTATTAGAGAATATATTTTTTTTATTAAAAACTAAAAGGTGACCAAACTTATTGAAATGCACAGGGTAATTAAATTAGTAATCTGAAAATTTATATTTGTTCTATTATTAACACTTAGATAATTTTTTCGTGATCAGATATTAAAGAAATAATCAAATTACGCAGTTAAAATGCATATATTTATGAAGATGTTTATTTGTTTGGTTTATTAACTTCGTTTTTATAAGTATTGCTTATCGAGATGATCTTGGTTTGTGGACGATGAAAAATGTTTTGAAAATATAGACATATATTTTTTATTTTTAAGCTACATATGTTGAATCGTTTTTTAACGTATCGATTTGAAATCTTATAATTCTAATTTAAATGCTGGTATCTGGTCTGCTCTTCAAAATCGAACATGATCAACATGTTTTATGTCATAAAATAGAATCCATTTTTTAATTTAGTCCTTTTCCTTCTTTCCCTTCTTTTTCAGATTTTCGAGGTAAATGCCCATACCCTTTTGTACCTCAGGACGAGAGGCAAGGGCTATGAAATCCGCAACATCTTTTTCGCGTATTTTTTCAAACTCCTTTATATTCTCCGCACGGAACTGAAGCTTGGTCAGCCCACGGGCCAGTGGATTAACCTTAGAAAAGCTGCCGATAAAGGCAGCGCACTTCTCTAAGGCCTCCTCCTTAGAGTTGGCGATCTCGTCAACTAGGCCTGCATCGAAAGCTTCCTGCGTGGTAAACAAACGACCTTGAGTGAGAGCACGCTCTGCCACCCTTTGGGGCAGTACGTTGACGAATCCGGACATCAGCCACTTTGGGGGCAATGATTCCCAGTTGGGTTTCGTTCAATCCGATTACAAATTTGGGCAGCATCACACGATACTCGCAGGCAGTGGCCAAGAGGCAGCCTCCGGCGGGGGCGTGGCCCTGGAAAGTCATACGGGCAATATTAACGAAATCATTGTTGAGCTATACTGTTGAAACACTTAAAAGTCTGGGAATTCAAAAGAGTTCCACTTACATTAATAGCTGCTGCAGTGGGTAAACTGGTAGCATAGAGGGCAATCCATGCATTCTGCAGCTCAGTCCAAATGACACGGAGACGCTCCTCATTAGTGTTATACATTTCCAGGATGTCCAAACCAGCGGAAAACACATTGGAACTTGCCTTCAAAATATTAATCTATTATTTACTTTACTCAATAAGTAAACATAACAACTTACGGACGTCAAAATGAGGCCACGGCATTTGTTTTTCTCAATTTCATTGACGGAAGTCTTCAAATCTATCAATAATTGCACGTTTTGGCTATTTACCGGAGGGCGGTTCATTGTGAGGGTAGCGATTCCTGTTTTATCATTGACCTCAACTGTGGTCAACTTGGTGGTAGAGGACATCAGTCTTATTGGGACCCTGAGGGCCACTAGTCTTAAGAGACTTGAGTGCAACATCGTTCTTTGATATATGTATAAAACAACGACCTTTGGATCAGATGTGGTTTATTGGGTAGAAAGAAAAAATCTCATTCTCTTAATTCTTTTAAAATGACGACTATTTTACGAAATTAATTTAATTATAATTACTTACCTAGTTAATATTTCAATAACTGATTTTAAAAATTCTTATCTACTCAGCTGTTAAAAAGTCTACCGATCATCGGTGGAATATTCCCAGAGAATTGTTATCAACTATCGACCTGACAGTCTGACAATTATCGAATATAATAAGCTTTAAATATTTGATTAAACAGGTAAACATTGTATTTCATATATTTTCCCCTTTGCATTAATCCAGCAGCTTTATACATATGAAAACAAATATAAATTGTAAATTAGTTTACTGCCAATATTGAAATTCACTCCGAAATCATACAAATGTAATGATCTTTTAGATTTATAAAAGCTTTATTACTATTCCAAAATGTATAAAATCTTTTAATTATTGCTTCTTAGCCTTCTTCTTTAGTCCCTCGAGATAAATGCCAAGGCCTTTCTGTACGGCTGGTTGATTGACAAAGAACAAGAACTTCTCCAAATCGTCCTTTCGTTCGTTCTCCAGTTGCTGTAGATCGGCAGCTCGGAATTGCTGTTTTGTCAGGGACCTAGCCAGAGGATTGACCTTGGCAAAGGTTGTAATAAAGGCGGTGCACTTTTCAATTGCCTCCTCCTTGTTGGTAGCAGTCTCATCGATGAGGCCCACCTTCAAGGCTTCCTCTGTGGTGAACATACGTCCTTGGTTCAGGGCGCGCTCTGCCTCACGTTGTGGCAAAACGCTCAGGAAAGAGGCCATGAACCACTTGGGCGCAACAATACCAAGTTGTGTTTCATTAAGGCCGATTGTGAACTTGGGCACCATGACTCGGTATTCGCAGGAAGTCGCTAGCAAACATCCACCAGCGGGAGAGTGGCCCTAAAGACGTAGTCTTTTAGAGAATGATTTCTAGAGTCTTACAAGGAACTCACATTAATGGCCGCTGCTGTGGGCACACTGCTGCCATATAGTGCCAGCCAAGTCTCCTGTAGTTGCGTCCAAAATGCTCGAATCCTGTCCTTGTCCGCCTTGTACATCTCCAGGATATCTAGACCAGCTGAGAATATAGTGGAACTTGACTAAAAGTGAATTATGCAATTAATATTGTAAAATCAACGAAATTAAATCTGACTAACCGACGTCAAAATTAAACCGCGACTTTTGTTGCCTTCGATTTCATCAATGGAGCTTTTCAGATCCTGCAGTAGTTCCAGGTTGAGTCCATTTACGGGTGGCCGATTCATTGTAAGAGTAGCAATTCCGGTTTTGTCGTTGACATCCACAGTGGTCAACTTTGTGCCGGTGGACATCAGGCGGATCGATCCACTACGGGCCACCAAGCTCAGGACTTTTGATCGCAACATTATGCTCTGAAATGCAAAACGGCGTAATTGAAAGTGACCTTTGAACGGATACCGGTACAAAACTTTTTAGGCTGCCTAATCTTAAAAAAATCCAAATATATATTTGTTGCTTGTATTTTGATATATCGCAAAGAAATTTATACCTTTAAAAAAATAAATTTTTGTACTTACCTTTTTTTATAAAAACGGGAGCTATTTTAACAAACAACCTCATCTGCCGCAAAACCTGTTGCGCTATCGATTAGGCAGGGGAGTTGTGTATAGGGTTCGGATGGAAAATCCGATAACAGCGAATTCGTTATGCCTTTATAAGGAAAACATTTAATAAGCATATCTAGGGAACGTTGAAGTAGGCTTAACTTTTAACATTAAATAGTTGCTTTCTTGTTATGGAAAAATATAAATAAATTTCTTTATTATGTTAAATTTCAGTTTAATAAATTGCACAGCTTTCATGACTTTTTATTGAAAAAATTTATAAAACTGCTGATCTGCAAAATCCATTGATATCTTTTCGAAAGCTTCCAATTTTATATTATTTAGGAAGTATTTGAAGATCTCATTCAAATAATTAATTCAAACCGCCATAATAACTGTTCGTCCATGTCGATAAGCGATAACCTGTTATCGCCCATCGAGTGTCACTTCTTGCACTGACAGCCGTATTGCAACCTTGTTTTTTGACGTTTACACGTCACAATCCGTCGACGCCGATAACGAATCGTATTCTTGCATTCGTGTACACTCCACCTCAGCCTTCGCTACTTTCTCTACGAAAATCTAACCGAAAAATGGGCTCCGGTAAGCAACAAAAAGTGCAATCCTCGGGATTCACCAAGGAGGAGGAGCTGCTGCTGCAGGACTTCAGCCGCAACGTGAGCACCAAGTCTTCGGCGCTTTTCTACGGCAATGCCTTCATCGTGTCAGCGGTTCCAATCTGTGAGTAAAGTGACACGTTGTATGTTTTGGAACACTTGGTGAATGAAAGTGATGTTCCTTACAGGGCTCTTCTGGCGCATCCATAACATGGATTTGTGGCCCAGTTCCATCCTGTTCGTTTTGGTGACGGCGGCTAGCACTTATCTAATGGCCACCGCCTACAAGAACATCAAGTTCCAGCTGAAGCATAAGATCGCCGGAAGGAGGGAGGAGGCTGTGACCCGCGAGGTCAACCGCCAGGTGGGCGACGATAAGAAGGTTACCCGCAAGGAAAAGGATGAGCGCATCCTATGGAAGAAGAACGAGGTGGCTGACTATGAAGCCACCACCTTCTCCATCTTCTACAACAACGCCATCTACTTGGCTGTGATTATTTTTATCAGCTTCTTTATCCTGAAGAACTCGACGCCGTTCATCAACTACATCTTTTCCGTGGGTATCGCCAGCGGCGCCCTGGCGCTCTTCTCCACCAGCGCCCAGACGAACTAAGTGAAATCGCCGCCATGTCATCCCATGTTCATGTACTCGTAATGTAAGGCCCTTCAAGAGATTTCCTGGGACAGCTAGCTGGTTCCTTTTCATCCGTCAGCCCTATTCCCATTGGCGTTTCCAGCAATGCGAGCATAGAAATTTTATAATATAAACACCAACTTGTTGTCTTTCTTGTAGAAAGCTGATAGACTTCCATATGCAGATGATTTAATAAATTGTAAAGGTAAAATAATTTCTTTATTGCTATCGGGGGAGTTTTGAAACGGAAATTGTAGCTCTAGTTTAAGTGTAAATGCAGGACGAGTTCCAGTTGAGCTGTGAGCTTAAACCGCCTCGAGGAGAAGAGCGATGCCCTGACCACCTCCAATGCAGGCGGATCCAATGCCGTATTTCAGCTTCTTGCGCCTGGAAAAATTTAAAGAACATATTACAATGATCACTTTGTGATTTATATCCTCTAAAACTTACTGCAACTCGTGCACCAGGTGACCAGTGATACGAGAGCCACTGGCACCCAGAGGGTGACCCAGAGCGATGGCGCCACCGTTCACATTCAGCTTTGAGGGATCCAGCTTCAGAGCATCGGCACAAGCCAATGTCTGGGCAGCAAAGGCTTCATTGATCTGTTAAGCTTATGGTTATTTTCCGATTTCATAAGTAGTCTGTAAGAAATCTTTCTTACCTCAATCAGATCAATGTCCTCCAGTTTCTTTCCAGATACCTTTAGGACATTCTGAATGGCGGGCACTGGACCAATTCCCATGATCTCGGGTTTCACGCCCACAAAGGAGAAGGCCACCAGACGAGCAAGTGGCTTAAGGTTGTACTCCTTGAGGGCTTCCTCTGAGGCCACAATGACAGCAGAGGCTCCATCACAAATTCCGGAGGCAGTTCCGGCTGTCACAACGCCATTCTTCTTAAAGAGCGAGGGCAACTTATTCAGACCCTCAATGGTGGTCTTGGGGCGAGGGTGTTCGTCCACCACAAAGTCCACCTCCTTGCCCTTGACCTTAAGTTTGATAGGTGTGATCTCAGCGTTAAAAGCACCCTCCTTCTGACCCTTTTCCCAGTTCTTCTGTGAGAGCAGAGAGAACTCATCCACGCGCTCCCTGGTAATCTTGTACTGATCAGCCAAGTTCTCGGCTGTCAGGGCCATAGGCAGCTTGCAGTACGTATCTGTGAGTCCAGCCCACAGGGCATCCTCCAGGTTGTAATTGACGCCCAATGTGGTGCCGAATCGAACGTTCCTGGCGATGAACGGGCTCTGGGACATGTTTTCTACTCCACCGGTCAGAGCTACCTTGGCACCGCCAACCAGGATGTCCTGCGCTCCATTAACAATTGACTGGAAGCCGGAACCGCACAATCGGTTGATTCCAAGGGCAGGTTTCTCGATCGGCACACCGCAATTAAGGCCCACATGACGGGGCACATAGATACCATCCGTGGAGGAGGACTGCGTGGATTTATATAATATATTTTTGAATTCATAAATAAACTATGTCGGATTCCTTAAAAGATTTTAAGGAGTCACAGTTTGTGATAAATAAAAAGACAGGTATTGAAATCCATATCTAATCTCTAATGTTGCTCTGACCGATTACTATCTAGATCTAAAACATTTGGCTTAGTTTAACTGTCTGTTTACTGTGTACTGTCTTTGCTTAGCACATCCTGTTTTTATAACAATCTTTAAGGACCTGGATATTATCCTACTTACCGCAATCACATTTCCTACGATGACGGTGTCCACCTGCTCTCCTTTAAGACCGGCGGCATCCAGGGCAGCCTTTGCCGCAGTGGTTTGCAATTGGGTCTGGTTGATACCCTTCAAGGACCCACCGAAAGTTCCAAAGGCCGTACGCTTGGCAGCCACAATATAGATACCTTTTAGGGGACAGACATATGAACATTGTTGTATGACATAGATAATGTGCGTAGGCAAAGAGTGATAGCACAAATTTAGCAATTAAAGAAAGCGGATTTTTGTTTTCGATTCAACAGGTCCAAAGTGCAACCGGCTGAGTGCGGGGGGGATAGCATCAGATAAGACATCAACAAGTCCAAAGTTCATACCCCTTATACGAGATCATCTCGCACCTAAACTGTTGAAATATTTTTTTTACCGAAAAGGATTCCTAAAATTACCTTTAGTTGCTGCAGACATTCTGTAATTTTTCACTCTTAATTAAAATAAAAATAATTAAATACAAGAAAATGCGACTACCGCAATTCAATAACTCTCGGCTTCTGGTCGCGAATAGCCGCCATCGCCGACATATTATTGGATGAAAGCTCAAAAGCTTTTTCCTTCTCTCTGGCAAACAAAAAAGAGACAAGCCCACCTACTACAGCTGTACGATACACTGCAAAAAAGTAGCCTTTACGTTTTATAGCTTTCGACGATTCATCTTATTTAATTTTCAATAGAGATGAAATAAAAATTAGTAGTTTCCAAATAAAAGACTTTAATTCTTTTCTTAATATATCTTTATGAAGGGAAATCTCCGTACACAATTATTATTTGGTAAAAAAGATTTAAGTTTTGAGTTGTTTAGTACAAAATTAGCCATTGCTCTCCCAAATATGTTGTATTTTCGGGCTAATTAACATAGCTTTACATAAATTAAATCAGGTTTTATAAGCAATTAATACAGTGAGTTCAATAGAAAAGTTTCCCAAGAAATTTAAAATTGTATTCAATAAGATATCAAAGGGTATACAGGATGATCTTTTAAGTAAAGATTCCGAAAATGTTGCTTGTTTAATTAGACTTTATGCTTGGGTACTAGGACAGAGTATGAGCAGAATACAAATCTCATTGAGAATAATGGGTATCGGCTTATAATGGAGACGGGAGTTACTTAAGTTCTGCATTTATTATAAAGTAGTGTGCAATCTCTCTATGTCTAGGGTGAGTTGGAGATGTCCATGTTGTCCGACTTTTCGACGCTCACCGATTTACGTGACTTCGAATCGGCGCTAGACCGCGAACTCTTCACCTCCATGTCCTCGGAGATAGATTTCAGTTTTCGTGATTCGGGAGAGCGTGAGCGGTCGCGTCGCCGCGAAGACTTAGAGGAGATGATGGCCGGGTCCTTGCTGCGACTAGAACGTGACTTGCTACTGCCGGTCACTTGCGGCGGTGAGGGAGAGCTGCGCTTGCTTCTAGATCGGGGTGAACGTGACGAGCGTTTCTCGCTGCGGTGTGACTTCTTGCTCCTTTCGCGAGATCGAGAACGCTTGCCGTTTCCACTGCCTCCTCCTCCAGCTCCATGGGAACGAGAGCTACGAGAGCGTGATGTACTGCGGCGATGGCGGGACCTGGAGCGCTTGCCACGCGACCTTGACGATCGAGAATGCTTGCCGCCGCGGGAGCGAGATCTCCTGGAACGCGACGAACTCCGACGGTGTCGGGATCTAGAACGTTTGCTGCGCGAACGAGATGAGTGTTTACCCCGCGAGCGTGAACGCCGGAGAACGGGATACGCTTCGTCTCTCCCTGGAACCGGAACGTCTGGAACGCCGCCTCGATGTGGAACGGTGCGAGCGAGATCGACTGGTTCGACGTTCCCGAGAACGGGAGCGTGATCTAGACCTGCGCCGTTTGTCCTTGGCGAGCATACCAATCACCGGGTCAATGGCAGCCGAGATCATACTCTGGGCCTCCTTCACAATGGTCATGGCCTCCTCAATCTCCGCCTGTGCTGCCTCATTGGACTTGGCCTCCGGCTTGGTTATGGAGTAGGTTGAATGGTAGACACTTAAATGGCCGCCCTTGAACTCCTGGCCTTGCATGCGCAAAGCGTGGATAATGCTGGTCTGTTCGCAGAATTCTATCATGCAGTACGTCTTGTTGTCTTTTTCAGCCCAACGGGCGTACTTAACCTCGCCGGCGCGCTGAAAGCAATCCATCAGGTCGTCCAGGCGCCACTCGTTTTTTACGTCGCACACAATGATGGTGCGCCGGAATCTCCTCAATCTTGCGGCCATCGTAAAAGGAGGGCAAGGCCGGGTACTCCGGCAGATTAAACTCCACCAGTTTGGGGTCGTACGTCTTAATCACCTGCTGCGGAAGCTGACCTTCGATACGATTAATGACCTCTGGCGGCAGCTTTGAGTCCGGTTTCTGGAGACCTGGCACTATTGTGCCGTTCTTGAGCATCTCCAGGGCCCGGTACTCCTCAGGAATTGCTAGCACCGGTATGACAATTAGGGCGCGATCAATGAACACCGTGTTGGTGAGGTGCTGTGCCACAGGCACACTTGTCGTCTCCGTGTACTTCACGTAGCAGATGCGAGACTGCACCGGACAGGAGACATCCCGGATAGTGGGGTAAAGACGGATCTCCTCTATCTTTCCGATGTTGCCGAATAGAGTTTGCATCTGGTCCTTGGTGGCCTGCGGCGCTATGTTGGTCACCTGGATCACACGCGGGGTGTTGCCGCCAGCCATGTTTGCCAGTTTCTCGATTCGCCCTCGGCTCGGCAATTAGTTTATTTGCAATAAAAGTGTTTTCAATTAACCTACCAAAAGCAAGCGAAAAAATGAAGGGTTGCAACGCGTCGCGAACTTTCGATTAACACGGAAGCGATAAATCGATTACAGCTGGCAACTCAGTAAATTATGGTCTAGCGATTTTTTAAGGAAGCACTATACAGAAATACACAGTAAATTCATTACAGAATGAGAGTATTTTTCGTGTTGTTTAGAACCAAATAAAAATTAATAATTAAAATTAAATTATAATAATTAAATTAAGAGAAAATAAGATATTCTACAAAAATTTTTTTTATAAAAACAACTCTATGTGAACAGTAGTGGGAAATATTTAAATAAGCGGCAATGTGACCAAATTTACTCTGTGAAATTGGATTTTTTAGCCAAACCAAAACGGTCGCACTAGCATGCACGACCTCACAAATACAACCTCACGATCGTAGGAGTTGCAAACAAAATTTGTGAATAAGGACTGACAGATTGTACGGAAGCGTTTCGACTTGTCCCACAATGTCGGACAGCTCAGTGGCCGCATCCGCGTCCGCATCCTCGTCTTCTCCCGCCAAGTCGAGTCTTAGTGACCTGCGACAGTTTCGCATCAACAAGAATGCCTCATCTGTCGCCGCGGGTCCTGCGAAAACTGGTACTTTATGAGCTAAAACTCCCAAAGGTGAAACCCGCTGATTAACCCAGTGATTTCAGAGCGAGTTCCTGGCAAAAAGCGCATTCAGGTGATGGCCGATAGTGACAGCGATGGAAACGACTCCCAAACGCCCAAGAAAACCAAACTGGAGTTGACCGTGAAAGAAAAGGAGGAGCGCTATATGGCAGCTGCCAAGATTTCGCCCCAGTACGACACAATGGTAAGTTTCTAACCAAGATCCATAGTTTTTAGGGGGATTGGCGGGGAAGTGCGCGTCTCTACGTCTGTGTTCACCGAACATGGCGATTCGGTTCGGGCCCGGCGTTGTGAACAGCTGTCGTTTGCCAGGGTCGTCGCTGACGGGGGTAGAAATGGCTTTAAACATATTGCTCGTGTATAACACTTCCTTACCAAACAGCTGATTTATAGAACACCTTTTTAAATGGTATGATTATTGTTTGTTATTTTTTTGTTATGGAAATTCAATTTACATAAAAGAGTTTTTTATGTTGTATTTAGAATTTACGTATCGACTGTTTTAATTTTCTTGTTTTCTATTTTTACTTTTTGCTTCATCTAATATCCACAAAAATAATTTTTTTATTTCATAGGCCATTCAAGAGTCGCTATCCCGTACCAATTGGGATGTGGCTGCCTCTATACGCTACCTAAGGGAGAACTGCAAACCCAAGGGCCAGAATGGACCGTTGTTCAAGCCGAAGCTAAAGCCAAGTTCAAATGGAACTAGCGGAAGGTCACAGGGTCACTTCTCGGATAATGACCACTCAGATGATGAGGATGTAAAGCAGTCCAAGGATCAGGTGTACGACAGCGATGATAGCGACTCCGAGATGTCAACCAAAATGACAGGGCAGCGAAAAAAAGTTTTCCAGTTCATGAACGAGGCTACTCTTATTGAGCTGCAGTCTGTTAAAACGCTGTCTGAGAAAAAAGCATTAGCCATCATAGAATGTCGACCTTTTAGTGACTGGGCCGGACTACGCAAAAAACTGGAGAGTATCAAAATGTCGGGTGATCTCTTGAACTACGCGCAGGAGCTGATCAATAAGCAGAACACGGTGGCCAACATTCTAAGCAAGTGCAACAACATGGTGTCGCGTCTGGAGAAGGCGATTTCCAATGGTGCTGGCATTGCAGAGCAGCCTAAACTTCTAAGCAGCGGGTAAGTGTTACTCAAAATTCCCTCTTATTTCTCTTTACTTTTTCGTTTTTGCAGTCTACAGTTGGCTGACTATCAGATCATTGGGCTTAACTGGCTCACTGTAATGCATAAACAAGAAATGAATGGCATTTTGGCGGACGAAATGGGTCTGGGAAAGACAATTCAGGTGATTGCATTTCTGGCTTATCTAAAGGAGAATGGTCTAAGCCAGGCAGCCCATTTGATTGTGGTTCCTTCGTCCACGCTGGATAATTGGGAAGCGGAAATTTCCCGCTGGTGTCCCAAACTGGTAGTAGAGAAGTATCATGGCTCGCAGGACGAGCGGAGGAGAATGAGAGGTAGATTTGCTAGGGATGGCTTTACTGGTTTCGATGTTCTTCTGACCACGTAAGTAACCAACAAATAATATGAGCTCATTAAAACATAATTTTCTTTTTAAATTTCAAAGTTATCACATTGTTGGATCCACTCCTGAGGAAAGAAAAATGTTTCGAGTTTGCAAGTTAGATTACGTTATCTTTGATGAAGCGCACATGCTGAAAAACATGACTACGCAACGCTATGCCAACCTTATAACCATCAATGCCAGGATGCGTATTCTTCTTACCGGAACTCCGCTGCAGAACAATCTGCTGGAGCTAATTTCTCTTCTATGTTTCGTGATGCCCAAGTTCTTTGCTAAGAGTATTGAGGACATTAAATCGTTGTTCGTTAAGGTAAACAAGAAAAGGTAAAATCAAAAGAAAAATAAATAACATGCTTTATTTCAGAAGGGAAAATCCGATGGCGACCAGGAAGAGGTGTCACAGTTTCAGGAAACACAGATCCAGAGAGCCAAGCGCATCATGAAACCATTCGTGCTTAGACGCCTTAAAAAAGATGTACTCAAGAACCTGCCCAAGAAGCTAAGTCTAGTGGTAAGGGACAGTTAAAAACACTATTAAAGAATATTAATTACTTGTTTAATTTTAGGAAAAAGTATCCATGAGCAATCAACAAAAACACTATTATCACGAATTAGTAGAGTATTATTCCAATAATAAGGGAGAGGTGTGCAGCAGTAGTGAAAGGGCCGGGATAGCGATCATGATGGAGATGCGACGCATTGCGAACCACCCGTTGCTGATGCGGCACTACTTCACCGATGCTCATCTGCGTGGATTTTCTAAGCGCCTGGCAAGTGTCAGTTCCTACAAGAAGACCAATGAGCAATATATCTTTGAGGAGCTCGCCGTCATGTCTGATTTTCAGGTCTTTCAGTTGTGCAACAAGCATGTGAGTCTCTTACAAATGGGCACGTAATTGAAAATGACTAATCTTTTAATTTTCTTTTAGGAATTTTACGATGTGAAAATACCCGACGAGTTAATCTGCGATTCCGGGAAATTCCGGTACCTGGACACACTGCTTCCAAAGTTAAAGGAAGAGGGGCACCGTGTTCTGCTTTTCAGTCAGTTCGTCATGATGCTGGACATTGTGGAGGAATATTTGCGGATACGAAAGTTTGGTTTCTGCCGTCTGGATGGTGCGACTGCCGTGAATGTCCGCCAGGACTTAATTACTGACTTTAATGTGGACGACAGCATTTTCGTGTTCCTGCTCTCCACAAAAGCCGGGGGCGTTGGCATCAATCTGACAGCTGCCGACACCTGCATTATTCACGACATCGACTTTAACCCTTACAACGATAAGCAAGCCGAGGATCGGTGTCACCGTATGGGTCAGCAGCGCCCGGTGACCATTTACCGCCTAATTTCCGAAAGTACCATTGAGGAAGGCATCCTGATGGCCGCCGAAGAGAAGCTAAAGTTAGAAAAGGACATTACTTCTAACGAGAAGGGCGAGGTGCACGAGCAGCGCTGTGTGGTCAAGCTACTAACCACGGCTCTAGGATTGGACAAAGATCAGGAGGAACAGCTAAATAACTCACTGAACAACTCTATAGCATCGCCCGCCAAGTAGGCATTCTCGTTGTCGTCGTTCTTGTCTTTTTCCCCACCTCCGTAATTATTAATTGGATCAACGTATCCTAAGTCCCTAGCGCGTTCATATTTTGTTAAAATCTTTTGAGTAATTCTACTGGTCTATTGATTAATTGATTGTATTTATATTTTATAAACTTGTGGCTAGGAACGAGCGATTTTGCGGAAACTCAACGGAAAGTGGATCATAAATTGGTTTAATAATTTGTCATCAATAGAACGACAACTGTTCATCTTTAGTAACAAAAACATTTCCACCTAAGCCAAGGCAGACAATTTCATATTCTTGTTTTATTGATTTGTCAACCTGCATAGTTTTCTTTTCTTTAAGCTTTTATGTATAGAATTGAAAATCTTGTTATAAGGATAAAAATCATTTGTGTACGAATGGGAACATGACGTTTGTTTTTATTTGATATTCGAGAAGCTCGACAACCCTCATCGGATTTCTCTCGCATTTCCCCGATTGTGTGTGATTTCGGAGCGATGTTGAGAGAGTAAAACAGTTTTGGAGAGCTTTTGCCTCTGATCGTGGCGAGGCGATTCATCAAGTCTTTAGTCTTCAACTGATCGCTCGCGCCGATGATTTAATTTTTAAGTTAAACGCAGGCCAGTGTAGCAGCCAACAGCGTTACTCACATCCATACATACGTGCGAATATACATGCCTACATAATACGGCGTACATCGATAAATAGATATACCCCGCAGATATAGTGTCTCGATCGACAGCAACGAACCCATGAAAACCTAAAGTAAATCTAAAATACAAGTCGAGTTATACATATATGTATATAAATTAATTTAAAATCAAATCCCAATCCTTTATATTTTGTCCTAACAATTCGGGATCTAAGTCCGCGCTGCCGTTATGTGAATCATGCATAAGTACATAAGTTTCCTACCCAAATTCTTTCTTGAATTCTATTTAAAAATAGACAAACAGTTTGCGAGCGGAAATCATATTGCCGCGGCGGCCACTAAAATACTAAATAAATCAGGCCAATAATATTAAATACATTTTTTTTTTGTCTTTCTGCCCGTCTGATCTTATTGTTTTTGACTAGCGGAAACGGAAGCAACGCCAACTGCATATAGGTTTATAGATGTATCTACACAGTGCCGCGATACAGTCATCACTCGCAGCGCTGTCATATACTATAAATATAGATGCGGCGGCACATGTGAGCAATTTTTGGCAATTGCCAAAGAATACGGCGCACAAGTTGGGGGAAAACAAACAGCGCGTGCAGGCTAAACATGAAATAAATATATGAAAATATAAATAACAATTAATAATCCCCCACTTTGGCGTTGTATGGGTGTAGTGACCGATAATATGTATGTTTAAAAGTGTGAGTAACCCGAAGAATAACTATAATTTTAGCGAGCGATCTGCATTAAAAGAGAGAAAAATCACACAAAAAGAAAAACGAACGAAAATAATAACGCGAACAAAAACAAAACGGAATTGTAATAATTGACGAGCATATAACGAGCCGAGAACAAGCAGCACAAAGCGACAAACCAAAAATAGATGATACCAACGGTGCGTATACTTAATGAGCCACCCGCTCATACTCACTCATCTCACTCTCTCGCTCACACAGCAGCCACAACAAGAACAACAATAAGCACTACAATCAATTGTGATCGCGGTGCGTGTGTGTGCGTTTTGTATCTGTGTCTTTGCATTTGCCGCTGTATCTGTATCTGGAAGAGCGCAATCCATAACCATCTAGTGTTCCAACATATTCGGAATATTGGGGCGTGGATGTCCGCTTTGAAATATTAATTATATTTGACACTGCTTACGGCTTGACTTGGCGCATGCCAAGCATGATTAAACGAGACACGAAAGAGCGTATCTACGAAGTAGATAAATATCTTTATACGAACAACTAAGCTGCAGCACCAACCAACAATCGAATCGACGAATAGCGACGCACAAACAAACCCATCTATATACTTTATAGAGAGAGATAAACAAAAGCTCAAGCAGCAGCAGCAACAACGAAACAAATTTGGATGAAAAATTTTTGCACTAAAAGGTGAGTATCCATCGCTGTGATTCATAATCCAGGCCCAGCTTATTCTGTTTGCTAATCTGGGAATAGACTGTCAAGCAATTAACGAGGCAAGTTCACATAATTGTGGTAGTAGTCATACACAGTACAACTACACTATATAGTTTTTTTTCTTTTATGTTTAACATTTTAAAGTCTTTAAAAACCAAAAAAAAAACTAAGAAGAATAAAAAAACTATTAACTTTTTTGAACCAGAAGCCAAAAGATCATACATGTAATTTGTTAAAGTAATAAAAATGTTAGCTAACAGCAAGTCATTTCCTTTTTAAATTGGTAGTTTATTTTATTTTTCAAAAAACATTTCTTGGCGTCATTTTTTGAGGCTTGACTGTACTTTATAGTGTGTATCTTTCGCGGAGACTCACTCCGGACTCCTTGTGGGCACCATATAAGAATTACTCGGGGGCTGATGTCATGCTCGGATACGAAGTACTCTAGCCAAAGACCCCAAACCAGATGCAACTCCTACGCTTCGTCATAAAGCCGGTTGCTCAAAGAGATCAAGTAGTTTGTGCCTCCATCTCGAGTCTTGGGTAAACAGTTTTTGTATATCTTTACTTGACTTATGAGTAGGTGAACATGTTTTGGGTTTGGCTCAGGGCTTAAGCTTTGGATTCTCACGATTAACATTTTATTGCATTTCAGACCCAGCAATCTGAATCTGCAAAAAGGGAACATAGCCCTCACATCGTATTAAGAAGAGAACTCAACTCGACAAAGGAGTAAGAAAAAGGAAGAAAGGAAATCAACTATTGTGATATGTACAAATTTACTCAAATACTGAAGCCACATATTTAGACGTTTATTCCACGGAATCCCAGTTATAAAACGATTAACCGGAGGATAATCTACCAAAGATTAGGCTTTCACCTTCAATTAAGTTTATCTATATAAAGCAGAAGTAGTACTCGAAAATCAAAAAAATGGCCGAGAAAGTTGAACTGGCCCAGGCCGGCCTAAACGGTCAACAGAATGATCCCCGAAAGGTGCGAAAGTCACCTGAGTTTCAGCCCGGCGTTATCTCCCGGGAACGCAGCTTTGTGCGCAGCTCAAATCAACAGGTGAGTTGCATCTAACGATATCAATATCGAACATTAACTATATTTGCGTTTGCGGTTTCAGAATATCAACAAACGACGAAGTCTGGCATTCAACGTGCCTGGCAATCAGACCGGACAGATGAGAGGCAAACCAGCCATGGATATATACAGGCCTCCAAGTGAGTAGTTATAGTCATTCTTAATAAATTCTTCTCTTCGCTTGGGTGCTTGGCGGGGTGTTCGGTTTTATAGCATTTGTAGAAATCAATAACGGGAAACAATTGACAGCTTTATTGGATTTTAACCGAGATTATTTCACTGATCGTTTTTTCAAGTTTGTGAACTTATTCTTAATAAATTTGATCATATAAAAGGATTTTTAAAGTGAATTGCATTTAATTAGGATGGTACTAGACTACTTAATTACCTAAGTACGAATAATAAAGTTTTTATGGATAGATTTTAAAAGAAAAAGTTAAACGTTAAAAGCATATTATTCTGGTCCAGAAATATATATGTCCCAAGCTTGAGATTAGTTTCTGATCTTATCTCACTTAAGAATGGCTATCAGCCAGCTCAGCTTGGATTGCTTTTTTCTTTTCGCTGCAAGCTTATCAGTTCCAACGATTACTTACTGAGACCACATTTTTCTTTTGATTCTTTTCATATCTCTGTCTCATACCCTGTGCATTCCAATTCCCCACACAATGTTGTCCTGTCCCTCACATCATCACATCCATCCTTGGGTATCCCGACCCCCCAAAACTTATTTGCCTCTGTCTCAGATGTGCGCGGAGAGCTGGCTGCTCCAGCCAGCAGTGGTGATGGTTCAATTGGTGTTACCGGTGGTGTCGCCAACAAGCTGAACGTCAATGCCCAGGAGTTTACAATGACAAGCAGCTCCGGGGCACCTGCCGAGGCAGTCAGCAATCGGTAATGCAAAGTCTTTTAATGCCATTGTTTACCCCTCTTCCCGTCTCCTTGCAGAGCTAAACTACAGTCTACAACATTCTTCCAGTTCGTCGTTAATCTTCCCACCCACAAATGGACCCGGAGTGGCTCCGGTTTTGGGTCAGTATGGAAACGTGAATCGCCGCCAGGCCGGACTCTCCCTTGGGAACATGTCGGGCTTGAAGGCCAACCACCATCTATCAACCAGCTCTATCTTGGTGACGCATCCAATCAGTGCCAGCCCCCTTGGCGGTCAGTTGCCGCTCATGAACTCGCCCTCCAGTGGAAATATATTGCATGTAAGCTCCATTTTAAATTAACAAAGCGAAAATGGTATTTAAATTTAATAGTCATTACATAAAAAATATATAATAGGAATGACTTAATAAGTTTTTTTTAGTTAATAAGTTTTAAATAAAGAACAACTTGTTTATGCTAAACTTTTTTTAAATTTCAGACAACGAATCGTGTCAAGTTTGCTCCTGAGCCCAGAGGTCACAAGGTGGCTACTCAAAACCAGTTTGGACAGCTAAATAATAACTACGTTCAGCCTTATCAGGCAAATCTTAATGGAATCGATCCATACATAAATGGGAATTCATTGCAACGCTCGAAGTCCTTATCGTCAGCAGACGCATTAACTAGAGGAATGGCGGGATTAGGTTTGGGGTTGGGAAACGAAGTTGCCGACATTGGCCAGTTCACGCCAGAGATTCAAGCTCTTATTGACACGGCTCTGGAGGATCCAAATAAACTTAACTCTCGCTGTCTAATGGAACTAACATCGCAATTTATCAAGCGTGCGGTGGAGAGCCGGCGGTTTGCATTACCAATCTCTCGCCTGTGCTTAAACATCATCGCCCGGGAGCAGAAGGAGACATTTTTGGAGGCCCTTCTCAACACATGCCGTCAGTGGTATCAGGAACGCGAAAAAGTAAGTAATTTAATCTAATATCTGATAAAATATATATTTAATACTTTACTATTTCTAATCTGTACAGCTGCTGTTTGCCATCCAGGGCATGAAGTCGCCATCCCGTGTTAGATTCACCGCATTCATGGCCTTCCTCACGGAGATGTTTTGTCAGCTGAAGCGCCGACAGCTCCAACTGCGAACCCACCACGAGGGGACTTCCCCTCCGCTGGTGCTACTAAGTTTGTTGTCCAAATGTTGCGAGGATTGCGTGCGTCCACCTATAAGATCTCTTTCAGAGGTAAGTCTGTAAATTTACAAATTGTTGTTTAAGTTCATTAATATGCAATGCTATCTATTTCTCTACCAGATCGAATGTCTCTTCTATGTGCTGACATGCATTGGCCAGGATATGGAGCAGCAGCTGCCACAGCAATTGGAGTTACTAATGGGTCTCGTTCGCGATGCCTTTCTGAATGCAGGCGAATCAGCAGCATCCATTCGACGCACTCTCCTTCAGCTCATCGAGCTGAAGGCATCCCACTGGCAGCTTCCAGGCAACACGGTTCTTTACTACACACACACTAACAACTAGAACTTGAAAATGGGAAACAACTTGAACTAGATCTGAACCTAGTACCAAGGCGGGGATTCGGGCACTGTGCAATCTAAAAGACACCATCAGCTATATTTTCTGTTGTCGCATTGCATTTAGGGCCTGGAAAACTTCTGTTCTATTTATCTTATCGTACTCTTACCTAGGAATAAGCAATATTTATTTCGGCACCAGCAATAGAGAGAAACTAACCCGAGACTTGCTCACTACACACCAAGCCCAGTACCAAATGAGATCTGCCGATTTGACTCGGTATCTTCGGACTCTTCTATATTCTAAGGCTCAACTTTTATGTGAATCCATATATTTATGTGTAATAAATCACAGCTAGTCAAAAAGTCTACAATTTGAATTTTCTTGAAATCATGGATGTACACACAAATACTATACTTTAAACGTATTAATGTTTTAGACGCTTATCTTTTTTGTTATAAAATTAAGGAATGTCTACCTGCTGACCTTTGTTGAACCTCGACCCCTGATTAAGCTTATCAGCACCTTGCTATTTCATGTCTTTTGATTCCTATTTAAGCACAAGGTTGGGCTCGAAATTTCAGAGTCTTGCTCGAAAAGTTGCCATGGTAAGTCGAAAGTTCTCTAAGGTACTGGATTATATATTTTTTTAAATTGTAGGTAATGTTAAGATGTTTTATTTTGTTTACACTCCACCAAGCTGTTAATGCAGCAATGGATGGAAGTGAAACAAAATTTGGGGACAAATTAGCTACTGCGTCTTCCCAAAAGTATCCCGATAACTGCGTTCTATTTCCCTTCCTTCCGGAGTGTCCACTTGCCCCAGATTTCAACCCAACGACAACAGCAATCACTGACCGAACTACCAAAAGGGAAACAACAAAAAGTTCTACCGAGCTAACCACAAAAAAGGTACATACTGTTAAAACTACAAAGAAGCCAACACCTGAAAAAACAACACTAAAGACAAGTACTATTAAGACGTCCACAAAGCAGGACACTAGAAAAACAACTCAGAAGACCACAACTAATAAATATACCACAAGAACCAACCATCCCAAATACAACTACTGTAAAAACATCAACAGAGCCAACCACCGCCAAAACAACAACTCTAAAGACCCCAACAGCAAAAACAACAGGGAATCCAACAACTCAGAAGAAAACCACTGCAAAGGTAACAACAGAGCCAACCACCGAGAAAACAACAACTCATAAGAGAACCACTGTAAAGGCAACAACAGAGCCTACCACCGAGAAAACAACAACTCAAAAGACGTCGACCACTGAAACTAAAACCGAACCAACAACTGCAAAGTTAACAACAGAGCCCTCTACCGAGAAAACAACTACTCTAAACACCTCAACAGCAAAAACAACAAGACATCCAACAACTCAGAAGAAAACCACTGTAAAGGTAACAACAGAGCCTACCACCGAGAAAACAACAAATCATAAGAAAACCACTGTAAAGCCAACAACAGAGCCTACCACCGAGAAAGCAACAACTCAAAAGACGTCGACCACTGAAACTAAAACAGAACCAACAACTGCAAAGTTAACAACAGAGCCCTCTACCGAGAAAACAACAACTCTAAAAGCCTCAACATCAAAAACAACAAGGACAACAACAACTCAGAAGAAAACCACTGAAAAGGCAACAACAGAGCCTACCACCGAGAAAACAACAAATCATAAGAAAACCACTGTAAAGCCAACAACAGAGCCTACCACTGAGAAAGCAACAACTCAAAAGACGTCGACCACTGAAACTAAAACAGAACCAACAACTGCAAAGTTAACAACAGAGCCCTCTACCCAGAAAACAACAACTCTGAACACCTCAACAGCAAAAACAACAAGGAATCCAACAACTCACAAGGAAACCACTGCAAAGGTAACAACAGAGCCTACCACCGAAAAAACAACAACTCATAAGAAAACCACTGTAAAGGCAACAACAGAGCCTACAACCGAGAAAGCAACAACTCAAAAGACGTCGACCACTGAAACTAAAACAGAACCAACAACTGCAAAGTTAACAACAGAGCCCTCTACCCAGAAAACAACAACTCTAAACACCTCAACAGCAAAAACAACAAGACATCCAACAACTCAGAAGAAAACCACTGTAAAGGCAACAACAGAGCATACCACCGAGAAAACAACAAATCAGAAGAAAACCACTGTAAAGCCAACAACAGAGCCTACCACTGAAAAAGCAACAACTCAAAAGACGTCGACCACTGAAACTAAAACAGAACCAACAACTGCAAAGTTAACAACAGAGCCCTCTACCCAGAAAACAACAACTCTAAACACCTCAACAGCAAAAACGACAAGGAATCCAACAACTCAGAAGAAAACCACTGTAAAGGCAACAACAGAGCATACCACCGAGAAAACAACAACTCATAAGAAAACCACTGTAAAGCCAACAACAGAGCCTACCACTGAGAAAGCAACAACTCAAAAGACGTCGACCACTGAAACTAAAACAGAACCAACAACTGCAAAGTTAACAACAGAGCCCTCTACCCAGAAAACAACAACTCTGAACACCTCAACAGCAAAAACAACAAGGAATCCAACAACTCAGAAGAAAACCACTGTAAAGGTAGCAACAGAGCCTACCACCGAGAAAACAACAACTCATAAGAAAACCACTGTAAAGGCAACAACAGAGCCTACCACCGAGAAAGCAACAACTCAAAAGACGTCGACCACTGAAACTAAAACAGAACCAACAACTGCAAAGTTAACAACAGAGCCCTCTACCCAGAAAACAACAACTCTGAACACCCCAACAGCAAAAACAACAGGGAATCCAACAACTCAGAAGAAAACCACTGTAAAGGTAACAACAGAGCCAACCACCGAGAAAACAACAACTCATAAGAGAACCACTGAAAAGGCAACAACAGAGCCTACAACCGAGAAAGCAACAACTCAAAAGACGTCGACCACTGAAAGTAAAACAGAACCAACAACTGCAAAGTTAACAACAGAGCCCTCTACCCAGAAAACAACAACTCAGAACACCTCAACAGCAAAAACAACAAGGAATCCAACAACTCAGAGGAAAACCACAGTAAAGGTAACAACAGGTAACACCGAGAAAACAACAACTCATAAGAGAACCACTGTAAAGGCAACAACAGAGCCTACCACCGAGAAAGCAACAACTCAAAAGACGTCGACCACTGAAACTAAAACAGAACCAACAACTGCAAAGTTAACAACAGAGCCCTCTACCCAGAAAACAACAACTCTAAACACCTCAACAGCAAAAACAACAAGGAATCCAACAACTCAGAAGAAAACCACTGTAAAGGTAACAACAGAGCCTACCACCGAGAAAACAACAACTCATAAGAAAACCACTGTAAAGGCAACAACAGAGCCTACCACCGAGAAAGCAACAACTCAAAAGACGTCGACCACTGAAACTAAAACAGAACCAACAACTGCAAAGTTAACAACAGAGCCCTCTACCCAGAAAACAACAACTCTAAACACCTCAACATCAAAAACAACAAGGAAACCAACAACTCAGAAGAAAACCACTGTAAAGGCAACAACAGAGCCTACCACCGAGAAAACAACAACTCATAAGAAAACCACTGTAAAGCCAACAACAGAACCTACCACTGAGAAAGCAACAACTCAAAAGACGTCGACCACTGAAACTAAAACAGAACCAACAACTGCAAAGTTAACAACAGAGCCCTCTACCCAGAAAACAACAACTCTAAACACCTCAACAGCAAAAACAACAAGGAAACCAACAACTCAGAAGAAAACCACTGTAAAGGCAACAACAGAGCCTACCACCGAGAAAACAACAACTCATAAGAAAACCACTGTAAAGGCAACAACAGAGCCTACCACTGAGAAAGCAACAACTCAAAAGACGTCGACTACTGAAACTAAAACAGAACCAACAACTGCAAAGTTAACAACAGAGCCCTCTACCCAGAAAACAACAACTCTAAACACCTCAACAGCAAAAACAACAAGGAATCCAACAACTCAGAAGGAAACCACTGTAAAGGTAGCAACAGAGCCTACCACCGAGAAAACAACAACTCATAAGAAAACCACTGTAAAGGCAACAACAGAGCCTACCACCGAGAAAGCAACAACTCAAAAGACGTCGACCACTGAAACTAAAACAGAACCAACAACTGCAAAGTTAACAACAGAGCCCTCTACCCAGAAAACAACAACTCTGAACACCCCAACAGCAAAAACAACAGGGAATCCAACAACTCAGAAGAAAACCACTGTAAAGGTAACAACAGAGCCAACCACCGAGAAAACAACAACTCATAAGAAAACCACTGAAAAGGCAACAACAGAGCCTACAACCGAGAGCGCAGCAACTCAAAAGACGTCGACCACTGAAACTAAAACAGAACCGACAACTGCAAAGTTAACAACAGAGCCCTCTACCCAGAAAACAACAACTCTAAACACCTCAACAGCAAAAACAACAAGGAATCCAACAACTCAGAAGGAAACCACTGTAAAGGTAAAAACAGAGCCTACCACCGAGAAAACAACAACTCATAAGAAAACCACTGTAAAGGCAACAACAGAGCCTACCACCGAGAAAGCAACAACTCAAAAGACGTCGACCACTGGAAGTAAAACAGAACCAACAACTGCAAAGTTAACAACAGAGCCCTCTACCCAGAAAACAACAACTCTGAACACCTCAACAGCAAAAACAACAAGGAACCCAACAACTCAGAAGGGAACCACTGTAAAGGTAAAAACAGAGCCTACCACCGAGAAAACAACAACTCATAAGAAAACCACTGTAAAGGCAACAACAGAGCCTACCACTGAAAAAGCAACAACTCAAAAGACGTCGACCACTGAAACTAAAACAGAACCAACAACTGCAAAGTTAACAACAGAGCCCTCTACCCAGAAAACAACAACTCTAAACACCTCAACAGCAAAAACAACAAGGAAACCAACAACTCAGAAGAAAACCACTGTAAAGGTAACAACAGAGCCTACCACCGAGAAAACAACAACACATAAGAAAACCACTGTAAAGGCAACAACAGAGCCTACCACCGAGAAAGCAACAACTCAAAAGACGTCGACCACTGAAACTAAAACAGAACCAACAACTGCAAAGTTAACAACAGAGCCCTCTACCGAGAAAACAACCACTCTAAACACCTCAACATCAAAAACAACAAGGAAACCAACAACTCAGAAGAAAACCACTGTAAAGGTAGCAACAGAGCCTACCACCGAGAAAACAACAACTCATAAGAAAACCACTGTAAAGCCAACAACAGAGCCTACCACTGAAAAAGCAACAACTCAAAAGACGTCGACCACTGAAACTAAAACAGAACCAACAACTGCAAAGTTAACAACAGAGCCCTCTACCCAGAAAACAACAACTCTAAACACCTCAACAGCAAAAACAACAACGAATCCAACAACTCAGAAGGAAACCACTGTAAAGGCAACAACAGAGCCTACCACCGAGAAAACAACAACTCATAAGAAAACCACTGTAAAGGCAACAACAGAGCCTACCACCGAGAAAGCAACAACTCAAAAGACGTCGACCACTGAAACTAAAACAGAACCAACAACTGCAAAGATAACAACAGAGCCCTCTACCGACAAAACAACTACTCTAAAGACCTCAACAGCAAAAACAACAAGGAAACCAACAACTCAGAAGAAAACCAGTGTAAAGCCAACAACAGAGCATACCACCGAGAAAACAACAACTCATAAGAAAACCACTGTAAAGCCAACAACAGAGCCTACCACCGAGAAAGCGACAACTCAAAAGACGTCGACCACTGAAACTAAAACAGAACCAACAACTGCAAAGTTAACAACAGAGCCCTCTACCGAGAAAACAACCACTCTAAACACCTCAACAGCAAAAACAACAAGGAAACCAACAACTCAGAAGAAAACCACTGTAAAGGTAACAACAGAGCCTACCACCGAGAAAACAACAACTCATAAGAAAACCACTGTAAAGGCAACAACAGAGCCTACCACCGAGAAAGCAACAACTCAAAAGACGTCGACCACTGAAACTAAAACAGAACCAACAACTGCAAAGTTAACAACAGAGCCCTCTACCGAGAAAACAACAACTCTAAACACCTCAACAGCAAAAACAAGGAAACCAACAACTCAGAAGAAAACCACTGTAAAGGTAACAACAGAGCCTACCACCGAGAAAACAACAACTCATAAGAAAACCACTGAAAAGGCAACAACAGAGCCTACAACCGAGAAAGCAACAACTCAAAAGACGTCGACCACTGAAACTAAAACAGAACCAACAACTGCAAAGTTAACAACAGAGCCCTCTACCAGAGAAAACAACAACTCTAGAACACCTCAACAGCAAAAACAACAAGGAAACCAACAACTCAGAAGAAAACCACTGTAAAAGGTAACAACAGAGCCTACCACCGAGAAAACAACAACTCATAAGAAAACCACTGTAAAGCCAACAACAGAGCATACCACCGAGAAAAAAACAACTCAAAAGACGTCGACCACTGAAACTAAAACAGAACCAACAACTGCAAAGTTAACAACAGAGCCCTCTACCGAGAAAACAACCACTCTAAACACCTCAACATCAAAAACAACAAGGAAACCAACAACTCAGAAGAAAACCACTGTAAAGGTAACAACAGAGCCTACCACCGAGAAAACAACAACTCATAAGAAAACCACTGTAAAGGCAACAACAGAGCCTACCACCGAGAAAGCAACAACTCAAAAGACGTCGACCACTGAAACTAAAACAGAACCAACAACTGCAAAGTTAACAACAGAGCCCTCTACCGAGAAAACAACTACTCTAAACACCTCAACAGCAAAAACAACAAGGAAACCAACAACTCAGAAGAAAACCACTGTAAAGGTAACAACAGAGCCTACCACCGAGAAAACAACAACTCATAAGAAAACCACTGTAAAGGCAACAACAGAGCCTACAACCGAGAAAGCAACAACTCAAAAGACGTCGACCACTGAAACTAAAACAGAACCAACAACTGCAAAGTTAACAACAGAGCCCTCTACCCAGAAAACAACAACTCTAAACACCTCTACAGCAAAAACAACAAGACATCCAACAACTCAGAAGAAAAACACTGTTAAGCCAACAACAGAGCCCTCTACCGAGAAAACAACAACTAATAAGAAAACCACTGTAAAGGCAACAACAGAGCCTACCACTGAAAAAGCAACAACTCAAAAGACGTCGACCACTGAAACTAAAACAGAACCAACAACTGCAAAGTTAACAACAGAGCCCTCTACCCAGAAAACAACAACTCTAAACACCTCAACAGCAAAAACGACAAGGAATCCAACATCTCAGAAGAAAACCACAGTAAAGGTAACAACAGAGCATACCACCGAGAAAACAACAAATCAGATGAAAACCACTGTAAAGGCAACAACAGAGCATACCACCGAGAAAACAACAAATCAGAAGAAAACCACTGTAAAGCCAACAACAGAGCCTACCACTGAGAAAGCAACAACTCAAAAGACGTCGACCACTGAAACTAAAAACAGAACCAACAACTGCAAAGTTAACAACAGAGCCCTCTACCCAGAAAACAACAACTCTGAACACCTCAACAGCAAAAACAACAAGACATCCAACAACTCAGAAGAAAACCACTGTAAAAACACCATAAGAACAGTAAAGGCAACAACAGAGCATACCACCGAGAAAACAACAAATCAGAAGAAAACCACTGTAAAGCCAACAACAGAGCCTACCACTGAGAAAGCAACAACTCAAAAGACGTCGACCACTGAAACTAAAACAGAACCAACAACTGCAAAGTTAACAACAGAGCCCTCTACCCAGAAAACAACAACTCTAAACACCTCAACAGCAAAAACAACAAGACATCCAACAACTCAGAAGAAAAACACTGTTAAGCCAACAACAGAGCCCTCTACCGAGAAAACAACAACTCTTAACACCCCAACATCAAAAACAACAACAACTCCAACAACTCAGAAGAAAACCACTGTAAAGGCAACAACAGAGCCTACAACCGAGAAAACAACAACTCAAAAGACGTCGACCACTGAAACTAAAACAGAACCAACAACTGCAAAGTTAACAACAGAGCCCTCTTCCCAGAAAACAACAACTCTGAACACCTCAACAGCAAAAACAACAAGGAATCCAACAACTCAGAACAAAACCACTGTAAAGGCAACAAAAGAGCCTACCACGGAGAAAATAACAACTTTACAGACTTCAACAGCAAAAACGACAAGGCATCCAACAACGCAGAAGAAAACCACTGTAAAAGTAATAAGAGAACCAACCACAGCAAAAAAAACCACTCAAAGGCAAACGACTAGGAATCCAACAACTCAGAAGAAAACGACTGTAAAGGCATTAACAACAACAAAAAAGACTACCCCAGAATCAACAACTGTAAGGACCACAACAAAGCCGAACACTCAAAAGACGACCACCACAAAGGCTGCCCGAAAGCCAACCACTCCGAAGATAACAACTAAAAAGACTACTAGAAAGGCAAGAACTCGAAGGCCAACAACTGTTAAGATAACGACTGAAAAAACTTCCCCTAAGCCAACAACTTATAAGACAACCGTTAAATCAACCACGCCAAGAGCAACTATTGAACCAATAACAAAGATCACAACTGGAAAGACCACTATAAAACCAACAACCAAGAAGACAACAACAAAAAAGACTACCCCAGAAGCAACAACTGTAAGGACCACAACAAAAACGAACACTAAAAAGACGACTGCCACAAAAACTACTAGGACGCAAACCACTCCGAAGACAACAACTAAAAAGTCTACCCGAAAGCCAACAACTCGAAAGTCAACAACTTTTAAGACAACTACTGAAAAAACTTCCTCTAAGCCAACTTATAAGACAACCGAATCAACCACGTCAAAACTCTAGAACCTAACAAAGATCGCAGAGTAACTACCCGAACAACAAAAAGCCCAAACACTCCGAAGATAACAACAACAAAAAAGACGTCTAGAAAGGCAACAACTCGAAGGCCAACAACTGTTAAGATAACGACTGAAAAAACTTCCCCTAAGCCAACAACTTATAAGACAACCGTTAAATCAACCACGTCAAGAGCAACTATTGAACCAATAACAAAGATCACAACTGGAAAGACCACTATAAAACCAACAACCAAGAAGACAACAACAAAAACTACTATCCCAGAAGCAACAACTGTAAGGACTACAACAAAAACGAACACTAAAAAGACGACTGCCACAAAAACTACTAGGACGCAAACCACTCCGAAGACAACAACTAAAAAGTCTACCCGAAAGCCAACAACTCGAAAGTCAACAACTGTTAAGACAACTACTGAAAAAACTTCCCTAAGGCAACAACTTTTAGGACAACCGATAAATCAACACTAGGGGCAACTATAACAAAACAAAGATCACAACTAGGAAACCACTATAAAACCAACGACCAATAAGACAACAACAAAAAGATCTACCCCAGAAGCATCAACTGTAGGTAACAAAGCCGAACACTAAAAAGCACTCAAAACTACCCGAAAGCCAACCACTCCGAAGATAACAACTAAAAAGACTACTAGAAAGGCAACAACTCGAAGGCCAACAACTGTTAAGACAACGGCTAAAAAAACTTCCCCTAGGCCAACAACTTATAAGACAACCGTTAAATCAACCACGTCAAGAGCAACTATAGAACCAATAACAACCAAGAAGACAACACCAAAAAAGACTACCCCAGAAGCAACAACTGTAAGGACCACAACAAAACCGAACACTAAAAAGACGACTGCCACAAAGGCTACCCGAAAGCCAACCACTCCGAAGATAACAACAAAAAAGACTACTCGAAAGGCAACAACTCGAAGGCCAACAACTATTAAGATAACTACTGAAAAAACTTCCCCTAAGCCAACAACTTATAAGACAACCGTTAAATCCACCACGTCAAGAGCAACTATGGAACCAATAACAAAGATCACAACTAGAAAGACCACTAAAAAACCAACGACCAACAAGACAACAACAAAAAAGATTACCCCAGAAGTAACAACTGCAAGGACCACAACAAAGCCGAACACTAAAAAGACGACCACCACAAAGGCTACCCGAAAGCCAACCACTTCGAAGATAACAACTAAAAAGACTACCCGAAAGCCAACAACTCGAAAGTCAACAACTGTTAAGACAATGACTGACAAAACTTCCCCTAAGGCAACAACTTTTAGGACAACCGATAAATCAACCACGTCAAGAGCAACTATAGAACCAATAACAAAGATCACAACTAGAAAGACCACTATAAAACCAACAACCAAGAAGACAACAACAAAAAAGATTACCCCAGAAGCAACAACTGTAAGGACCACAACAAAGCCGAACACTAAAAAGACGACCACTACAAAAACTACCCGAAAGCCAACCACTCCGAAGATAACAACTAAAAAGACTACTCGAAAGCCAACAACTCGAAAGTCAACAACTGTTAAGACAACGACTGAAAAAACTTCCCCTAAGCCAACAACTTATAAGACAACCGTTAAATCATCCACGTCAAGAGCAACTATAGAACCAATAACAAAAATCACAACTAAAAATACCACTATAAAACCAACAACCAAGAAGACAACAACAAAAAAGACTACCCCAGAAGTAACAACTGCAAGGACCACAACAAAACCGAACACTAAAAAGACGACCACTACAAAGGCTACCCGAAAGCCAACCACTCCGAAGATAACAACTAAAAAGACTACTCGAAAGCTAACAACTCGAAAGTCAACAACTGTTAAGACAATAACTGACAAAACTTCCCCTAAGGCAACAACTTTTAAGACAACCGATAAATCAACGACGTCAAGAGCAACTATAGAACCAATAACAAAGATGACAACTAGGAATACCACTATGAAACCAACAACCAAGACGACAACAACAAAAAAGACTACCCCAGAAGCAACAACTGTAAGGACCACAACAAAACCGAACACTAAAAAGACGACTGCCACAAAGGCTACCCGAAAGCCAACCACTCCGAAGATAACAACTAAAAAGACTACTCGAAAGGCAACAACTCGAAGGCCAACAACTATTAAGATAACTACTGAAAAAACTTCCCCTAAGCCAACAACTTATAAGACAACCGTTAAATCCACCACGTCAAGAGCAACTATGGAACCAATAACAAAGATCACAACTAGGAATACCACTATAAAACCAACAACCAAGAAGACAACAACAAAAAAGACTACCCCAGAAGCAACAACTGTAAGGACCACAACAAAACCGAACACTAAAAAGACGACCACCACAAAGGCTACCCGAAAGCCAACCACTCCGAAGATAACAACTAAAAAGACTACTAGAAAGGCAACAACTCGAAAGTCAACAACTGTTAAGATAACGACTGAAAAAACTTCCCCTAAGCCAACAACTTATAAGACAACCGTTAAATCAACCACGTCAAGAGCAACTATTGAACCAATAACAAAGATCACAACTGGAAAGACCACTATAAAACCAACAACCAAGAAGGCAACAACAAAAAAGACTACCCCAGAAGCAACAACTGTAAGGACTACAACAAAAACGAACACTAAAAAGACGACTGCCACAAAATCTGCTAAGGAGCAAACCACTCCGAAGACAACAACTAAAAAGACAACCCGAAAGCCAACAACTCGAAAGTCAACAACTTTTAAGACAACTACTGAAAAAACTTCATCTAAGCCAACTTATAAGACAACCGCAAAATCTACCACATCGAGAGTAACTACCCGAAAGCCAAACACTCCGAAAATAACAACTAAAAAGACTACTAGAAAGGCAACAACTCGAAGGCCAACAACTGTTAAGATAACGACTGAAAAAACTTCCCCTAAGCCAACAACTTATAAGACAACCGTTAAATCAACCACGTCAAGAGCAACTATAGAACCAATAACAAAGATCACAACTAGAAAGACCACTATAAAACCAACAACCAAGAAGACAACAACAAAAAAGACTACCCCAGAAGCAACCACTGTAAGGACCACAACAAAACCGAACACTAAAAAGACGACTGCCACAAAAACTACTAAGAAGCCAACCACTCCGAAGACAACAACTAAAAAGACTACCCGAAAGTCAACCACTCCGAAGGCAAGAACTGAAAAGACTACCCGAAAGCCAACAACTCAAAAGTCAACAACGACTGAAAAAACTTCCTCTAAGCCAACTTATAAGACAACCGCAAAATCAACCACGTCAAGAGGAACTATAGTACCAATAACAAAGATCACAACTAGAAAAACCACTGTAAAACCAACAACCAAGAAGACAACAACTGTAAAGACCACAACAAAGCCGATCACTAAATATACGACTTCCACAAAAACTCCTAAACAAACTCCAACCACTCCGAAAACAACAACTAAAAAGACTACCCGAAAGCCAACAACTCGAAGGTCAACAACGGCTTCAAGGGCAACAACGGAAAATACCACCACAAGTCAAGAGCCTACAACATTAGGAACAACAACCGTTCATACTTCTACTAAGGCTTTTAATCAGAGTAATACAAGCACAGTATCCACGACGAAACTAACCACTTCAGCAACGCAAAATAATCACCAACATCACCATATTCATTATCATAAGCCCGCTGATCCCGGGCAGTCGTTTCTTCCACTGCCTAATCTTCCCCCTCTTCCGCTCCCACTACCCTGGCCACCACTACCTCTTCCAGAATTTCCTTTACCATTGCCCCCTCTACCAGCCGCGTTACCGACAATACCACCATTGCCTGAAGTTAACTTAACTGCAATATCCCCACCAGAAATATCACTTCCCAATCTTCCACCCTTACCACAATTGCCAAATCCTTTTGGTTCACTTTCCACCTTTTTTTGGCGATCATTAAACACTACAAACCAATCATAACCTTAACAAATACATTTTTGAAAATGCTCACCATATAAGTATTTATAGTAGTTGAAATTTCTTCTAACTTGGCTAAGAAAAAATATGGTTATCGAAAATCAGATGATTTTCATCATTGTTGATTATAGGGTAATGCAAACTTATATTTTAAATATATGTATGTACATAGTAGGCATTTAATACGATTGAGGGATATTTTACAAACCAAAATTATAATCTATTAAATCAAAATAATTTTTAGTTTTAATCGTAAAGTAAATATTGTTAAAACTTAAAATCTTATCTTTTTTAGTAACTGTTTCGTGTCGGCCAAACCGATTTCTTTTAATTTTGTCTCCTAATAGTTTTTATTAGTATAAAACTATTTTGTGTAAATTATAAATAAAGCTATTGTATTTGACAATAACAGTGAACTACTTTACAAGAACTCGTTTAAGAGCGGTGCAGAAAGAATATAACATAATATTAGTTTTTTATATTATAAGATTATAATTATAAGAATAAGTACTACTTTTTGCGTTACACCTGTTGCACAAATAATTCAGTCAATTTGAAAAATTTTACAAAATGTAATGTAAATTATAAATAAAGCTATTGTATTTGACAATAACAGTGAACTACTTTACAAGAACTCGTTTAAGAGCGGTGCAGAAAGAATATAACATAATATTAGTTTTTTATATTATAAGATTATAATTATAAGAATAAGTACTACTTTTTGATGTTGCAGAAATAATTCAGTCAATTTGAAAAATTTTACAAAATGCCATAAGGTTTAGTAAGTAAATGTGGATATCGTCTTATCGATATTCATGAACATTTGTTCGATATATTGATACTATCGTGAGGGGTTGCGCCAGCTCTAAGCGGATGGCTCGGCCATTTCGTTTTTGTCTTCACCCCAATAAAGTTGATAGACCTACAAGTAAGAATTTTTATATAAATGTTGTGAGAAATAATAGGTTTCTAAAAGAAAAAATGTGCTTTTGCACAGCTAGTATTTTGAAAAATGCAAATAGATAATTTAAAATTAAAAAACAAAAGTGATTAAACGTATTTTCTTAAAAAAAAATTTTTCCACTGGGACACCACGTGTCTTAAAATGGCGACGAAAAGAACAGAAGGCAGCGATGGCAGAATGATGGGCTTAGTTGTCTGACTGAATAAATGAAAAACTGAAAATTTACCATGTAAATGTGAAACTAACCAAATTTTTGGTAATTTTTACCTTTTAGAATGGCGGACGCAGCTCCAGCCCGTAGTGGATTCCGTGGCGGTTTTGGCTCTCGTGGTGGTCGTGGTGGACGCGGTCGTGGCCGTGGACGCGGTGCCCGTGGACGTGGCGGCAAGGAGGACTCCAAGGAGTGGGTGCCAGTGACCAAGTTGGGACGCCTGGTGCGCGAGGGCAAGATCAAGTCTTTGGAGGAGATCTACCTGTACTCGCTTCCCATCAAAGAGTTCGAGATCATCGACTTCTTCCTGGGATCCGCGCTGAAGGATGAGGTGCTGAAGATCATGCCCGTGCAAAAGCAGACGCGTGCTGGTCAGCGTACCCGTTTCAAGGCCTTTGTGGCCATCGGCGACAACAACGGCCACATTGGTCTGGGAGTTAAGTGCAGCAAGGAAGTGGCCACCGCTATCCGTGGAGCCATCATCCTGGCCAAGCTTTCCGTGGTGCCCGTGCGCCGTGGATACTGGGGCAACAAGATCGGTAAGCCCCATACCGTGCCCTGCAAGGTCACCGGCAAGTGCGGCTCTGTATCTGTGCGTCTTATCCCCGCCCCCCGTGGTACCGGCATCGTCTCGGCCCCTGTGCCCAAGAAGCTGCTGACCATGGCTGGTATCGAGGATTGCTACACCTCGGCCCGTGGCTCCACTGGAACCCTTGGCAACTTCGCTAAGGCCACCTATGCCGCCATCGCCAAGACGTACGCTTACTTGACTCCCGATCTGTGGAAGGAGATGCCTCTGGGCTCTACCCCTTACCAAGCATACTCGGACTTCCTGTCCAAGCCCACTGCTCGCCTGCACGCCGATGCCTAAATGAACATCATTGAGGCCAAGCAATCCAGAGTTTTTGAATAAAGTCATAAACATTAAAATATAAAACTTTTGTCTTTTTTATTCTTCTGGCTATCTAAGTTTACTTTTGTCATCTTTGTGGTACATGTTCAAATGTACATTGTTTAAGTCCACCGGTAATTGATTATTAAATATGCTACGAATTGAGATTTAAAAGCAGGATCCTAAAAACCGAAAGTATAAAATTCCCCAAAAAGAAATCACAAATCGGTGTATTGCCAAAAAATATTAAAATGCGGATGTAGCGATCTGGAACTGGAATTTTGATGTCTAAGTTCTAATACAAAACACATTGTAGTCGCTTAAATTACATTTATATTTAAAAAATTACACTTATGATAGATAATCAAATGATCTACGCCTTCACTCCGTACGCCTCGGGCATACGCTCAATTGCGTACTTGTGCGCCGCTACGTACATAATTGGTACACCAGGAATCTTTCGAATACGATTCTTCAGGTCCTTATCGTTTGTGGCCACGATGTAGCACTTGTGCTGGCGCACCCGCTCCACCAGGCAGTCATCCGCGTAGGTGCCCTTGTGCAAACAGGGCAGACGCTCAAATCGAGGATCAGAGATGATGCGCAGGGCCAGCTTGTACTTGTTGCCTAGCTTCTCCAGCTCGGCTCGCACGCAGTCAGAGATATAGGGTATGCACTTCGCATACAGGCAGTCCATCATTCCCTGCACAATGTCCAGTTTGTTCTTGATGCTGAAGTTGATAAAGTTTGTGTCCAAAACGATGTGGTACGGCGGGCCCAACTGGGTGTTGTACTGGAAAAATAAGGCAGAGCTCTGCTGGGTAGCCTGATGCAACTTAATCTTCTGAGGATCCTCGACTTTCTTCCTTTTTACACGAATCTGGTCTTTGATCCGGGCATCCGTTGGCTTCATCAAGGCGTTTTAGTTGCGAATTTCGCTGTTTCTTGACCTTTTGTGTTTTCTTGTGCTTACCCTATAATACAAGAAAATTTTTAAGTTTATGAAATTCATTAAATTTTATAGTTAGTTACCATTTTTAGATGTAATGCCTTAAAAAATGTAAACAATAAAAATAAAAGAGTGGCACACGTGCGGGAACTATTTTGGTGAACAGCTGTTTTGTTATGAACAGCGATGATTATTTTAAACTATCGGTTTGTCGACTATCTTTTTTTAATATTTAAATTTGTATTGGCAAAAGATTAAAACCAAAAATACATTTAATTCAAATGAAAACTACTTCTTTTTTAGGATATGTATTATTTGTTATTAAAGATAAACAGATTGATTCGATTTAGGGTTAGTGATAGTTCTATCATTTATTACTTTTAACTCTGGTACAAGATAAATTTCTTTCAATACGGAAAAAAATTAGAATATTTATTTGTCGTTATAGTTATTAATTTAAATGTATTTAAAGTTAATGCTTTTCCGATACGATATTTCCATGGCTGCATGCAACGACATCGATAGTACGCCGCCATTTTTACATATACTTTTCCTTCCACGTGTGCTGACGGATGTGGTTCACTTTTTATCAAAAACTCGAAGGAGATGGTAAGTCCGCTGAAGATTTTAAGGTCTTTAATTAGAAGAATTTAAAGTGCGTAAAAAACGGGAAGTCTTATGCCTCAAATGATGAAACTGATGACGAGACTGAAGGGACATTTTCTCGACTTTGCGCTGTATTTTTCAGCGCTTTGTTGAATTATATTTGTTCAATTAAGATGAATCGGCAATCTGATGGCATATCACTTTAAAAGTGTATTAATTAATTCTACCTAGAGTTTGTACTTAAGATGATTTTTTTTTCTTACAGTAGAAATATTGGACTCTGAAACCTTTTGGTTGAAATTAAGCAAATGCATGCTTTGTGCATGTAAGACACCTCGGTGTAACATGTGAGGACGCCGAGACCTCCAGCCGAAATGTGGGGTCGATGAGACACCCGGGCCGTGAGACCTTTGGTTAAACTACTCATTTTAAAGGTAAGGTATAATGAAGTTTTAAGTAATTTGTGCTGTTGTGATGAATTTTTACACAGACCTGTACCGAGAGCTAGACTCGTGTGGAAAATTGTAAACTGATGCAAAAAAATTCAAAAAAATGGTTATGTGTATCTTATTAGGGTATTAACAAAGCGTTGTTTTTCTTTTCTAGCTTGAGGAGATGCTAAAATGGCCGTTTTCCTCACGTTGCCAATTCTAGGTTATGTTTGGCTCTGCTAACATCGAGCACATGGACTATAACAAGAAAGGTATTTATTTTTTTGTATGCAGTTTCATTTTTGTCTAATAAATTGTTAAACTGATGATTACCTTCAACACCTTTTGCGGTTTCCACCAGAAGGCTTCGGTCTAAGGATGGGCTAAGGCGTCTGACAAAAACATTTATTAAAACCCTGTGATCATTTTTTTATTATCTTACTAAACTAACTTTTTTTTTTTTGATTTCTAGAATCACTTGGCATTTTTTGAGGAATAAGGAATTGATGTGATCAATAATTGGAGGGTTTTGTTTTCTGTCTATCACAAAGGTAATTATATTTTACAATATTGCTTTGGTTAAGCAATTAAATGATGATTACCTTCAACACCTTTTGCGGTTTCCACCAGAAAGCTTCGGCTTAAGGATGGTCTAAGGCGTCTGATTGCTTTTCTAAAAAAATACATTTTTTCCAACCTAGTTGAATCAATTCTAAAACTTTTTTACTTTAATTTCAGAATGACGACCAGAAAACTGCTATACAAAAAAAAACTAATCTTTTGTTCCTAAAATAAATGTAAAAAGCTTTAAAAATGTATATTTTTATTAAAAATGGGTATGGAAATATATAGGGGTTTGCAGTTTTAAAAAATGTAGGAAATGCTGAAACTTCGAGTTGGCTGAAAACTTAAATAAAATTAGTTATGGCTGAAAAGTTACATACTCTTGTTCTTGGAAGTGGCATGTCCACTCTAATTTCTAAAGTAATTAGCAAAAGTAAACAAATCCAGCAGAGGTGGTAAATCAAATTTCAGAAAGTTTCTCAGCCTATAAAGTTTTATATAATTTAATGCTCATAAGGTATATTTAAATTATGTGCTATTCCGCCAAACAACGCGGACATTTTAAACTTACCATCCCTATTTAACACCCCCAACCTCCGATACCGATAACATGGAAAATGAGACGCGCCGGTTTAATCAAACCGCTGTTGCGTATAAATAACAACAAAATCCGGGATTGGAGAAAAAATTACGCTAATCAAGTTGATTCAAACTTGGCAGAGTGTTCACTGGACCCAAAGGAGTACGTGGACTTCAAGAGACAACTGAGGCAGCTAAACTTGCCCCACAAAGATGGACACACGTGCTTGCAACTGGAGTGCCGACTGTGCGAACGCAACAGGCAGCCGGCGACAAATGCCCAAAAAGGCGCCGAACAAGGCCTGTTGGCTTACGTAAACAAGAGGACGGGTGAGTTTAAGAAGTAATAACTTTAAACGTGCCTATTATGTGTTTGATTACCCCATAGGAGCCTTTATTTGCCCAAATTGCGATGTAAAAACATCCCTGGCCAACGCTTTATTATCCTACCAGTTGCCTACGCCAGATGGCTACAGGCGACCACCGCAAAGAAAACCGCTCTATGACTCCAGGTTTCCTCACCTCGTCGATGTGACTCTCGAAGCATGTGAAGCTCTAGGGGTTAAGGGCTTAAAGGAGGACCAACTAAATGTCATTGGAGCTCAGTGGGACCCGAAGCAAAAACTACTCCACTTTAGGTTACGCAATGCCGCGCAAGTGGTGGTGGGTGAAAAGGTGTTATATCTGGGCGATCGACGGGAGGAAACCTTCCAGGAAAGCTCGAGCTCCGGACTGTTAATTCATGGCGCGGCAAACAAGAACAAAGCGGTTTTAGTCAGCAATCTTCTGGATTTTATTGTCCTTGCGACACAGAATATTGATACGCGTAAGTAAAATTGTATTTCATTTTTAAAATGTCATAAATTTACAAATTGGTAAAAAAAATAGTTATACATAAGATTCATATCATAGCGTGCTCTAGGATTATTTCAAGATACGAATTATCTTAGTGGTTGAAAAGAAATTAAAAACAATTTTTTATCAGTGCAAAAGAAGTACGCTCTGATTAAATTACCTAAAATTAATGCTCTTTCTTTTATTGTTCCTCAGATTGCGTTGTCTGTCTGCCTTACGAGTTAAAGACATTGCCTCAGGAGTGTTTGCCCGGCTTAGAGCGGTTCAAGGAGCTTGTCTTTTGGTTGCACTACGATGCCAGTCATAGCTGGGATGCAGCTCGAGCATTTGCACTAAAAATGGACGAACGAAGGTGTCTTTTGATCCGACCCACCGAAACGGAACCAGCACCCCATTTGGCTCTGCGCCGACGCCTTAATCTGCGCCACATTTTGGCCAAAGCGACGCCAGTGCGGCACAAGGCCATTACCACATTTGGAGCCATGCGGAATGATATTCTTAGCGAGTTGCAGAACATCGAAAAAGTGAATGGAGTGAAATGGAAGCGTTTTCCAGTCCTGAACAAGCTCCTCAAAGGTCACCGGAGGGGAGAGTTGACTATTCTCACAGGACCCACAGGCAGTGGAAAAACCACCTTCATGAGCGAGTACTCCTTAGACCTGGCCATGCAAGGTGTAAGCACGCTGTGGGGATCTTTCGAGATACGGAATACCCGGCTGGCTGCCACTCTGCTTCGACAGTATGTTGGATATCCGTTGGACGAACGGTTGCAGGAGTTTAACCATTGGGCAGCGGAATTCGAGCGTTTGCCCCTCTACTTTATGACCTTTCACGGACAGCAGCCACTTAAGCCCGTTCTGGAAGCTATCGAGCATGCCTCCTATGTGCACGACGTGATGCACGTGATTATTGACAATCTGCAGTTCATGATGGGCGTGTCGACATATCGAGGCGATAAGTTCTGGGAGCAGGACTCTATAATAGCAGCATTTCGATCCTTTGCCACTAAGCATAATGTTCACGTGACGCTGGTTATGCATCCGCGCAAAGAGCGTCAGGAGGATGAGCTCACCACAAGCTCGGTTTTCGGAACTGCGAAGGCCACGCAAGAGGCGGACAATGTGCTGATTATCCAGGACAAAAGGCTGACTTCTGTGAGGGGTAAAAAATATCTACAGATTGCCAAAAATCGCTATTCTGGCGATCTTGGCATAATGCCATTGGAATTTGACAAGGATGGTCTAAGCTACTCCTCTCAGATCCAAAGTGGCAAACGAAAACGGGAAAAAAACCCCTTCAGAGGCTTGACTTATTAAGGCATTTGTTGTACTATAATATAATTATTCTGTTAATTATGGCTAGGTTAGGCTTAAGTGAATTCCTTGATAAACCGCATCACGTTGAGCTCTGCTTGTAGTTCTTGGTGTTCATGATTTTCTTGCCGCACATAGCGCATATTGCTTTTTTGTAGGCGCATGCTTGGCAATAATGGGCTCCCATCTGGTGTACTTTCTGACGGCAGATCCTGGAATGTTAAGACTTGGCATTTTAGATGTTTAAAATGTTTCTTGATAGATTGCGTTTACCGGCAAGGCGCCAAAGCAGTTCCGATGGGATTGTATCGTTCGCGAGCTGAGGACAAGGCCTTGTTTTCGTTGATCTTACGTCCACCAGCGGGAGCTGTACTTGTTCTCCAGGGATTGGGGGCAGAAACTTTAGACAACTTTGCCTCGCACTTCTCGCAAACCATTTTTCGTTTGTTTTCTTATCAATTTCTTATTTACGTTTACAAAAACAGTGTGACCCTAAGAAAAAAAAAATTATAATTACATATATCGATAAAAAGTGGCTCGCTATCGAGCAATAAGGTGATGTTATAAATATATTAACATTTAAGAAATCTATAATAAAATTTCTTTTTAATAACTAGCATTTTTATTTATACATTTATTTTTATATAATTTAGAAATGTTTTTTGACGATGACGATTCAAAAATTGTACTTTAAAACAATGTTTCATTTTTTTATCGGTTTCTGTTTTCGTGCGATCGCCCATCTCAATTGTAAATTATATTAAAAAAACACAAATATGACAACGGAGAAGAACGACCAACTAAGGTAAATCACAATAAATACATATTCAATGATGTTGAATTTTAATGCCCCATGGTGCGCAGGCAACAACTTATAGCGGCGGTGGTAAAGAAACGAGCGGCGATTGCGAGGGCTCATGAAATTGTGGTGCGACTTCTGGAGCCTGGAATACCAGAGCCAGAGTTTCTATCAATGGTAAAAGAACTTTACATTTTAAGCGATGTGAAGGAAATAAGTATTTTTTATATGTGCAGCTCTGGGAGATTGGTCCATCAAATTATTGTGACATTGTGGACGAGCGGGAAATAAATAAACTTTGTGGATATCCGATATGCTCCAGCGTTTTAGAAAAGTAAGTGTTCCATATCTTCTTTTAAATATCTAGGCTTTATTCAGTTTTTAAATTTTAATGCATTGCAGCATTCCCAAGCAAAAGTACACCATCTGCGCTTCTAAAAACAAGGTTTACGACTTAACAGAACGGAAGAAGTTCTGTTCCGGATACTGCTTTAAGGCCTCCGAGTACATTAAATCCCAGGTGCCCACATCGCCATTATGGCTACGAGATCGGGAGACAAAACCTAGCTTCCAGCTATTACCTCGAAATACTTGACCATCGATATAGCTCTCAAAGCGATTATTTATTTCATATAATAGGCATTAAGACCAATTCTTCATTACATTACTGGATTTTCGATGTGGGATTATAAACCCTAGGGAATATTACTTAAAGCACTAGTCGATCTGGTTTAGATCATGATAATATTGTCGCGTTCTAACGTCAATTCGGCTTCGCGCTTGGCATCCTCTTCAGACCACTCGCCGCACTTGCTAAGCACGTCAGTTTCCCGCGGTGGTTCGGTCTAAAGTTTGGCAAAAGTTTCGTGGTTTAAATCAGCGAAGAAGACACGCGTGGGGATGATACATAAGAATGTTGTACTTTATTTGGCTTTACTTTATTATGAATTTGGCTATACCTCTTTGTCGTTGGCGGCCAGTTTGGTGAACATGTTGGCATATAGCTTTTTCTCCTTATCCTTGCTCTCCTTGAGCTTCTGCTTACAGATGATAACTTGGTTGGCAGCGGCCTTGTTGCCAGGTTCCAATTGGATAACCTTAAAGATACAGTTTTACAATAACTGAAATGGAATCACGTTAAGAAGCTAACAACCTTTTGGAAATCCTCAAGAGCATCATCCAGTTCATTGATAGTCAAGTTGCATTGACCACGACGATATAGGGCCTTCACATTATTCGCGTCCAAATCCAAAACAGCGTTACACTAAATCATGTATGAACACCCTAATTAATTATTCAATATTATGTGTTGAACGCAAAAGCCTACCTCCTGCTTAGCTTCGAAGTGATCGTTGGACTTTTGGTGGCACAAAGCAATGTTGCTGTGTGTGGCCACCTTGATCTTCTTCACCTCCTCGTTGGTATCGGCAGTGTTGGGAAGAAGATTCTTACATTTTGTGTACATCTTAATGGCCAGGGCCCAGTTTTCCTTCTTAAAGTAGTTAGTGCCCTTCTCCTTGTAGACTTTGGCTTCTGCCAAGCGCTCTTCGTCGCTCAGTTTCCACTCCTCCAGTCCTTTACCACAGTCTACAAGCTTAACTGTGTACTCTACTGCTGAATTGGGTGGAATCTTGAATTCCTCATTGCCCTCTGCTCCAAACGCATATTTGGCTTGAATTTTTAGTCTATTTTGTGAAGGTTTCGTTTTAATCTTCATAGTTTCTTATGACTGAAGGGATTTACCTGGAGGTCTCGCCTATGTTCATCTTCTCTAGGGCAATCTCCACTCCCTCGATAATACCGATGGCCTTGCCTTCCCCATAGTCGAACTCCACATCACGATCCTCAAATACGCGATTTTCGAAAGTTCCAGAAATGTGAGCTGTTTTTGGGAAACCGCATAAGTTATAGTTAACCGCATAAATATGATAAGCTAACCTTTGACGAATGCACCATCGCTGGGAGTGCGTTTCTTATCGCTGGCCTCTAAGATGGTGCGGTCAATACTGCCGTCCTGATTAGGACTCAGATCCTCTCCTTTCCATCCCAGCATCTCCAGCTGAAAGGAAAAGATTTATGGATTGGCTTTGATTTACAGATATGATTTTCAAATTGTCTGAATAACAAAGTAAATATATTGATAAAAATAATTATAATGGTCAGAATTATATGCATTTTGAATTAAGTATAATTAATATTTATTTAAGATTTTAACTATGAGTAAGAATATTTTCTAAGCATACCTCAAAAATCAGAGTGGCATCTGGTGGAATGGCGGGCGGGCTGCCGGCAGCACCGTAAGCGTAATTGGGAGCACATGTGAGGAAGCACCGCTCACCGAGCTTCATGGTGGCCACCCCCATGTCGAAGGCCTTGATAACATTGCCTGGAGAGTACCACAGGTCAGAATGCTGAGTAGAAGTTTCGGGAAACCGGCAAGCACTTACCTTTGCCGAGCGGAAACTCGAAGGGTTCATTGCGGCTAACGCTGGAGTCAAACTCCGTACCGTCGACCAGGCGACCCGTGTAGTGCAGAGACACGGTGCAACCGCTGTGCGGAGTCTCCGAACCTGTTCCTTCCTTAAGGATCTCCTTAAGGACGCCGCCGTCCCCGGATAAGTCAATTTGATTTTTATTTTCTTCCGGCATTTTTTTTTAATTTCAATTCTATGAAGCTGAGTGACCAAGTAGTTGTTATTTGAGAAGTTGTCAAAAAAGAAAACAAATTTTTAGTGACAGGCTATTGCTGACGCTGGTCACACATTTTTCATCGTCTTTACTGGACTATGTTAGAAGTGAGCGTTAACTAACAGGCTTTACTTAACAGTTCTATTAAGTGTAAACGTATACTAAAGCGCTCTATGATGTAATGGCTTCTTTAAGTTTCTGGACACACAAAAAATGTTAGACGGTTAACACTAATCGAGTACACCCTCCGATCTAGTGAATTCACCCACCTAGCATAGTTAGGACGCACATCAATAAGCACCCTGTATTCACATTTTAGATTTCCGGCTATACTTGTCATCTCTTACAGGTGAATTAGATGGTTTTTAAGCATGGAAGGGACAAAGCAAGGGACTGTACAATATAGATGGAACGAAGTGTTGTCTGGCTATATGCCAGACTGAAGACTCCACTCTGAAAATATCGACTGAAAACTGGAAGTCGCCCTACTCTGAAGAAGCAACTGCCATGCGTGATCCTTCAGATAGTCGTCATAGGAAGGATAAATTTGGGATTGCAGGATTAGATTTGGGTCCCGCGACGATCCATAGGGATCGTAAGACCTATCATGATACTTCAACTTATTTAAAATGTGGTCCCTCTATTGCTCGACGAGTCAGAAGCTATTACTTTTGAAAAATAAAAAAAATATGCGCAATATATTTATAGAAAAATAGGATATTAAAATATTATATTAAAGTTCAATTCTGAATACTGCCAAGTTTAGAAAAGGTTCGTTTTATTAGATATTTAATAATATTCCATACAAATATAAGTCATAGACATTTTCTTGGTTAATTCACTTAAGCCCCAATTAATAAAATTAAAGGACGTCAGATGTTCATTTTATTTTGATGCCTGTGAACTATGCACATAGTGCCACACATGTGTAAGCTGCCCAGCGGCTTTCGAATGCATGTGCATTCTTATAACTGTGTATAGTATACATTGAATATAATCCTGTTATCGTTTTTGTTATATTTGATTATTTTGCCCTTGGCTTTTGGCTGTGCCAAGTTCCATTTTGTATTCCAGCAAGAACAACAAAATAAATTAATGCACTTAATTTTATTGGTTTCTATAATTCATGCTCGTAAGCTCGCTCGCTTGCCTGCTATAAGCTCTGCAGAGTAGAGCAATTGGGGGATTATGGCATTGGACATCAGACGATTTTTTCAAGGTCAACTGGGATGACATATAAATGATAACTGTGTATATTGTTGGTAGCTTTCTTTAAGCCAACCCGCTGTGACATTATTTCCTTTGATTTCCGCGTGTGTCTTTATAAATCGGTGCAGCTGTCGCTGTCTTCTTGCTCGCTAAAATATTAGCCAGTCATCAACCAGCGCTTTATCCGAGCTTCTAAAAGGCCAGTGTTTGTCACACTTGTCGCTCATTAGTTAGGGTTCGTCATCTTGCATGACTACACTGAAAATGAATTTTATAAAATTTGTTTTAAGTAGAAAATCATATTTTGGCAATCCTTTTGTTAATATTACTTATTTAGCTAATAAAATCCAATTTCCATTATTATCTTATCTTATACCATACGGAATAGGATTACGCATACGTTTATGGTTTTTGAAACTATTTGGTCATTGACTGGCTCCCATACAATCAAGCAGTAAATTTAAACTTAAAAAATCAAAATTCTGTGTTTTTATAATATTAAACAATACTCAGCATATATTTAATAACATGAAAATGTGTCTGAAGATCCTTAATGAAATTTTTGGTCTTAGAAAATCCAGCATGTGAGTTATGAAGTCTCTAGACATTTCCTTGACACCCTCGAATATAGCATATTAATTTTTTGTTGAGTGCCTTGTGCTGTGTCCACGTCCAGGCCCATTATTTTTTCAGGTATAGTATAGAGACATTGACCAGCCACGGCCGCCCCCACTCACGCTGCCGCCGTTGACGTCGTCGTTGGCAGAGCATTTGCTGTTGCTCGTTACTCGACTGTAAACATTCCAGGGCAGCTTTCACTCAAGTTGCCACTCTCAGGATTGAGTGACAATGACCCCGAATACACAGTTCCTTCAGTTCTCCAGGCACAACTCACTCAAAAAGATAGGAGCAAGAAAAACTCACTCGAACGTTCGGCATCCATTCGGCTGGAAGCTTCGTTTTCCGTTTCGGATCGAGCCACTGTGGATGCTGCGTGGTTCGTGGTCCATGGCCGTGTGAAAAGCTGCGTTGAGCGCATTAAGTCGTTAGGGTACAACCAGACAGGACGCACTTTCTCCGAGCTGCCGCCATTCGCCTGCCTTGGCGTGTGTGTACCGTTAGTTCAGCTGTCCTGTGCAGAGAGGGAAATTAGCGGGGAAGTCCCGACATCGAAACGAAACCCAATCATAGTCAAAGTCAAAGTCAAAGCTAACCAAATCGTATAGACTTAAAAAACTTATTGACTAGTGCGTGAAGAAACTTCCAAAAAAAAAAAACAAACAAACAAACAACAAATTACTTTATCTCCCTCTGTGGCAGCTCTCGCGCGTACAAGTGTGTGTAAGTGTCGTCTGTGCGTGTGTTTGTGCGTTTCCCCAAAACTTCAGCTCGAGTGTGTTCATCATCAACAAAATAAAATAAAATTAAATTTAATAAATAAATACCCATAAAAAAATATATACAAAACGACAACTAAAAAATTGCAGTAAATTGATAGCCAATTAAAAATGTTTGCTTAAACGAACAAAGGTAAACAGAACCAGCAAAATTGTTGCTTCCTCTTGCATCCCCATCCCGTTCGCATTGCAACTTTTCTGCTTTCCTCATTTTTCCCACAAACCAATGCACTCGCTTCGGTGCAACAGCTTAAAAGTATGCTACGATTTTCCCACTCAATATTTCGTGTAATTGTTGCGCCTGCTTCTAAGCTGCATGTCCTGCAACTGGGGAATTATTGGTTTTAGTTTTTCCAGGAGACGGGCAAATTAAAATAATTTAACGAGCATCTAGTGTGAGGTTGTCACTAAAATATTCTGGCCAAATACCATATGAAACACCACAAACTGGCTACAAATTTTAATGTTTTCCAACTTGGTTTTGTTATTTCCGAAATACATATTTTCGTTTTGCAAAAAAAAAAAAAGAAGAATATTTCGGATTCGTTTAGCTGGAAAAACAATTTCATTTGCTAGTGAAATTTTCGTTTGATTTGTGGCAAGCCACAAAGAAAATAACTGAATTTGGTGAGTGATAAAATTGTGTAAACATAAGCAAGAAGAAAACGTAAAGTTTCCCAGCGAATTACCCAATCGTCGACCGAAGTGCAGTTCAGTTTTTCGGGCTCGTATTTGGCTTATAAACTGTTGCTTCTGACAGTTATCTCCACGAATCGTAGCAATTTTCCCAGAACACAGTCGAAGGGAAATCCCCAGCGATTTCCTTCTTTCCCCTTTAGTTCCACTCGCTTGCACATTTTTTGCTTGGCTTTTTGGCTTCTTTCCTTTTTTTTTTTGTCTGTGCTTTGACTGATTGTTTTATTGGAATCGAAATCAGAGCGACTTAAGCGCACTTTTATTGCGATTTAAAACGCACATTTTTGTGGTTGATTGTTTGAAGTGGGGTCTTATGGGGGGTGGCGGCTGGCGGTTGGCGTTCGTTTGTTTTCGGATTCACTGTTGTTGCGATAATTAAAATTTAATTGTACACAACTTAAATTGCGAATCCATTGTGCCGAGATTGTTGCCAGTTTTCTCTCATACGAAATTGCAGTTTTGCGGTTTTCGATTCTGGTTTTTCCTCTTCGAACTTCCTGCTCCGATCCCCCTCTTGCCAAGTCCTTATGCAATTAACATTTGCACTATTATCAATCAGTTGGCCAAAAAGAAAAACTTTTCTTTTAGTCATTTCCACCCACATCCTTCATGTCTCCATTCTGCTCCCTTCCTTCATTCTCCTGCCTCCTTATCATTCAATTTGGCAAAAGGGAAGAAAACTTTTCTGCCAAACTAACAACTGGCAAAAGCAGCAGCCGCACCACACATATAAGGAGAAATACAAGAAAAAAAAAAAAAAAAAGGAAAAATGGAAAAAGCAACCAGAACGCGGCGTGTCTAAGTGGGCGTAAGTGGTCATGTATATGTGCGTCCATGTGTGAGTGTATACATGCGAATGTTCGTATGTGTGTCGTGCTGAGTGGCAAGTTGTGTACACACGCAGATTTTTCATCAATCATTTTGCTTGACTACGCCTAGTTCACATTTTAGGGCATGTAGTTTAAAAATTGGGCCGCAGCCCATCGATAGTTTGATGTTGTTGGTGGGTATGGGCACGGGGGGATTCGAATTCTGCGAAGCGCGTGGTGCCACATGAGATGGTGGTGGCACTCGGAAACATGAGACGAATGAGGCAGCTCGAGTGGCGCCTGAAGCGGGAAAAGGCGGCCACCCAAGGGCTTACTACTTTAAGCTTTTTAAAGGTCTCATATAAAAGAGCACAGCAAAATTCTCTTAAAACATTTTTCACTCTACATCAGTAGTGATTTTAATTAAAGATAAAAAAACTACTTTCATGTTTTTCCTAATAGTTAAGAATGACATAAAATCTTAATTAATTCGTAATTATAGATAATAGTTTCATTGTTTGATAAGTGATGAAAACGTAGATTGCTATTTTCTTAAGTGTTGAGCTTATAACTCAATTAACATAAATCAGTTAAGGAATCGAATTTATTACCTTATTTATTATACGCCCATGGCATATTAACGTAATCGCCTCTGACTCTGATTGAGTGAAGTATAAATCGAATTTATGCATTGTGTGGGGGTTTAATGTTCCACCTCAGTTAGTTGATTGCATATGCTGAAAAATGAAAATTATAGTTTATAGATATTAAATTTGGGTTATATTTGACAAGGACTCTCGACCAGTGGTTTTGCAATAGCTAAAATAGCTCTGATCTCATAATCAGGCCACTCGAATATTGCATTTTATTAGTTCTTTTTTTTGTGATTTTATGAATATTTTTGTATTTGTGCTTTATTGTGATAAATTTATATCAAATTTGCAATATCTTTTTGTGATAAATTCAAATAAACTTTGAATTTTGAACAGGCTTCAGGCGCCACTTTTGTTTCACAATAAACTTTTAGTCTCAAATTCAAAGAAAGTCATAAATTTATATGAGATCGATGTTTTCGCCCGTAAGCCTTGGTAAATAAATAAATCGATTTATGGAAATTGTGAATAAAATATAGAAATTGACCATCAGAAAGCTGTTTTACAATCTTTCAAAAAATAAATAAATTCAAAATATAAACAATCTCGTGATATTTTCTACCAAAAGCTTACAATTTTCAAAGACTAATAAAAGTTTAAAAAAATCATCTGTTCTTGAAACTAAATTCAAGTTCGCCCTGCCTGGGGATTTGTTTATGATGATTTTAGGTTGTACTGCTTTGAATTTGTTTGTCCTCTTCGAGTTGGCTTCTGCCACATTTCCCCCTTTTTTTATTTTGGCCCTCTTCGATTTAACATTTGAGGGAGACATAATAAAGAGCCGAAACGGAAAAACGTGATGAGTGTGTGTATATGTGAGTGTACCTTTATTCTAAACGCTAAAGACACAGAGACACACACATAAATGGAAAGCAAATACACACGCTTTGGCACACATACCGATGCAAATGGAGTTGTCGGAATTGCTCCACTTTGCGTGTGTATACACTTGCTAGTGTGTGGGGGTTTGTGTGCGTGTCTATCTGTCTGCCAGAATCCAAAATCCCGAATCCAACCCCCGTCATCAACCTGCACCGAAACACTTAAACCCAAACACGTTGTCTGTGTTGGTGTTTCTGTTGTTGGCTGTGTGTGTGTGTATTGGTGAGTCGTCCTGTTCGTCCTTTTTACTGGCGTCTACGCACAATATGTTTCGTCTTTAACCCAACCGAAAGCTTCGCCAGGCGAGAGCTTCAAGGAGTCCTGAGTCCTTGCTCCTTGTTTCTGGTTTCTTGTAGAAGTTTTAATGTGATTCCTTCGTATTAATTTCGACATCGTCATCGTTGCTTCTGCTGCTGCTGCTGCCGCGCTCTGCCTGCTGTCCTTTGCCCTCCCCTCTCTCCTTTACCACTCTCTGTCATTTTCTATTTTTCTCCTTACGCACTTTTTTATTGCTCGTCCGTCGTTTGCCTTCGTTTCTATTTTATTTTAACAACATCTTCGTCGCCAGCATGGAATTCTGTCGAGCTCGGCGCTTTTCCTCAGCACTAACTTAACCGTTACCCATCCCGCTCTGCCCTCTCGCCCTCTCTCACTTTCTCCACCGCCCCGTTCTCTCTTTCGCTTCCCCTCCTCTTGCCCCTGTACATGTGTGAGTAAAGTTTCCTTTTTTTTTGTTTTTTGCTCACACTTTTATGTTCATCATACGAAAGCGCGACTTTGTTGCACTAAACGTAAGTTGGCAGATTTACAACTTTTTGGTTTAACACATGGAACGGATGATGAGGGAAGTGGGGTAGGCTGTTGGATAGACAGTTGGGGGTGAAGGCCATACCCAATATCTCACAGGAATCGCAAAAAAAACACTATATACCAAGCCATGAGGGAATGCATAAAGTATAAACCTCATCACAGAGCGGACTGAGGTAACCTTGCTTCGGTAAACTTATCCTAAAAAGAAAAGTTATTATGCATAAAATTCAGAATAAGCTACGCATTTTTTCTTTCACTTTTTAGTAGCTCAAAATGCAAGGCAACAGCAATTATCAAAAGTCGGGAACTCTCTTTGGGGTCAGCGAATAGTTTACGATGGGTAATCGTAGAAATACCCAAAGGTGTAAAGTTTAAATTGTTGGTATACCTTTACGGAGAAGCTGCCGAACAATATGAACAACTTTCAGGCCGGTAATTGCATTTTCTACGAATGCAGCTGCTGAAAATTCTCAAGTTACTTATTAAGTTATATGAAGCTTGTGAATGCGTAGTTGGAGTTGAATTACTCAAGCTTAAGTAGATAGAAGGCTACAAAAATGTACAGAATTAATTCACAATATTTTCACAGACCGACTGAGAAACTTTTAAAACTCATTAACCGTGTAGCAGAACGAATTTTCAATTCTACTTCCTATAATATTAATGTGAAAATGTATGATGATTGAAGTTTGTCAGGATTAACAAACAGCTAATGGGCCAAAACTTATTTAAGCTTATTCCTTTGCGTTCAAATACAGTTAAAATACCAAAAATTTTTCATTTTGTTAAACTTTATAAAAGCTTTTATCTGGTTAAAATTATTTTAAATTTTAAATAAATGTTTCAAACCAAAAATTTTACATTTTTTTGTGCATATAAAAGTGTAACTTAAATAATTAAGTTCCATTAAAACTTTTATCTAAATGTCAACTAAAATTAAGCTCTACAATTTTAAAGGCAATTATTTTAATCCAAAGTTTAGATCTCGTTGTCCAAGTTTCAATTGGCAAACAAAAGGGGGAGGGAAAGTTTTTTAATTGCTCATTACGCCTGAATCAGGTTGCTGCACTTGCCGCAGTGGAAAAGCCGCAGATTTTCATCATACGTACATCAAAAGCATTTCTAATCAGCAGGCAGTCGGCAACAAAAACAACAAACAGTAACAATGGCAGTGAGGGAAAGCGCAAACAAGTTGCAAGTTTACTTTTGCCTCTATCCTGGCATTCCGCTTTTGCTTCTCTTATTTTTTTTTTGCCAGCTATTGTTACGTTTGCGTATGTACTAGTGCGTACACAGAAGAAAATAATTGCTTTCAATATAATATTGTAATAACCTCTTATTAACCCAAAATTAGTTGCCTAAAAATTGGTTGTAACAGCCAGCTTAGTTTTGGTACGTTCCTTTTCAATCATTCAAAAATATCACAATTTTTTCCTGTTTACTTGTGTGTATGTGTGCGTGGGAATTGGAGCACGTAGCAACAAAAAAAAGCAAGCAGAGAGACACCGCACAGAAATAGAAATCATTTCAAATCATGCCGCACTCATAAAACACTTAAAGGACAATTTTGCTGTCATACAGCAAAAAAAAAAGAAAAGGGGAAAAAGCTGCTCTTGTTGGTGCTTTTCCTTGGCAGCCTGGGGTTAATTAAATAAATTCCTAAGCCACTTTTGACCGAGCAGAAGCTTCATAAATTTTTGAACAAATACTGCCAAAAAAAAAAAAAGAAGAAGAAGAAGAAGGAAAACGAATTGGTTATACATAAATATTGGTGTGTGCGTGTGTATGTAGGGGTTTTCAGCAAGCTTTCACCCGCAAGACAACAACAAAGGGCTTGCAACAATTGGCAGGACTCCGTTTGGCGTGCTCTTCCAAGTGTAAACATAAGTTGAGTTGGTCGAGTCCTTTTCTAATTCGACTCTCTCTTTCTCTTGCTCTTTGGCTCAAAATGAGTTTCGGTGAAACTCACTCAAAACGTTCCATCAATGAGTCCTACGCCACTGATAACAGCCATACACACGCACACAGCAGACAAGCGACACACGGATAGAGCTGTTTAAAAAGATGTCCTAGTACACCAAAAAAAAAAAAAAGAAATAGAAAAATACACCGATTCCTAAGAGTAACAGCGCGGAAAACGTTTGATAACGCCGCGCGCACAAAAGTATGCTACACAAAAGCAAGTTCGCTCTCTCTAACTCCCTCTTCCTTTTCGCTCACTCCCCCCGTCTGTGTGAACATCCTGTGTGGCTGTATGGCTGTGTATGGGTGGTAGTAAATAAGCAAAAGGCAAAGACGGAAATAAAAAGGGCAGCAAGTGGACAAGACAATGAAATTGTCATAAATAACAACGTTGTCTACCAACAACAGGCAAAAAAGCACCAACAACAGGGACAGAATAACCAACAACAAAGGCCCAACTAGCTGAGTGACTGGGATTTTTTTTTGGTTGTCGTTCTCTGTCCTTCTTTTTTTTTTTGGTGTCTCTTGGTCAGTGGCTCAACTCTTTTTATCATTTTTAGCAGTCCCCCGTCCCCAGGGTATTATTCGGGTAGATTAACTTGATGGAACTGGACGAGAACGATTCGGGGCTCTGAGGTGTATTTTATGAGAGAAACCAAGAGAAGTGACGATGGAGAAAGGAAGAACGGTTAACAGGGATTAGGGGTCGTTTTGGTCAGTTAGTAAAAAAGATTAAAAATCCAACTGGAGTTGATATTTGTTTCTAGAGCTTGTAGTTTAAATTTTGATAAAAAAAACTCTTTTTATTTTTATATCAGATATGTAAATAATTGGGAAAAAGACCTTCACTCATTCTGTATTATTTTTCCTTCAAAACTTATGCCAGTTCTTTCAATTTATCTACAAATATAATCTAAAAATTGAATTCAGTTTGAAACTTTTCTTCTAGATTTTATATTTACAACAAATAAACCGCTTAAGATTGAAATCTTCAGAGCTTAAAAGCTTTAAATTTCAATATTCAAAAGTAAATAACTATTAAAAAGAACATTAGAAACTATTTCCCTAAAACTTAGGCTTACTTTAAGTTCAATATAGCTTAAACTCACTGGTATGTTTTTGTTTCTGGGAATCTAAAGTTATCTAATTTCCTGGCTATCGATAACTGATTGATTTATGGGAAAAGTAAAAAAGAAAACAAACTTTTGCTTACGAACTCACTCGAGGGACTCTCATCATTCGAGTAGCTTCAGTTGGAACTCTTCTGTATATTCGTTCGTCCTTCTTAACTGCTCTTTGCCCCATCTACACTCCACTCCTTTCATTTCTTTTCTTTTCATTTTCTTTTTTTTATTTTTTTTTTAGTTGGCCCTGTGTTCTCATAACGGATATTCGAAATGGCTGCTGCGGCGGCTTTAAGTGACTTTTGTCAAACTTTGTGCGCTCCGGCTATCCAAACACTAGTACTTATAGTTATCGAAGGGGTCCAGAAGGGGTCCAGAAGAAAAGTAGGAGGTTAGGGTCTGGGGCCAGGAAGATACTCACATTAAACTAATGTTTAGTTGGCAGTCGCAACAGTTTTGCGAGTGTTGCGACCCTCGAAACTTTGACCGTAAATTGTGGCACGTGATGGGCGTTTGCAATGGGGAATGGTATGATGTCGAATATATATGGCAATGGTGGGGAATATCATCAGGAAGTGCCGCGCTATGATTGTCCAGGAGGGCGTGACCGGGGCAATTGTTATTTCTTATTTCGCCAAACTCTCTGAAACGAATTGAATTTTTATGGCCTGTGACAGTTTGAAATAGCGCCATCTAGTTCTTAAAAATGGGAAAAATACATATTTATTTGCCGGACATTTAGAAACGAAATTCTTCACTCTGTTCATGCAACAGGCAATCGATGAGATACAAATGTCTGCGAAATAAAGAGAAGCAAGCTCTTATTAAGCTGATTGCCTGCCGAATTCCGATTAGGCTGTGCTTTGTGTTTGGGAATTTGGGGGAAAATCAATCAAAACGCTGGGCCCTCAAGATCGAGAGGGCCAAGTGGAAAATCGGCAGATTGATTGACTCGCAGTAAATGAAACGATAATGCACATACCCCTCATAGTTAATATCAATAAACATTTTAGCTACGTAAATATTCACATCACTTTCTCTCTCTGTCTCTCTTTCTCTTTCTGTTTCCTATCTCCCTCTGACCTGCCATACAGATAAAAATCCAATTTAAATAAAAGTTTTTTCTTTACACTCACCACATAAAGGCAATATGCAAATATTAAACAAAAACCAAAAACAAAAAAAAAACAACTCAGAAAATGTTAAATAAAAATTAAATGAATGCAAATTAAAAAGCACGAGGGAAAGCCAAAACAAATAACAACAGCAACAATGTGTTCATAACTATTAAAAACGGAAATTAAAAAATTATAAATAAAAACAAAGGTTTAAAGTAAAGCATTAATCGTTAAATTGAAACCAAACTCATCTGAATCTACTACTCTCGCATCCATGTTTCTGCATAAGTATCTGCATCTGCACCCGTATCTGCATCTCTATACGCATCTGTATCTGTATCTATATCTATATCCTTGCATCTGCTGAGCGAATGATACGATGCAGCATCAAACATGCCAGCTAAATTCCAATCGAAAATCCAGAATCAATACATCAATCAGTCCAGCAAGCAACCAATCAAGCAATTCTCTCATCAATTTGCAACTGCCATCAACTCATCAAGACTAAAAAAAACTGCAACCAGTACTGCAACAACAATTCCAAATTAAATGCCAGAAATTAAATGCATCCAAATAAAGTAAAATAAACTTCAACAATTGTAAACAATAAACCTAAAAAACGCAAAAACAACAAAAACAAAAATAACTTAACACCACTCGAAGGCGAACAAAAAGAGAGCAAAATTCAATTTTCATATTAATTATGGAACATTCATCAACAATTTTGTTGTGTTTGTTCCATTGCAAAAACAAAAAGGTCGCCGATTGTTTGCAGCTGCAGCAAATACAACGACAACAACAACAACAACAACAACAATTGGTAGAAGCAACAACAACAAGAAAATCATCAAGAAGACCAACAACATTCGTAGCAGCAACATCAGCAATCCAACAGCAACTTCTTGGACAGCAGAAACTCTCAACTTCATTTCGACAAAATTGCTGGGTAAGTGGAATTGGGGAAACGAAACGGAACGGAATGGAACGGTCAACAAATTCTGTGAATTAGCAAATGCAGAAATAAAATTTCCTCACAATTTCCATGGCAGACTTAGCTAAGTTAACTCGCAGATATGTGACATGTTCGTATATGGTGTATGAAAAGAAAAACTGGGAAATTGCTGCAGTTGAAACTGATTCAAAGTCAGTTGGGTATACTCTGGCTTAAAAAACATTTTCATGCTGAAAAAAAGGACGAAGTATAAATGACAGGATACAACGAAGAGCCAAAGTATAAGCACTAGGTAGAGGCTTTTAGAAGAGGTAGTAAAAAAAACTGAGTTAAAAGAGAGGTATAAATGGGAAGTAAACTCCAATTAAAAGCACTTACTTAAACAAGATACGAAATTGGATAGATGAATAACAAGTTGAAAGTGTAAAATCTTTGGAGAACACAAATTATTTAATGTTTATGAATTGTTTTTTAAGAGAAAAAACAGCTTATATAGCTTCTTAACTTTGATTTCTCTTTAAAAACAAAGAAAGTAAAAGGTAAAGAATTTTTCTTATTTTATTCTTGAAGGAAAAATGTAAGTATTATCCTTGCAAGAAAATTTTTTGTCAACCAACTGTGGCTGATTGTTAATATGCCCAAATGAGAGATTCGTTAGGGCAGCGGAAAAACTTGCAACTTGTCAGAGTGACGCCTCGGCCAGCCAGCAATCAAATAGTGTCGAGCTCAGCGTTGTCGGGACTGGGTGAAAAAAAAGAAGTAAACTAGCTGGAAATTTAAAATGGCATCAAGGCAGCAACAGAGGAAGCAGCAATGGAGTCAGTGGCAGTGGCATCATGAAAAACTGCAAATCGTCGCCAACGCAATTGGAGTCGACTGTCTGTCCTCCAATTTTCTCCTCCTCTGGGCCTGATGCCTGCCTGACCATTCGTCGTTGTTGGTTGTTGTTATGAATTTCATATTACACACGAAAATCCAATAAAAATCACCGAAAGCAATTTCCCAAACCAGCGAAAAGTAGAGTTACGGTAGAGCGGGGCTATGAAGACGTTTTTGGGCAAATTCCTTGCCATCAGCTGCATTTTGAATGGTGCTTTTTACCCGTTTTGTGAAATTTTTGCACCCACACACGATGCTGACCAAAAAATGTTTGTTACTTACTTCGTTTTTTCATGTCAACAACTTTTTTTTAACGGATGCGGAACACGATGCATTTTTTAGCCTTGTTTTTTTTTTTTATTGCTTTAACCCTGTTCCTGTCGTAGTGCAGTGCGAAAAGTTGCTTAATTTGATTTTAATTCACGGAGGGAACACTGAAATTGGCAGCACTAAAAAAAGGAGAGTAGATGAAACAAATTTGAGTTGAGGTAGGAATTACGAATTGTAATTTGCTGGCTCAGCATTAATTAAAAATTCAACGAGTTTTTTCTTTAATTTGCTAGGACAATTTCCGTATATTAGGACAATCAAAATTGAATCAGGCTGTTAATTCGTTGACTTTAAGTTGGCTTGGCATGTGACATTTTGGCTGAAATGTCCATTTCTCCAGTTGTCAGGAGCTTGTAATAGTTTTCCATAGACTACCCTGTCTCGTTGGCCCTCCTCATTTGTTTGATGTATTTTCCGCTTTTAGCCCTGTGCTCTGGATATCTCTGGGATGGCTCCTTTGAATTCCAGTTGGTTTATTTCATTGCAGCCAAACTGTCGTATGCAAATCTGCTTTGCTGATTAAACCTAAATAATGTTGCCTCAGTTACGGAGCCTTTCCTTTGGCTGTGGCTCCTTTTCCCCAATGTCTCTCTGTATAGCCTGGTTCCCTTGGCTTCCTTGAGTCTCCATTTCCAAGTCCCCATCTTCCAACTCCCATCTCCCATCTCCCACATTGTCTTGTCTGTCGCTTTGAAAGATGGTTAGTACTCTCTTTGTAACTGCACTAAAAGTTTAACAAGTTTGCATTGGACTTGGGCAGATGAGACTTGGCAATAAGATCAGGAATTTATTTTAGCACTCTGGGCTTTATCTTAGCTTTATTTACAATTCGATAGAAGTGCGGATTTGTTCGCAGAATTATTGTTTATTAAATTTCTCTCAATAAGTTCAGCTTTTCTAGGGCATTCGTCCTTCGTTTCCTGGAAAATTGAAGTTGCCCTTATCTTCCGTTGGCTTTTCCCTGCTGTTGCTTATTTTTTCACTCGTTTTTCTTCCTGCTAAATCTGAGACAATTTCCAACTTATAAGAGGCCGCCTCCATTTGTATAATAACACAGGGCCCTGCATCCTGCAGCAACAGCTTCCGCTTGCCGTGTCCTGGCCACTTGTTGTTGCTCGCCCTCACAGATGCAGAATTACACCAACACACACACACACACACATACACACATTTACAATCCACCCACACCGAGGGCAGCCTGATTTTTTGTTTTGCATTGCAGGATGCCTTTGGTGTATTTCCTTTTGGCCTGTCTGCTGCACGAAGTACAACATTTCCAATTTAATTTCTGTCTCAGTGGCCCCTCGGCTCCCCTTATCCGTATCCCATATCCTGGCTGGCTTGGCTCGGTTGGGTTTTCCTGGCCGTGGCCATTGTCTTTGCCTTTGTTTGCTGTGCCATTTCCTTTTTGCGCCATGAAATTAACTTCCATTCCCCCTCGCCCCGCTTATTTTCTCGATTTCTTCTCTCTCTTTACTGCCTGCAATAGATTATAGTTGAATATTTTTGGTCGCCATTTTAATTAAACTGCGCCAATGGCTGCGAAATTGTTTATAATGTCAGCTGCACATCATCCTCATCATCGTCGCCATCATCCACATCCGCCTCTCCATTCTGCTCTGCCTCATAATCGTTGTCATCCTCATCCGTTCACCATCGCCATCGCCATCACCATCAACATCACCATCGCGATGCATCGGCAGCATTGGCAGCCTCATTACCGATGCGATGTCTGACCCAGTTGGGGGGCAACAGGCGGCTGTGGATGAGTTCGTGGTTGTATTTTCGGTTACAAAGGTCACGAATCGTGCGGCATTTAGCCCAAGCTTATAAATTATATATTTTTTTTGTAAAAATAATAGGCAAGGCTTAAAAAAGATTGAAATAAAATGTTTGGAAGATATTTCTTTTTTCTATGAAATTTGATTTATAACATTGTTCTTTCTCATTCTAATGATATTCAAAATATCATTTCGTCAAAGTCTTAATAAAGCTAACTAAATCCCAATATAGTTTATGCCTCGTGACTACTCACGAGGTCGTTTCTCAGCACCGAAACAACAAATAAGCTTCTTTCCGTTCGGCAGTTCTCTTTTCAGTGAATTTTTGCATTTCCCTTGTTGGCTGCGCGCTGGTGCTGGTGCTGGTGATGTTGTTGTTGTAATTACATAGCACTTGTTGTTTTGGCTTTGTGCTAACAAAAGCCTTGACTCCACCAACCACTTCAGCAAAATGCGCTCTCAAAAGGGAGAAGAGGCGCCAATAACCTCACTCGAAAGCCAGCGCCGCAAAGTATGCAGCAGTATTTTGTCGAAATGACTTTTGACGTTCGCTCAATGGCAATATTTGCAGCGTCCATACGAGTGCTTCTGGCTTCTGATGTATGTGTGTATGTGTGTATGTATAAGGAAGTGTGTGTTTGGGTGTGTATGTTTATCGCCATGTTAGCAGCTGAATGAATGAATGAATGCAGGGCAAAGGCCAAAAGCGAACAGAGGCGCCTGAGTGCGTCTGTCATTCTGTCAGCTTGTCAGTCAGCTTTCTAATATCGAAAACACTCTAAATTCTATGCTGAAAGCTCATTTTACATGCAGTTTTACTTTGATTGGCTTTCGAATCGCACTTAGCCGCTTGATTAGCTAGCTCAACGAACATTACGCAGTCATTCGAAGTTTGAGTTTCAGCACCGAGCAAAATATCAACGAAATTGCTTTCAAAGGGAAAACATTTAAACTATTTTTCTTTAAAGAAGTCCAAAATGTATAAAATTTTGTAATCTTAGTATATTATTTTTTGTATCAGCTCGAAAGTACCTTATTCCATGGTTTATGAATGTTATTAATGGGTATCTGAAGTTTCAATTCGCTGGATAACGTTGATAGAAAAAATCCTGCTCCATGGAAAGGATATAGGTGAATTTTTAACGTGTGTATTAAGGCTTACATTGTTTAAATCCCTGGCAACTAAGCCGCTAAGTGGATTCCCTTGAGCATAATTTGCAGCGGGGCTAAGGCAAATTTGTGCAGCAATCTCCTGGCAGGCAGAATGTGTGTGTATGTGGCCACCAAAGGGTTCAATTATGAACCGACGACCGCAAAAAGTTGAAACCTCAAAGCGGATATAGTGAGGCACTTGTGGCACACATCGGGGGCAGCAGGTAATTTGAGGCCTTGTGGGGTGTGCGCTAAAAAATGCAGCCACCAGATGTGCAAAGCTCAGTCCTCAAGGGAGCCGCAGCCCAAGCCACATTCTTTTTTTTTTCCTTTTGTCCCGATTTTTGTCGCGCCTATGCGGTTGCAATTTTATCGGTAAATATGAGGAGGAGGACTTTGAGAAGGGATAGTTAGACGATGAGGTCAAATACGATGAGTGGGGTGGGGTGGAGGACTCTTACTCTTTCAATTTCAAGGCTCATTGTGTACGACGGCTGCCTCTCATCATTGGCGAAGCATTAAATTGACTTTGAAACTTTTTACCTGCCAGCTTTGTGCCAAAAAAGCCCGCAGAAACCAACAACAAATTGGAGCGAACTGAAACTAAACTTGAAATTAATTAACCGCGACAAGGGCGAGAGGTGCTTTTTACCCCAACCATTTATTCAACCCTGGGGTTTCTCTTTCCTCTTCTCCAACACAACATAACTCATAAAACCTCTAATTAGACAAACAGCTGACGCAGCCATAGACAAAGATATAGAAAGTAAACGGGGCGGGGCGGTTGGCAAAATGAAACACTTCCCTTTTTAAGGGGGAAGGGTAAAGTGGGTGCACCTCTTTCTTGACTTCACCGCTCGGGAATCAAATAAGTTGAATATTTTAATTTTCCATCATAATTAATGCCCTTTCAACCTTCCAACCCCACGGACTTAGTTTATCCCAGATGATGCGGTTGCTAGTCCTTCCCTTCCTGCTCTCACGCACACCATTCCTCTGTTCCCTGCTTCTTCACCCTCTGTGGCCATCGAGCACGTGTAAATTATTGTGGCTTTCTACGACACTGATGGCCGGCGCCTGAAAGCATGCTGCGATATTTGCACCCAGCAGTCGAGGACAAAATGGTTGTTCCGTGTTCGTGGTGCAGCATGTGGCAGGTGGATGAAAAGGACTTTCGGCTGTGTAAAGTAAATTTGTCGATTTTCCATTTCTCTTTAGCTCTCTTTAGAACTTTTTTGAATATGTCACCTTTAGGATTTAATGAAGATTTTTTTAGATAAAACGATGCTCAGGATAGAAAATATCTTTAAAATCAACTAAAAGGTATCTTTTAGTGCAGTAAATCTCTGTGCTTGTTGCCATTAATGTTTCGTTGTTTTGTGGCAGCAGCAACATAGCAGCTCATGCCACACGCAGCCTCGATGCCGCCATCGCCGCATGTATTTCAATTACTGCATTTCTCGGCCCAATGCCCAGCCACGCCCGCCGTCGCCACGCCCTTCGATTCCCCCACCTCGCTCTTTCTCGCGAAAGCCAGTAGCCACTGTTTTAATTTGCGCTTCGCCTGCTTTTGTTATTTTTCTGCTTCGGTTTTCCCTTCTTGTTTTTGTTCGAGTCGCGTTTTTACGCAAATTCATTGTTTTAATTTACTCAAGTTTGTTGACCGAAAACAAAAACTAATCAATGACTGGGCTCGCAATGGGTGGTTTCGGTGGTTTTGGCTGTTGTTATCGACGGCCTCCGAGGTGACAGAGCAGCTGCACCTCGTCTCACACTGGAATTGGGTTAGAAAAACTCCTAATGGATCTAACTATATATATTTTTAATGAAACATTAACTCAGCTAAACTTTTTGTTGTCATTTTTTTCCGTGTTTCTGTTTTCTGTTTTTTGTTTTTGGTGTTCATTCTGTTTTTCAGGTATTTGTCTTTGCGGTCTTTTGCCTTTGCGGTAAGCAGCAAGTTCGCTTCGCTAAGTTGTGGCAAGGGATTTAATATCAAAGGACTAAACTGCGCCAGGGCTGTGTGTATAGGGAAACCTCACAAGCGGGGAAGATTACGACTAAGGGAATTAAAGCAAATCGCGTTAAATGAGAAACGGGGGATATCGTAATCTATTTAAAAGAGGACTAAGTACTTGGCTAGAATAGGGGAAAGAGGTTTTGGTTTAGAAGGAACTCAAAATGTGGTTGATTTATAAAGATTGGGAGGTAGAAGTTTTAATGAAATATTAAGAAAAAGAACTAGATTTTTATAAAAAAAAACTTTTTCTAACATACAAAATATAACCTTTCGCCCGCAGTTAACATCTTACAACTGAACGAAAACAACGATACTAAACTGTACTAAGAAGGATAAGGATAACCATCACCAGAAAATCAACCAGAACAACAACAACAACAAGAACAACAACAACAACAACAACAACAACTGCTACCTAAGGTTTCTCAAACTCTAAAAAGAAAACAAATAACTCAAAAACGAAAATAAAAACCATATAAGCAAACCAGCAAAAAGTGCAAATTATGTAAATTATAGCAAAGGCGAAACGCAAAGGGGAAACCATAAAGCAAACGAAAGAGAATTAGTCAAATAGAAGCGGCGGAAAAGCGAAAAGAAAAAAATATATAAAAGAAAATTCTGAAAAAATATCTGTGACCAGGCGAAAACCGGAAATTAAATCTGCAGAGCTGAACCAAAGTGGAAGAGGAAGAGGAAGCTGTGCCACAACCACAACCGCAGCAAAATCGCAGAAGCGAGTAGACGGAAAACGCGTGCCAAATATTTGCTCCAAAAAAACCAGAAATAAAATAATAATCAAAGTCTCTGCTAGAAAGCGAGGAGGAATCGAGAGATTTCAGTTCCAGTGGAGATAGTTTAAGCGCCTCATAAAGGTTGCAATGCCAAACTGACTACGGAGTCGGACTTCCATTGTTGAACTCTGACCCACACGGGCGCATTGTCTCGGGCCTTTTGTGCTAATCATCATCGCTAGTTGGCAGCTCCCAGGACCAGTAGCCCTGGCCAACTATTTAGCCAAGGTGACGAGGCAAGGATTGCCAGGCACTTTGCAGCTCAACCACACCGACACCCAATCTGAAAGGAGAAGTCGTCGCCGAAGTAGGAGTAGTAGCAGAAGGAGGCAGCAGCAGCAGCAGCAGCAGAAGGCGCGGGGCAACCATTCAAGCCAAGAGCCACGCGATACAAACAAGCCAAGGACATGGACTCCCCGCTGCCAGCGTCGCTGTCGCTGTTTGTCCTGTTGATCTTTCTGGCGATAATTAAAGGTGAGTGCTCCACGACAACTATTCACCCCAAGCTATACTCCTTTTTGAATTCTGTTCTTGGTCCTGGTTCTGTTCTCCTTTTGTTTGTCTTCCAGCAACGTTTACCTTGGCCAACAACTTTCCCTTTTTGGCCCGGGGTTTGCTTAGGTGGGCACTAATTAAATAATTGTAAATATTAAAGTATGCGGTTAAACTTGGTTCGGGTTTAAGGGGGAAAAGTGGTCTTATGAAAAAGCAAACCCTTGCAGTTTTTATGACCCTTGAAAAAGGTTGAAGAAAACATTTTTCACTGCCTTTCATTGCCATTTTTTTGGGGGTTCTAGAAAATTAAACATAAAATATTCAGACATTAAAGGCAAACTTTATTTATTAATTAATTTAAATATTAAACCATTGGGACATCATTTTTAATGCCTCCCAATTTTCCAACAAAGTTTAAAAGAGACTCTTAAAATTCCATATTTTCAAAGGTCAAATATTATCTGTGGACTTACAAACTTATTACTCCATTGATACTGTTGACTTTGTTGACGTTGTTGAACGTCTCACCTTACCACAGACTAACATTTGCGTTAACAAGTGCTTGAGATTTTTCCGCTTTTCGCTGAGTGCGGCGAAACTCGAACAAATCCCACTCATGTCGCACTATCAATTTCAAATGCGAAATCTCCTCGACTCGCTCGACCCCTTCCATCGTGCATAAATCTTGCGGCAAGGTGACACCGCCTGGCCTTGCCAGCTGAATAGGAGGGCAGGGCATGCAACCACCCAACCGCCCATCCGACACATTATTCAATTCCGCATCCGATTTTTCAATTTCCTTGCGAGCGTTTTCACGGCGCTTTAAGCAGGCCAAGAAATGCCAGCGGAATGTAAAAGTAAAAGCCAAGCTCCCTACCTCCTACCCATTCACAAAAAAACACTCAACTACAGCCATGGCTATATCTTTTATATAGGATGGTATAGGATGTTGTGCTCTCTGTGTGCGTGTGTGTATGTGTGTGTACATGCGGGATATTCCCAGGCAGTGGACCATAAATTCACATGGAGATCGCCCTGAGCCAAACTTGGCCATATTTTTAGTTTTCACTGCTCGCTGAGCTCCACAATTGCCAGAAAAGTGGGAAAAAGTTGGAAAAACAAAGAGGCAGACGTGGCGGGTTGTGTGGGTGGTTAGAGGTGGTCTTGGGGGCAGTGCAGCAAGGAGACAAATATTCAAGTAGAAAAAATAGAATTGTCATGCGGAGGAGCCCCCAGGAGGCCGCACTTCAAATCCACATTCTTTTCCCCGGAGTCAGTCGAGCACTCGCCGGAAAATACACACCAAAAGAATGGAGGACAGGGAAAACAAAGCCCCACCCCACCACTCACTTTCTCCAAACGTTATACACAATATCTGTCTTTTTTAAGTTGCATCGAGAGTTGAGAAAGTCTGTCTGTTTTTTTTTTTTGGTCGTTGCTCCAGTCCGATGAAGTCTCATGTGCCCTCCCCTTTTGACAAAAATAACAACGTGCGGCACGGGTCGGCGCGATTCAACTCAATTCTCGTTGTTTGCTTCAAGTGTTTCCACTGCGACAGAGTTCTGAATGCACAAAATTAAGTTCACATCCAGCTCAGAAACAGTCGACACTAAAAACACAGGATTATTATTTGGTTGAGTTTTCGGTACTGAGCGAGAAATCAATAAAATTATATTTAATATTATATTAATGAGTAATTTATTCCTAGAAATACCTAATAGTCACTTTCCTACAAGTCTTGATGATTAAAGGCAAGCTTAAAATAAAGATCATTAGCAAAATCGCCTTCGCCATTTTAATTGGAGACACTTAACACTTGAGTAGCTTTTAGTTTGGTGAAGATAACAAGAACTTTCCACTTCTCTGAGCTCATTTTAAGCTCATAAAGTATATGCAAAATAATTCAAATTAATTTGTTAATGTAAAGACAACTTAATAGAAAACCTTTTGTTGAGAATTTAACAATCAATTTGAGCTTGATTGCTTCCTGATGCAGGCCAATGGAAATGCAAGACAGAGCTCCGGCAACCTCTTCCATTTGCCGCCACTGACAGTGGGATCCTTTTGAGGGGCCATTGTCTTCTTGTCGCTGAAAAGTTATTACTTAAGCATCGCTTGGGGAGTTGACGGGCGAAAATCTTTGACTTTGTCCCGAGCCGTCGTTGTGCGATGTCAATGTTCTTTATTTGGCCACCAACCAACCAACCCACACTACCCACATTCCCAATTCGTTTGAGATGCTCCGACAGAGACTAATGAAGACGGCAGTTTTCAGTTCGCAGTTCGGCGGGGATTGCGACTTGAGATTGTTTGGCCAAAGACAAATATTTTCAATAAACTGATATCGGAGTGTGCACTGATTGGAAAATCAGGAGTTGGAAATTGCGTAGCGACGAGCGGGACAGAAATACGCAATTTTTCAGCATTCAACATTCAGCCTTATTGCTTTTGTTGCCACCGCTTGGCAGTTGGCAAACGCATAAATTGTGCGGAAATTCGAGTCTGGGCTGCACCACCACCAGCACCTTGACACTGTCAGACCGTCCTGACTACATTCGTATATATATGGCTGGTCATATATTTTATTTTAAGACTTTTTACGCATTTTCGTACATTTAAATGAAATAAATTTCTATTGGATTTGCTTGCCAAAGCTTGGATGGGCATTTTCAGCTTTAATTTGCTTTTGTTTTGCAGCTTTGTCCTATTTTACTTCCTCTGAATATCCGATGCCGAAGGGAGCAAGTCTTGGGATTATTCGACCACAATGTATTTGTTAATATCCTTGTTAATATCCTGAGAACTGGCTCTGAAGTTCTGGCAATGAAGAAACTTCTTCCGTCTTTCATTGGCATGTTTCTGGTTGGATTCTAAGCCAACTTTCAAACTTGCCACCGCCTGTTCTCTCCAGCCAGGTAAACCGGATATTTCAGACTCGGAACCAGACTCCTGGCTCTGTGACTCTGATTCTGAGCCAGAATCTGACTGTGACTTTGGCTTTGGTTAGGACTTCCGGCTTCAGTTGTTCTCTACCTCACCGCAATCAGGACGAAACTTTCAAGGTTGCCGTCGCGTAATCGTATCTGTAGCTGAAACTGTATCTGAATTTGAAACTGTATCTGTATCTGTTTCTGTGGACCAGGACAAAGGCGAATCAAGTTGCAGTGCAAGGAAAACAAGTTTCAGTTACGGGTTCTGCACTTCCGTGGCGCCATCAACGGACTAACCTTGCTCCGCTTATGGCTTCCTTTTGCTGAGATAGAGGTGGACTCTAATATTGGCAATGAGTTTTTGATATATTGGTTTTATTTTCGTATTCCAAAGATGTCGAAAACTTCTTATTTAGTGGATTATATCTGTAAAACTGCCAAGGATTTTTAAAAATATTTTTTTTTTTTACATTTTTTATGAAAGGTAAAAGAGTTTCGACAAAAGTACAAAAACTATTCCCACCTGCTGTAATACTGAAATTTTATCACCTTATTACTTGTCATAATTTCGCGCAGTGCACTCGTGACTCACGATTTCATCCCTTCAGTGGGTGATGTTCGTAAGCACAAATCCACGCCCGGCCTTGGGGGCACCTGTAGGCATCAGCGTTACGCCCATCTCCAGATCCGGTTCCTCCTCATTGTCATCCTTGAATGAGTCAGCGATGCCGCCACAAAAGTTTGCAAATAAGTATTTTTTATACTGCCAATCCCGGCATCTCTACCCCATAGAATCGTAAAAAAAATATACGAGTACGGAGAGCAGCAAGGAGGGAACTTAGTGCCTGCGCCTAAATAACCGTAAACAGCACTCGTGGGCCCCTCCAAAAGAAGCAAAAACAAAAACCGAGGGTAGATAATTCCGTTGGCAGGGGAATCAAAAAAGTCAAAAAAAAAAACCGAGCAGAGCAGAAACAAAACTTGATAAGCATAAATTTGCTGTAATTTAACGCATTCAATTACAAAAACAAAAAAGAAGATGGCCCAAGTAAAAAGTCAGGGGGAAAATAATGTTGGTAACAAACAGGAAGATGAAACGCCCGAGAGGTGGATTTTGAGACTTGCAAGCTGCGCGCGGCGACTTACTTAAAAATGTCATAAAAACGAAACAAGTAACAGGAGAGGACTAAAAAAGTGGAGAGGCGGAAGGAAGGAAGTCAGGATGAGGACACTCACCTTAGCCATCCTCACCTCCCACTTTCCACTGGGGAATTTCCATTCACTTTACGACCTTGTATTGCCTTCCAACGACTTTGTGATTACAGAGGAATTCCTTACTTAATTCCAATCATCTGCGTGGCCTTGTGTTTTTTAAGCTTTCAATTCGGAAAAAGAAAAATTATGACCATTTTTATTCAAATTCAATTGTAGATTTCAATATTTGATTTCACTTATTCTTAAGCTTTTCTTTCAAACTTTTATAACCTTATGCTCAAGCTAATAAATCAAGTTACTGAATTTAAAATAAAAGTCTGTAGATTAGACTTTCCTTTCGTCTGCACTTTCACTTGTCTTTCAATTTATTGTTTAATTCTATTGTAAAATGTATTCTCAAACCAATAAACTACATTTATAGTTCTTAAATCATTTCCAATGTTCGATCCCAATGAAAACCCTTTTTTAAATTCGCAAAAATATTATAAAAAAGCTCTGTTATTAATTAACTAATATGACACCTCACAAATTGCTGTCGAGCTAGTTGCTTTAAGCCAGAAAGCCCCGCCGTTTGTAATGATGATGAGTATGATGATCCCTGAAATAGTTCTCCCTCCGCAAAGGGCCAACTAAAGTATCTTTTGGTGTATCTTCTGGCCGCGGAGGAGCGGTGGCGAAATTAAAATCGCGATGGCGAGAGTTTTCTGCGGCTGTTTGCCAGGCACTTGAATGCCTCGCTGCTCCGATACTTTCCTGCACTAAAAGCGTTTAAAAAAAAAAAAAAAAAAAATGAAAGAGAAAGAGAAAGTCAGGGAGTTTCGACGGGGCGCCGCC